CTCGCTACGCCCTGTTTGGGCTGTGAATACAGTGGGTTTGGGTCCCGCAGTTGTTCAAGTCCTAGCCACCTCCTGGGCGCCTCCAAACCCTACTTTGTTGGGCCCTGCAGTCCTCACCTTGTACCTCCGTACTCAGTCTGGTTCTCCACCAGATCATTGTGACTTTTGTTTCGACCCCTTTTTCTAGGCATTTGTCTACAAAGTTGCCCTGGCGAATTTCATGCGAATGAACTGCGGTATTTTGTAGAGAGTACACAATCCCTCTTCAACACAGCCAAGATTCGGCTCCGCGGGAAGGAACGAGGAATGTGGGTGACCAAGTGTGATTTTGTTGCCGTTCAAGTCTCCCTCGATCCTCTTTAGCTGCACCGCTACTGGGTCCCTTTTCTCAACAACCAGCATCTCTTCACCTGTCCTTGCAGGCGCCGTCAAATGCCAACCATGTGTGGCGCAGAAAAATAAGCACAACACCCCTCCGTCGAATCGACCGGGGCCAACTTCCTTTTCTTGGTGGATGAGGTGGATTCGCAGTGGTTCCCTGTTGCATTGACCGGCATGCAGCTCATCTCAAGGGTTCTCAGATCAACGCACAACGCTGGTGAAACCTTTCTCTCCGGCGTCCATCTGTCTCTCAACTCTGGTGACTCTCTCCCCAGATTTCAGGTAAGCGTCACCAACCCGTGGCCCACGATTCTCGTGCGGTTGCACGTAATCACGATCAGCCCAGTGATCAACACTTCACTAATGGTTCACTACACAGTTTGAGAACGAACTTGTCGGAAATGCCTTCCATCCCTTGACATGGCTCAATGCCTCCCGTGATCCCCAAAATATCCTAGTCGTCTGTCCGGAGAAACTACGACTGCGTACTTCCATGGTGCAGACCCATGAACCCACCTTCGTACTCGTTCGACACATGGATGAGGAGGATCCACAATGTCATTATTCCATCCCCAGTGGGCAGTGCCAGCTTTGCCAGTGGCCCAAGCTCCTCTCGCTCTGCTAAGGATCATCTACTTCCGTTCTTGAACCTGCACGACTTCTGCAACCCGCTGGAGTTCCAAATTTCGATGTGAAAACACCAATGTTTACCGGCGCTTGTCAACTTAATGCACATATAGCGTTCCCTAGCCCCAAGTGCTGCTGTTTACTGTGCTGCCCGGAGTTTGGGATTGATCTTTTTACCATCTTCGAGAATATACCTCATCAATTCCTCGTACACCAAACGGTAAATGACTGTAAGCCCCACCAATATATGTCCGCCAGTGGACACCTGCCACCCACTATTGTCCTTTGGATCTCTTTGATAACAGTAATGCGATGAACCCGGCATCTCACTGAATCGGCGCTCTCTCAACTCAAGTACGTTTCGTTGAACAGCTCCACCAGGACCTGAGTACGCCCGGGCTGGCTATAACTTTGTTCGATCTCACAGGTCTTGGGCGCGCCTACGGGTCGATGAGAATGTTATACCTCGTATTTTGATCTCCGAGCAGATGCTTAGACAGGTTTTGATCTAGCCCTTGGGTCTAGACGGTCGCCACAGCAGAGACAGGATGCCGCAATCTGCCGATCCTGGAGAGTTAAAGATGCACGGAGGACCGTACCACTAACGTTCTGGATGACCTTCGGATCACCTCTGAAGAAATGCTGATCCGAATCACTCATGCGGCCCTCTCCCCTTGTGGCCCTTTGTGGACCTTGGAGTGGTCCGAGTGCCCGCGCTAACCCGCAACCGTGTGCAAATCTGGGGTCGCTGGTGGTCATGAGGCCGGGTACGATCAGTGATGCACTACCATCCAAATACCTAGGTACAAGTCCTAGGCAGTAGTGAATCCCAAGCGTCCGCCCCCACCATCGATGTTGGGAAAAATGCATTCGTCGCTTACTGTTGGATTGTGTTCAAGAGGCTGTAGGTCACCAAGGTCAGAGTCAAAAAATTGCCACAGGTCCACCCTACCACCCAGCAAGGATGTCATCGGCGGCGACATGCACTCACCAAGCTGTTGGTCGATGCACTCCATGCGAAGAAAGGCAATATCTATGCTGACTATTCCCACGGTGCTTCTAACCCAACCACCAGTGCCACCTTACGTGGTCGCTATTAGAGTTTTCTTCCAAGTGGCCGGCTACCTCCCAGCCTCGATGGACGTCGACCTCGGGGAGGAATCTGAAGTCTTGGGACCTGACTCGACAGGTTGTTGTAGCCAATTAGGCCCGAGGCTGTCTACAAGGCCACGAGTCCCCTATCTGTCGTGGCCATTCAGACAGACTTTGGAAAAACGGCAAAGCGGCTTTAATTCTGCCTGTCGCCACCAATGATAAACAGCCCCGAGCAGACCAATATTACACAAGTGAGCACCTGACATATTTCTCGGCCTCGTCTTCTCCACGAACCCCGTTAGCGATTCTCAGCCCACCTCCTGGCAGCATTGGTCCAAACCCTTGTCAGGATCGAAGGAAGGCTGCGGACGCCTCGGCACAACAGCGAAGCAAGGTCATTTTTATTCGCCAGTATACGAAAGGATGAAGAGAGCATGGCATTAGCCCGCCCGTTGGGGTATCTCCAAATAGGAGAGATACATGGTGTGGAAGGCCGCGTCTGACATGCAAGTCAACGCCAACCCTGATGTCTCTATTTCGTAGGTGGCTTTTCAAGACGTCGCGATTTTCAGATCCAAAACTCATATTGACGCTGCTGTAACGTTGGCCACACTGTCTGCACGAATGAGAGCCATCACCTCGCTCTTCCCACCCCGAGTTGCTACCCGCTGCTGGCTCATCGCGCGTCGCGCTCTGTGCTGCATCAGCGGCTGGAATCTCATGCAACTTATCAAAGTGCATGCATGACGTCTGTGGGCGGACGCTCGCCTCCCGCCGTCTTAGAAATGCGAAGGTATAACGAATTACTCTCGAGTATTTGGCCCAAGTGCAGCTGGATCAACTCAATGACGTTGCATCGTCCACGGGCGTGATCCTCAGATGCAGAGGCGAATATTCTACACCAGCCGCAATCAACTGTACTTCGGTCATCCAGAACGACGAGCCTTGCGAGGATCAACAGCCTGGTTGCCTTGGGGCTATCTTCCGGGGCTTCTCGACACGGACGAGTATGCTTGTCTGCAAAATGTGGACAGGGATACGTGTTTGATCGCAGGATCATCGACCGTATGCGAGTGGCCTTCCCAAAAATGCTCGCATTGAAGACACCCAATATGCAAGGGGTCGTTGTCGAATGCGCTCAATGCTGCAGGAATGCATGAACCACCGGCTAGGCCTGAGGGGGCACCCTTTTTCATTATTGAGACATCAACCTCAAGGCTATTTCCACGTGCACGGAGGGGTAACGCATGTACGAGAGGAGGGAGGGGCCAAGGATCTATCGGCTTCGGCGACTTGGGACAAGCCAGTTTGCCGGCCGAAACGCTGTGAGGAATTGGTTTTCATCTTCCACAACAATTGCAAGGTCATCTTGGATGTCCAGACGGCCCGCATCGTTCATCTAGACCCCTGCTCACCTGCGCATGGTTGGAAACTAGCACTGTATTGTCGGAAGGTCTTCGTCTCATCAGGGGAGGGATTGCAAAGAGCATTATTCCCCGGGTGGCCCGATGAATTATTATTAAACAGATTTCCACCAGTATCCTTCAACAGACGGCACATCGGCCAAAGTCCCGGACGGCAACAGGGCCGTCAAGTCTAATCAGGGCCACGTACGTGTGCAGGTCGATATACCGCAATGCCATCTCCCGGAAGCCGATGCTTTGAAGGTGGCTCTCTGCAAGCGACGGGACAAACTAACTGCCTTATTCTCTTTAGAGATTGCCCCGCAAGCTCGGCGTCGGATATCGTCGTACAGGAGGGTCAAGCGGAAACGTCACCTCACTGAGACTTCGAGTGGCTTAACGGCAATGTCGCGGCTTGGTTAGGATTCTATCTGCTCACAGCTTCAGCGCTGCATAGGATCTATGTGAGTCCGATATATATGGGGCCTTGTCCACTCAACAACTTGCTTGTACCGCCACCGTTAGGCAGTGACCAGATCTGCTGTTTTGTTCACAGGCAGGGGGCAAGTCTTGGTGATTGCGAATGTTATCATCTGCCTGTCGAGGAATGAAAGAAATTGTGTGGAACAGGGGTCCAGCACAATACTCTCGGCCTCTCGGAATGCTTGATATCCACGACTTGTAGCCAGAGGCCGGCTCACTGGCACAAGGAAGGTCGGCACCCCGTTTCTTCCGATAAGATTGAGAATTCCTAGGAACTCCAACAAAGAATTGCCGAAAGACGTCGGAGCGTCTAGGTACCGTGCAACATATAGCAGACATATAGCACTCGTGTTGGAAACTGACAGTACGTTACGTACGAGACATCAATCACCAACCCAAGCGCCAGGCCAAAGTGGACCCTGATGCAGGAGGCCCTCTTTTGCTATCACTGCACGAGTATAGCAGGGCACGCGAGTTTATACACATGAATCAAAGGCACGGACTCCTTCGATGGACACAAGTGCCCACAGTAGCTCATGCGCAGCTTCATTTGTTCGTTTGGTCCTTCTCAACAGAAGTGTTGGCTGCCCCATCAGTTGGCGCAGAACATCATCCGCTCCCTCCACAACCGAAACGAACTGGTCTTATTGGAATCCCCCTTTGTCTTCGTACCGTTCTGATCCTACCTCTTGGCCTTGGTGGCGTCTGTGGGAAGGATTAGGCAGCACGGCAGGAGTAGCAGCAGCAGCAGCAGCAGCCTCTTTAGGGTTTCTATTTTTTGCCCCAGCAGGTTACCAGGCGAACGGGCCATTTGGTTATTGCCCCCAAAATGAAGCAGGCCTCATCATCTCTCGATCCGAGAGTTCATTGTGGATGCTCGGGGCCAAGCACTGGATTGCAAAAACACAAGCTTGAAGCGGACAAAAAGGTGCTCAATTCCTCTCAACAGGGCACGTGAAAAAAGAAAAGCGGTTGAGAGCGGAAGGAGGAAGTTTCGTCATCACGTAAGATTCACACTGCCAGCGCCGTCCCAAAGAGACGAAATCGTCGGTCATAGACAACAGAGTCCTTGGTCCGTCTGTTCGGGCGCAGAACAGGGACGCCGTACTCCTTGATCAGACACTCGAAAGGTCTTGCGCTTGGTTTGGCACGGAGCCCTTCGGCGGACATTCTGGATTCCTCTTTGCACTCCTGCAGGTTTCCCCACAGGTGGAATAGTTTCTCCTTCAGCGTCGCCAGTTCGCCTCGGTTTGCCTTGTCCCTCAAGTTACAGGCATCCATGTTCAACAGAAAGTCTCCGTCCGTTTCTGCCACAAGCAATTCCATCTGAGTCGGTCGCCCATCAACACCTACCGGCGCTCGAGCGTCCTCGACCAGGAGAAGGAATCGCCATTCCCATTCCAAATCTCCCCTGCCATTCTCTTGCGTAGGGTCGATGTCCACGTCATCCCCAAAGTCCTCGTTGTCTGACAATTCATCATATTGTCCGACCTTTCGCGGCGCAGAGAAGTCGGCAATGTTGTCTGGGAAGAAATCCACAATGCGGACTTTCGACTTGTATGTACAGTTCTGGAAGGGAAGTCGATAGGCATTGCCCTTTGCCGTCGTGCGGTTCAAGATGTCCGGGTCGAGGATGTCGAGGATGAACTTGCATGAGACTCCCTCGTACTGATTACATCGGATGTTTGCGTTGGATTTGAGGAGGGAGCGCTCTTGTTGCGCAATTGGAGGTGTGGCCTTCTCCTTTTCCTGCTGCATAGCCTCCAACTTTGCTCTCTTGTTCTTCCGGTTTCTTGCCTTGGTCCTCTTGCCCTTTGGTTCTTCGTTCGGCCGCTCAGAAGGTTCGTCCCATTGCCGTTTCTTCGTTGCTTGATTAGGGTCTTGGGAAAAGCTGACGCCTTCAGCCTCTGCCTTTTGCTCGTATGCTCGTTTACGACGCAGCAACTCAATCCGCTTTTCATCTCCAGACTTCACTACTGTGATCAACTCCTTCTCCGGATAGTTAGGATCGTCTCGACAATTGCCCTCGAGCCTCGAACCATTCCTGTCAAGTTTGATCTGCACATTACGCAAGTACACGAAGCTGCCCAACTTCACGTTGTGCATGGCAACAGAAGCTTGCCTCCCCCAGCATGTGACCGTCATCGTCATTTGACCCCATGGACCGGGCCATTTATCAGACGTTTTGTCCTCAATATAGCCCCACGGGTCACCCTCACGGCCACCCCGTTCGCTCGAGTGCTTGTAGTCGTGGAGCTTGTCGTTCGTAGTATAATCAGTCACATAGAGCTCAGTCGTCAAGTCGTTGGGGGAAAATGCTTTGCGTACTTCGCCCAAAAGGTCTACAAAAATGTAAGCTCTACCAGTGGGCAAGCTGAGGCGATCAAGTGTGCTGAATTTCTCTTTGCGAGCAGGAGCAGTGCCCCCGTTTTCTGCCATGGTACTCGCTATTTCCAGCTGTGTCCTGGGCTGCTGCTTTGTCCATAGACATGGATCTTCCTGTTCGGCTATCCATTTGGCATACTTCAACTGAGCATCATTGGGAAGAGCTGCTAGGGGAGTGTTGCTGTGATAGCTGGCTCCTTGTCCCATCAACCTGCCCTTGTCCTTGAGATCTTGGATAGATTGTATGTTCTCCAACTCAGTAGCGGGTAGCACAACCCACGTAGTAGAAGAGTTGGACAACCCTATGGTTTGGCCCTTGTAGACATTTATCTTGACACTTCGCAGAATGACGACATCACCTTGGTCTCTGATATCCGGAAGTTGTTCGGCTTGCCTATGAAAGAACGCGAAGGGTAGACCAACACCAGAAGGCCAGGAAGGATCGTGTAAAGTGAATTTGATGGTGAAGTCTCGGCGGCCGCCCTGGCACCTCGTTGGAGCGAGAAAGTCGACGCAGACCCCGATGACGTTGATTGATGCTGAATTTGCCTCGACACTGGAGGCGTTCGTAAGATCAGTGAAATTTGGTGGTAAGGGGACGAAGCCAGAAGCCATTGGTACGCCGTTCCTCAAGACGGAAGTGACCCCGGATAGAACGGTTAAGAGTCGTCCTCGATTCGGGATCATACATCGATGGATGGGACATTGATGGCAATCCTGGTCATTGTGCATGAAGTCGCGAAAGGACGCGTCTCTGCCCGTCACAAAGAAACCCAAAGCGTGACGCGAATCCACGTGATCAGCGCCAAGGAAAAGTGGCATGTGCTTCCCGTTGTGACAAACAGCGATTGCCTCTCATACGACAGCCACCCTGCGAAAGTGCAACCCCCGTTTTGTTGCATTCATTTTATTTATCCACATCGGCGCAGCCTCATCACTGACCGCCTTCATTTGCAACAAGTACACAAACCCTCCCTTGCACGAGCCCAGAACCAATCTTTCGCGGTAACCTTGGGGCAGCCTACCACCCTGAAATCAAGCTCTGAAACCAAACCCTTCTTTGCGACGTCACAACAATCATGGCGGAACGATACATCCCCGAACATCGACGAACCCAATACAAGGCGAAAAACAGTTTCAAGCCCGATGAGCTGCGTCGTCGTCGAGAGGAACAACAGGTCGAAATCCGTCGCCAGAAAAGAGAGGAAAACTTGGCCAAGCGAAGAGGTGTTCAGCGTGGAAATGGCGAGATCGGTATTGGTGGCCTCACAGAGCCAGACAGTGATGATGAGACGGCGAATATCGAGAATGAAGTCAGTACAGATCCCTTTTGGTTGACTCCTAGGCTAATCGTTGTCTACAGTTGAGCACGGAATTGCCAGAGATGGTGAAAGGTGTTTTCTCAGACCAGATCGATGCTCAGATTCAAGCCACCACAAAGTTTCGAAAACTCCTGTCCAAAGAACGCAACCCACCCATCGAAAAAGTAATCGAGACGGGTGTCGTCAGCCGCTTCGTTGAATTCCTTCGCTCCCCTCACACTCTCGTCCAATTTGAGGCGGCCTGGGCCCTCACCAATATTGCTAGTGGTAGCGCAGCCCAAACACAAGTCGTGATCGAAGCTGGTGCCGTCCCTATCTTTGTTGAGCTCTTGAGCAGCCATGAGCCGGATGTTCGTGAGCAAGCAGTCTGGGCATTGGGCAACATCGCTGGTGACTCTCCTGCTTGTCGTGACTATGTTCTCAGTCAGGGTGCTTTGAAGCCTTTGCTCAATCTCATTGCCGATGGGCGCAAGTTGAGCATGCTTCGAAACGCAACGTGGACGTTGAGCAACTTCTGCCGTGGAAAGACACCCCAGCCCGACTGGAATACTGTAAGTCACGCTGAAATTTGCGGTTTAAAGCGACCTAGTGTTGACAACTTCTTAGATTCAACCTGCGCTTCCGGTGCTGGCGAAGCTTGTGTACATGCTCGATGATGAAGTCCTTATTGATGCCTGCTGGGCCATTTCCTACCTTTCCGATGGCTCCAATGACAAGATCCAGGCTGTCATCGAAGCCGGCATTCCCCGACGACTTGTCGAACTTCTCATGCATGCCTCCACATCCGTCCAAACCCCAGCTCTTCGGTCGGTTGGAAACATCGTCACCGGAGATGATGTGCAGACCCAGGTAATTATCAATTGCGGCGCTCTGACAGCTCTGTTGTCATTGCTCGGCTCTCAAAAGGATGGCATCCGGAAGGAAGCCTGTTGGACAATTTCAAACATCACAGCCGGCAACTCTACTCAAATCCAAGCGGTCATTGACGCAGGGATCATTCCCCCCTTGATCCACCTCTTGTCCAACGGTGATTTCAAGACTCGCAAGGAAGCATGTTGGGCGATTTCCAATGCCACCTCCGGAGGTCTACAGAAGCCGGATCAGATCAGATACCTCGTCTCGCAGGGATGCATCAAACCCCTCTGTGACTTGCTAGCTTGCCCGGACAATAAGATCATTCAAGTCGCCTTGGATGGACTGGAGAATATACTCAAAGTGGGAGATATGGACAAAGAGTCTGCCGATCCCCGTTCTCCGGAAGGGCAGGTCAATCGATATGCACTGTTCATTGAAGAGGCTGGCGGAATGGAGAAGATTCACGACTGCCAGAACAACGCTAATGAGGAGATCTACATGAAGGCTTATAACATTATCGAGCGCTACTTCTCTGATGAGGAAGATGCGGGTGCTGACATTGAAGAACTGGCGCCACAGGCTAACGCAACTGGCTTTACCCTTGGATCGAACCAACCTCAAGGCCAATTCAACTTTGCAAACGGCAACGACTCGATGGATATGTAGACCACGAACATGTGAAGGACGTGTCGGGGAATGCACCTTGACAAACCCCCTGCGATGACAGCCAACGCTGGCGCAGTGCTTGTCAAACAGGTGCAAAGAAGCGACACAAAGCACAGCAACGGGTTCGCCCCAAGCGCCGCGGGCTCGAGATCACCTTCCACAAGAGCATCTTCGCTAGAGTTGAACCAGGGCACCAACCTCGAAGCACCCTAAAGCGCCCCCTCCATGTCTTTTCTCACAAGCACGAACCCCACTGCTCCCACCCATCACCAGCACGTTTCCAAGATTCAGCTACGACCCCACAGCCAGATGCACCATCATGTAACCCCTAGCCATTCGACACAAGCACATCACTTTGTACCCAGCACCCAACACCCAGCACCGAGCATTCGATAGAGGCGTTATTTCAGCAAAGATTGTGGAATTGTCACGGACGGCAAGGGCGTGGAGGAGGGAAAGTATGGAAGGAGGAAGAGATCAGGGAGCGCCAAAAGTCAGGCAGACGAGCCTCGACTGGTTTCCCCATTGAGCTGCAGCCCCATGCCAATGTATGTCGACTGCTTTTCTATGCCCAATACAAAGATTTCACAAGTCAACCGATGCTTCTGGACCTCTGCGGCTCGCTCTGCTTTTCCCGGGATGGTAAGCTAGCTCGGTCTCATCTTTCCCGAGCAGGCCATGAGCTTGTAGAGAAAATAGCCCATGGAGAGCAGGCGTTTGTCCGGCCTTGCGGACAGGTCTTCTGATCAGCTGCAGAATCATACCATGGTTTCCTTTTGAGAAAAGCCACGCTCGGACCAGTTAAGAGGGGCACATTCTCCTCTTTTTGTCGGGGCTTGGGAACCCTCCACGTTGGATATCTATGATGATAGGAGACGTGGCTTGGAAACCCCCTCGTGTCGTGCTTTCGATCCATCAATCCTAGGGCGAGCCGAGCGCAAGATGACAAGGTGATGTAACTCCCGTACCCCGCAAATGTGGATGAGGAGATGGGACAGAGTGGTAGACATCCAGTAGGGTCAGCCCAGGCTGAGCGAGCAAAGCCAACCATGACATCTCATTCGAATCAGACAACAATCCGAGCTGTTGGATGACCGGAACCTCCGCTTTTCCTCGTGGACAGAGATTGCGTCCAAGATTGCCCAAAACTGAGCATCGCCACGAGCATGATGATGATCATGCAGCGATAGGTGATTTACCGTGGGTGGTTTTCCACCGCGGGCCCTATATATCTCTGGCGAACGCGAGCCCTGGGAACCACCTTTGTTTCCTTTTCTTCTCCTTCTCTCTCACATCTAACGGTTCCTCCAATCCCATCCTGGACTAGCCTTACTACTTCCTGTGACGCCCAATCACGCTGCCGGATATCTATACAGGACAGCTGACCATCCAATAGTACGCCAGCATGTCGGCAACCGAAGTTCGAGTTGGTGGTTCAGGTGGAACCATGAAGGCGGTCAACTACCAAGGGGCCTTCAAGGTCAAGGTGGAGGATGTCCCGAAGCCTACGATCGAGCACCCCGATGATGTTATTGTCAAGGTGACCACTGCCGGTAAGTCGCTCCAGAACATATTCTCAGGAGCTTGTGGATGTGACTGATTGTATGGAAATGTAAATAGCTATCTGCGGGTCCGACTTGCACATGGTAAGAGAACGACGCGCGAAAATAATGTACTCGGAGATATTCGCTGACGTGGAGATAGTATGAAGGACGTACCGGTGCCCAGCCTGGTATCACATTTGGTATGTCACTACTTACAAGGGGCAGTGATACCCTCCACCGTCACCTTCAGCTAACAAGCCACGACTCACAGGGCACGAGAACATGGGAGTTGTGGATGAAGTCGGCTCTGGGGTTACTCTGCTGAAGAAAGGCGACCGAGTTGTGATGCCCTTCAACGTTGCCGATGGACGATGCCGTAACTGCGAGGAAGGAAAGACCGCCTTCTGCACTGGTGTCAACCCTGGCTTCGCGGGCGGCGCCTACGGCTATGTGGCCATGGGCCCTTACAGAGGTGAGAAGTTGTGACTTGACTTTGCACGCCAATTCTGGTTCCTCATCTAACGAAAAGATCAAAGGTGGGCAAGCCCAATATATCCGCATTCCCTATGCAGACTTCAATGCTTTGAAATTGCCCCCTGGGACCGAGCATGAGCAGGATTTCATCCTTCTAGCCGACATCTTCCCGACGGGATGGCACGGTGTCTCTCTCAGCGGGTTCAAGCCTGGAGAGAGCATCGCCGTCTGGGGTGCGGGCCCTGTCGGTTTAATGGCGGCATACTCGGCTCAACTTAGAGGTGCAAGCCGTGTCTTTGTGGTTGATAGAGTTCCCGAGCGGTTGGGAGCAGCAGAGAAGATTGGGTGTATACCCATTGACTTCAGCAAGGGTGACGCGGTGGACCAAATCCTCGAGAAGAACGGCGGGATGGTGGATCGAGCGGTAGACGCCGTCGGGTACCAGGCCGTTGATACTGGTGGGAAGAAGGAGCAGCCCAACATTGTGCTGGAGAACATGATCCGGGCAACCAGGCCATGCGGTGGACTGGGCATTCCAGGTCTTTATGTGCCCACAGACCCAGGCGCGCCTGATGAAGCAAGTGGCAAGGGCATGATCAGCATGAGTTTTGGCAAGTTGTTTGAAAAGGTGAGTTCACAGATGCAACGCCATGGTCCTTACAAAGCCCGACAGGACAGACCACACAGGTGCTGACCATGACTGCTAGGGTCTTTCTCTGGCCACTGGCCAGTGTAATGTCAAGCAGTACAATCGCTATTTGCGCGACCTCATCATCGCGGGAAAAGCGAAGCCCTCTTTCGTTGTCAGTCATGAGATTGCCATCGACGAGGCGGAAGTGGCATACGACAAGTTTGACAAGAGGGTTGACGGATATACCAAGGTCTTGATCCATCCTAATGGGCCATTGTGAGCCTATCCAGGAAGGCTGTACCGATGTCTATTCGCTCTCTGTCCAAGGAGAAGCCCCGAATGAAACATCATGGTGTTAGTTCGTGCGAAATCGCAATATTGTGTGGTCAACAGAACGGTCGTTTCCACTTTCAGACTGATAGCAGAATAGTCCCTTGCGGTCACTGTACCCTTTTCCTCTGAGTACCTTGTACTCGGTAGTCTTCAATGAGCCAGAAATAGTCGTCGTATTCAAGGAAATCCAAGGACCGGATGAGGCTGAGCGGGACCGGAATCTCATTGGCCTGTTCAAGTCTTGGCAACATTCGTGTTTCAACCTTGTGCCTCCAACCATTCAACATCCCCGTCACTCATTTTCCATCTCATATTTCCCACTCCCCCACAACCCTGCTTCGAAAGGGCTTCTTCTAGTTCTCCAACTGTCAGTCGCTCGCCGAAACCCTTCCCCTTAGACACTTTCCTGCGTCGACCATCCTAAATGGCTTGGCTGGTGGCTGAACCCGCACTTGAAGCTCTTGTTCCAAGCCGGTGCGAAGCACGCGACTAGGTATACCCTGTTATCATTGCACCAGCTCACGTCGCTGGTTCCTGAACAAACTTTGCATCTTTGGCCCCCAAAATGGTGATCTGCTCAAGAAGCCAGCCTGTCATTGGCCATCTGTGTACCTGCGCCTTTTGCGATTGCCCTGTATGGGTACACGATGTTCTCGACCCGTCCCGGACCCAAGGTGCCAAGGTACAAGCCGCCTGGGCCTGGGTACTCGTCTCTACGAGTAGCAGTACCAGATACCGTCAATTTATACGCTAACATCGATCACCCTGTGGCCTTCCAACCCAATGACTCTCTAGTTCCTGGAACAGGCTGTCACACGAGGTCATTCGTATCTCGCGTATTACATGGATAGAAGGGTTTGTCCCCGTGCTGCCCAGAAGAGCCGCCCAGAGACCAATGCAGCAGGTTGATTGTCTTTATGATCTTACGGCACAGACATACCCCGATCGCTGTTCTGGACCAGATGATGGGTGGACTGATTTCTTTTGACTTCGCTTCCTCTCTTGTGTCATGGCTCCTCGTGCCATACCATTCCTGTCGCTTTGTGGAGAGTATATTTCTGCCATGGAGAACTAGGTATTGTGGGAAACCTGCAACTGCGCTCTGAAGGTGACGAGGGTCCCAACGCTCGTTCTTGAACGTGTGCGCGACATCTGAGAGCACTCGATACAGTCGCCCACCATGGTCTCCCTCACTATCGGTTATGTGTCTGGTATTATTGCCGCAGCAGTTTTCATTCTTCAATTCTTGTTTCCAAATGCCCTCATTGTCGTATTGGTCGGCCTTCTCAAGAACGAACATACAGCGGTGACCTGGTCGGTGGTTGAGCGCAGCCTACTGAGTTCCTTGTGGTAAGCACACATGTTTTGTTCCCTTGATGGTCACAATCTTCGACTGATTGTACAGCCAGGCCAACGATCCTCCGGACAGACGCTGCCGCAACTCGAGGGGTGGACAGCAAAATCAAGTTCCTGACTTGGCTGCGACCACTGGCTCTCGGGTTGGTGACGGTAGCTGCGGTCGTCACACCGTTGGGGCTCTACGATGACATCGTGCCTGCGGCGTCTCCCCAGCCTGTGGCCTTCTCCTACGTCCCAGACACCAGTCCCATGGGATATGGGACGCCTCCACGCAGCCAAGTTGGGTTCAGCCGGATCTGCGGAGCCTTTCTCCCCGTGCAGTGTCCCGGCACCACGACCCTCATCACCTACGGCGGCAACGACACCTACATGGAAGCCAATATCACAAATGATGACTACGACACGCGAATCCCCAAGGAGCTCGCCGAGCTCTACCAAAGCGGTCTCGATCAGCAGCCCCGGTCGGTTTCGAGCTTCTTTGACATTGAATCGCGGTACTATTCGTACATGTATCAAGACGGGGTCTCCCGTGGCGGCAAGTACATTGTGGACGCGTTCCGCTACCTGTCCAACATGGTCCTGGACAACGCCATTGAGCCGGTTGAAGGGCTGGTCGTCGACACGGTCACGGGGGGAGTGGCCTTCCGCAACCACACCGTCCCCGTGGGCGTCCAGCTCGGCGCCGAGTGGACCGAAGACCTGCTCTGGCTGCAGCCCGAGTCGGCCTGCGTCGACACAAACGTCTCGGTCGAGTTCCGCATCCCCTACAGCGGCATCGCCACCAACGACCTGATCAACATCTCGCTCGTCGACGACGGGGGCTTCGCGAACCTCGTCCAGGAGTGGCCCTACATTAACGTGACAAACTCGCAGATCGATCCGAACCTGCGCGGCCGAGCATACAAGGCCGCGTGGATGGTCAACGCATATACCATGTTGGTCATGAACCTGACGAGGCCGAGTCCCAACGCCTTCTCTTACCTCAAATCCAAGGTCGGGGACAGATTTCCAGTCACGACATATCAGACCATGGGAGCGAAGCTCAATGGAATCTATATCAGCAGTACTTGGATGTCCTTGCTGGACCCGGAAGCCTACTTGTCCAACTACAGCTTGGCCGACGCGCCAGGCGCCAACTACTCCAACCCTTTCGGGCTCACTGGATTAAACTATAGTGACATCTCGTTACTCTGCTCAGGGGCGGGAGGCGCCGACCTCGCCAATCTCACCAACATTCACGTCGAGTGCGGCATGGTTTTTGGCGCTGCCAGGCGTCGTGATGGCACAATAACCCTTGTGCAGGAGCCTGAAACATGGTGGACACAAAAGGTGTACAGCTGTGCGACGGCAACGAAAGCGAGTATCAAACAAGTCCGTTTCCGGTACAACGCGACGAAAGAGACTGGTAACACCCTCAAGGCTCTGTCCATCGTCAACGTCAGCGATAAGTCTTATCCGGACAAGAAGTCGATGCCTCTCTGGGCATCGAATCGCCAGGATACGAAATGAGCGATGTTCCTCAACTGTGGGGCCTGATTTCGCCAGAACTGGAGCACTCGGTCAATTTGTCCACAATCCGGGCTCCTCAATTGTACCTACCAGGCTACGGTGGTAAAGGTTTGTTGTCGACTGTGTCGGGATATGAAAATCTGCCTGGATCAGATGGACCATCGGATGCCCTGTCGGGAGTGTACCAATACAACAGTGGCGGCTGGGCAGACTATACCGGAGACACCAACATGGCCATGTATGCGCGGTGGCGAGATCTTTCGGGGTCGGCAGCGACCATGGCCAAGATCCCCAACCTGGTGTGGACGGATATCGCTGCGAACATGCTGGTGGGCACGCGCAGCTGGAACTCGGACGATCAGCTGCCTGCCAACCTCCAGAAGCGGAGCGAGGATGGGACGAGCAGCGCGGACAGTGACCACGCCGTCATTCCTGTGACTGTCTATCAGCGACGGATTCGCTATCGCTGGCGATTTGCCATCCCAGCATTCCTGGCTCTGGCACTGTTGCTCGCGGTCCTTGTGGCGGCTTTGGCGTCTGTTCTGTCTGGACGAGGACTTCCAGCACGGGTGCGACATTATCTTTTTCATTTGTCGTCAGGTCGCATGTTGGGGGAAATACAATATACTGGAGAATGCGACAAGTTGGCACCGACAAATGAATGGCTCGCACGTGTGGGTAGCAGGCGCAGCGATTTGCGCGCTTATGTCAGTCATGGTGCTAACAACATTAGCGGCAGTGGTGGGCTTGCGATCCCAACCTCACCGTTCCTCGGGCAGCAGCGTCACATGGCCAGCGGCATGGGTGAGGAGAAGATGAAGCGGATGGCGAGCGAGACGACCGAACTGCAGCCTCTCAACGAGGAGGCCGCGTCAGACCCGGACGTGAAGTGGGTTGTGCCGACTTCAGGATATACGAGGCTCAATGGAAACGAACAGCCGACATGGCGGTCACCCGGGCTCTAAAGATAAACCTGGGGTGGTCACTGGTCAGCAGCCAGGCGTCAAGCGTCAGGCTGATGAAACTGCAAGGCTCTTGATCTCGAACTGGCGTGTGTGTGGGGGGTTTGGCCCACCTGAGAAATCTTAATGCGCCAGATGCGCGCTGGAGCCAGTTGTGGTTTGTAAGGACTTCATGTCCGGAAGCCGCCGTAATCACGAGGTGGGAATTGAATCGGGAATGTTGTGCCAATAGAGCCATGGGTTCAGCGGCCCGCAAGGGTCTCCACGGGGAGAACACGGAACATAATCAACCACATCTATCAACCAAAATCGAGAGGCAGACGAACTAGAGGAGGTGTGGCGACGAGCGCAACGGTGATAGGAGGGAACAGTGTCTGGACGAAGCAGAAGATGAGGTGTTGGTGATGGATGTGGTGGTGGGTGAGGACAATCACAGGCAGCTTGGCAGGAGCTTTGATATAACGACACGGGCTGGAGGGATTGGCCGATGAGCAACGGATTTGCAGTCGATCGAGGTCAGAAGGTATCTGAATGATTTCTCGACGGGGTCTACTTTGGCGGTGACGGACGGTGGTGAGTGTGGATTTCTTTTAGTCCAGACGCGATGGAGGGAAAGGACGAAGACAACAAGATATCAAACGCAACCGAAGCAGAAACAGGCTCGCAAGAACTCATCCAATTGGGAGAGCGAGCGAAACCCATGTGGGTAGAGAAAGATGGTGGGAGAGAGAGATGGGGGAAGAGCGAAACTGCGCCTCTGTTGCGAGAAGATAGGCTTGTGGTGTGCACCTGGTTTACCTAGCACACCCGCCTAGTCCGCCCGCCTAGTCCGTACGTTTAGAGCGCATGAGTGCCAAACTCGGTACCTTCTTGAGAGCGACCTAGGGGTGAAGCTGGGTCTTGATCGTTGAGCCTATTAGTACGTTTGTCATGGTGAATTGCATCCGTCTCGTGCCACCAGTGCCGTCGAGGTCTAGTCTCGCCTTATCCTTTTGGTGGCCACCACCGGCACCATTATCACCAGCACCAAACAAAGATGCCCAGTGGTTATCGTCGTAGGTGGTCGAGGTGGTTAATTAAAAGCATGCTGCATTCCTGATTGTCAAAGGACTTTGAGCCTCTGCTTTGTTCTTTTCCTTCGATGACTTCTTCTACTACGAGAGTCTGTCCAAGCTCTTTTCCACTCTCTCTTCATTCTTTTCGAGAGTGCCACCAGTGCTGCGCTGCTCCCACAGTGCACACTTATCACCACATCTTCCCCCCCACCCTCAGCTATCACTAGCCTCATCCTCGGTCCCTCGCCAACCCCCAGAACTGCTCACCTATCGATAAAGGCCGTTTCCCCTCCTCACCAGTCACCACTCGTCAACCATTTTTTTCACCAGGACCCGGTACAGCTCAGCAAACGTCCTGCCCATCATGCAATAACAGGAACCAGCCAAAATAAAAAATAACACACCCCGTCCAACTTTTAGGGTTGTCGGTTATCCGTCGAATCGAGCAGAGCGGGTCGTGAACCGAAACCAGTGGCCTGCATTGTGTCGCCCGTTTGACCCTCCACGGCCCTCCCACTTCCCCCCCAATCACGCAAACTAAACTTCTGTGTATCCCAAACCCACCGCTTTTTTGGCGTCCCAGAGCCTTGCAACCTGCGCTCCGAGGCTTCCAAGCAACCAACGCACCCAGGAATGCCTCAACATTCGCCCTCTGCCATCCGGCCCTTCCGCCATGACACAAATTCCTCATTCACCGACGAATCATCCTTTCACTATACCGAGCGTGTACCTTTTTTGACGCAGGAACAGACCTTTATAACGTGCCCCAATCTCGAAGATGGTTCTTTCTCAGATTCCGCCACCGCCTCCGTCAGCCCCGATGCCCTGAAGGGGCCCACCGTCACCTGCCTTGAAACCCCATCTTCTTTCGATCACCGCAACTCCAGTTTCTCTTCCAGATGGCGCTGGACAGAGACCCTACCGGTGTTGAACCAATTGTTTGGTGGGGGTCGTACGGTGGTGCATAAAGGGCACGTTGTTGAAAGAGGCTCATTACACAAATCCATCCCGACCACACCGCTCAGGAGAGTGCTACGCCTCCTGGCCCTGACACTGATGTTGTTGTAAGAACCACACGGTGACCATTGTCTGTGACAAGCGCCGTCTGCTAACATTGAGGACAGAGGAATTCTTGAGTTCATTGCACTCGCTTGCGGCCTCGTTCTATCCTTCTTCCCCGACGACGCAGACGACGAATTCGACGGCTGGAATCCCTCTCAACACACCTCTAGTGAGCTGGGCCATTGGCCCACCGATTTCTCTGCCGACGTCCATCCGGTAGCCTGCCACTCGCACAATGATTACTGGCGCAAAGAACCCTTGTTCTCGGCCCTTGAAGCCGGTTGTACAGGCGTGGAGGCGGATGTGTGGCTCTATGATCAAGACTTGTATGTCGGACATTCCACAGCGTCTCTGACACCGGAGCGGACGCTCCGCAGCTTGTACATCAACCCGTTGGTGAAGATTCTAGATCAACAAAACCCTCAGACACATTTCCATCCGTCGCTGGACAACCCTCGAAATGGTGTCTTCGACACCAGGCCCTCTCAGACCCTGGTCCTCCTGATCGACTTCAAAAATGAGGGTCACAGGATCTGGCCACATGTCTCTGCACAGCTCCAACCTCTCCGAGAGCGGAGACTCCTCAGTTACTTCAACGGTTCCGGCGTGGTCGAAGGGCCCGTCACCGTGGTGGTCACGGGGAATGCGCCCTGGGACGAGGTGGTATCCAACCAGACATATCGTGATATGTTCTTTGACGCACCCCTCGACTTGATGGGAAAGCTGACTGACCCCAATGATGCTGCCGAGACACCCATGGATACGCAGAGTGGTGAGCTTGACAGGCGGTGGGGTCAAAATCAGGGCCAAGGCCGGTCCGGTGCCGCGCCTACGCACCCTGCAGTCTACTCCCAAGCCAACTCGTACTACGCTTCTGTATCGTTCAACGCCGCTGTTGGCTGGCCCTGGCGTGGCAATCTTTCTCGCCGTCAACTCGAAATGATGCGGAAGCAGATTGCTGGGGCTCACGCTCGTGGGCTCAAGGTCAGATACTGGAGCGTACCCAGTTGGCCGAGAGGAATGAGAAATTATCTCTGGCGGACAATGGTCAAAGAAGGAGTGGACTACTTGAACGTGGACGATTTGAAATCCGCGGCCTCGGGCGACTGGAACTGGGATAAAAGAGGGCCTTGGTTCAGTGGGCCGTGGAGATTTTGGCCGTCCAAGGCGGCTGCATGAGCCAGAAATATATCGGACACGAAAAAAAACACCATGACTTGAAGATTGAAGACGAATTCTACTAGATACGACCATGTGAGACCCCACACATACAAAAGACCATGGCAATGGAGATGAGAGCTTGGTTCGAGATCGGTCCTACAGAATCGAGGCCCAGATCTACGCACGAGCACGGTTTCACGGAATTACAGCTGCCATTGGATTGGCTGAGCCAGGCGTTTAATGGGGAATGAGGACGGAGTTCTGCAAAAAAGATCACTGCCGGGAACATGGGAAGCATTATGATACCCAAGCTTAGAGCATACATTGGTCACAGGATGAGTTACAAATACAACGATTACTGGCCTTGACGGTGTGAGTCTTTGTTCCATCCTTCCCTTGCCCTTCTCGACAGTGCCTTCCTTCATCTATCCAGTCGTGTCATGAGTTCCAGTGACTTGCTGGATAAGAAGGGTCGGTATTGTCCTGGTCGAGCTTGCCCCGTCGCGCTCCCATCAGTTCAAAGGTTCTTCTTCGTCTTCTCCCATCTAGACCCTTTTTCTTTGATATGCACTCGATATTGTCTTCGGTCACATCACGTTACTCTGATTTACTTTACATTTACTATCAGCACATTCAGCAATATGTCATCTTCACACGCTGAATCCTCGACGAACGCGTCGAGCACATTGTCATCCTCTCACGAACCTCAGGAAGCCACCAGAGTCTGCGGTCGCACCCAGGCAAGGGAAACTGATGTTGAGAACGTCGCTGCAACTGTTGCCAGTGATGGACGAGACACGCCGTCAACCGGTGTTGCCACTGTGGAACATGCAAGGGCCCGATGCCCATGCACCCAGACACGAACCCAGAAAACCGTCCTCGGCCAAATTGTGCTTCTGTTCCTCTGTGTCCAGATCGTAGCTGTCGGAGGCCTCGCCCTTCTCGCTCAATTCGGATCCCGCTCCGTCTCAGCCTGGTTATTCAAACATTCAACCACGGGCTTCTACATCTTCTTCTTCACTCAGGCTGTCGGCATGCAGATTTACTACCATGCTATGCCGCTTTCAACCGCCGAAGGGTCCTGGACACGCTTTCTGGAGAACTGTGTGGTTTTCAGCGTCAAAACACTCATTGTCGTCGTCGGAATTGTGCAGATGGTACACGTTTACTGTTCAATCGCCGAGCACAGGAAGCTCCGCATGGGTGTTCAGTGGGATGTCCGACAAGAGTTTGGCGGCTTTGAACGCAAACCATGAGCAGCACAGAACTCCCTTGTCAGCATCGAGGCGGTCGGAACCCGTGGTCGATTCCATCTTTTGCTTAAAGAGCCAAGAACCACTGATGGGCATGCTTTGTTTTCGGGGGTAGATAATACCATGCTTGTGGCAACACGACTCGTCCGGAACTCTTTTGGATTTAGGTGCAAAACATGCATAGTACAGGATGAAACCATAGTTGCATTGAATTATCACAGAACTACTGTCCCTCGCAGTTTTCAGTAGATTTTAAATGTCGTACCTCACAGCCTTGAGCCTTCAGCCTCGTGTCGCCACAGCCTCGTCGACAGCAGCACGTGAAAGGCTCCGATCGTCAGGCTTGGCGAGTTTGCAGGCTCCTCCCACCTTTTCGAGGTCGAACACGATCATTGTCTTTTCCACTCTCCACCATCGAAGTCTAGGTCCAGCGAACATGGCCGCCGCAGCACAGGCCCTTTCAGAACGGACACGGACGCTGTTTGGCAGCTCGTACGGCGAAGCGACCGACGCCTCGTCCCTCCCCATCCCCCTCTCCCTCTCCTTCAAAAGAAAGGTCGAATATGAAAGCGTGCGCGAACTCCCCCGGGCCCTGGCCGAGAAGCAGGCAAAGGCCGCGGCGGCGCGAGGACCTAAAAGACCCAAGATGGCAGCAACAACGGGGAACAATCAGATGGCGTTGGTGAAGAGCGAGGCGAAAGCGGGATCACAGGCGTCGGGGTCGTCGTCCTCGTCGTCGCAAAGCAACGGGATCGGGAGCAGTTTGATTCGCAGACCGAATATGCAGCAGCCTCGACCCGATTGGCATGCGCCGTGGAAGTTGATGAGGGTGATATCGGGTCATCTGGGCTGGGTGCGCGCGCTGGCGGTCGAACCTGATAACCAGTGGTTCGCGTCGGGCGCGGGAGACAGGACCATTAAAATCTGGGACTTGGCCACAGGTCAACTCCGCCTGACGTTGACGGGTCATATTTCCACGGTCCGGGGGCTGGCTGTGTCGCCGCGCCATCCCTACCTTTTCTCCTGCGGCGAGGACAAGATGGTAAAATGCTGGGACTTGGAGACCAACAAAGTTATCCGACACTACCATGGGCATTTGTCGGGTGTCTACACACTGTCACTACATCCGACGCTCGACGTGCTGGTTACGGGAGGAAGAGACGGTGTCGCTCGTGTTTGGGACATGCGCACGCGCTCCAACATCCACGTCCTCTCCGGTCACAAGGGCACCGTTACGGATGTCAAGTGCCAAGAGGCAGACCCTCAAGTCATCTCGTCGAGTCTGGATTCCACGGTACGACTATGGGACCTCGCCGCGGGCAAGACCATGGGCGTACTCACACATCACAAGAAAGGCGTCAGGGCGCTAGCCATCCACCCGAAAGAGTTCACATTCGCGTCGGCGTCGGCGGGATCGATCAAACAGTGGAAGTGCCCCGAGGGCGCGTTCATGCAGAACTTTGACGGGCACAACGCCATCATCAACACCCTTGCCGTGAATGAGGACAATGTGCTCTTCAGCGGTGGCGATAATGGGAGTATCTGCTTCTGGGATTGGAAGACCGGACATAGGTTTCAAAGCACCGAGTCCCTAGCGCAGCCGGGGTCCTTGGATGCAGAGGCGGGCATTATGAGCAGCACGTTTGACCAGACCGGCCTGCGGCTGATTATGGGCGAGGCGGATAAGACGATCAAGATTTGGAGACCGGATCCCGAAGCCACGCCAGAGACGCATCCGCTGGATTGGAAACCGACCTTGGGTCGGGTGAAGTATTGAAGACCCGGAGCTGTGCTTTTGCAACCTGGTGGCTGCGACAGAGAGTGTTTGAACGCATTGAATGGCATTTTGCATTGAGCGACGGCGTAATGGAGGTATTGATCCTGGAAAGGGTTAAGGAGTTGCTCTGATCACAAGCACCACACGGACTCTCGGGTCGGATCGACAAAAAGGGGGTCCTGGTTATCTAGAGAAATAAATCTATTCTGTCTGTGTGAAGAAAAGTACATGGTTGATACCCTCAAGAATTTTTCACCGTCAATCATGCTGTGTCGAGAGACTTTTGTGATATGATGATTGGCGTGCGTATATCATCACGGCCCGAAAGAAAAAGAGTAATATGATTGACAACATAAGGAGCAGTTAAGTATAAGGGGATAAGGGACAAAATATATGGCACTCGTCAAACTGCGGCGACGTCGACTGACTGATTGGACTGCTTGCGTGCCTTTCTTTCTTTCTCCTTCTGTCTCTGTGTGTGTCTCTTTCCCACCCACTTGCACCTCGAGTCTCCTCTGCACCTTCCGTTTCAACTTCCCATCATCCTCTCCGTCGTCTTCGTCGTCTTCGTCGTCAATCATCTAATAGGCATCTAATACTCTACAGCTCGCCATGTACCGAGTACATACACACCTATCAAGATCGCTCTCAAGTGTACGAAAGTTCTACAACGAGGCCCGTGTTGCGTGGGGTTTTAGTTCTTCGCCGAATCGAAATCGACTTGGCTCGACACCACTCCCAAATCTCCACACCATCTCGAGCTCCCGAAATCCAATCCGACCTTAGACCGTTTTCCGTTCCAAGCTGAATCGAATCAATCAGCGTTGACGGTTGACGAGGCTGACCGCCCCCTTTCAAGGCCTACCTACCTACCTACCTACCTACATACATACCTGTCTGTACGTACACACATACATGGATGTGCAGACGAGTCGGGCCTCAAGGGCTCGCATGGGCAGTGTACAAGGAGGAGAAGAGCGAAAACGGAAAAAAGGACATTCGGATTCAAAGTAGACGAGACTCCTAGGAGAGGTATTCGACAGACGAATACCTGCTAGAGGTGGTATCCCTCACGATACAACACGCAGTTTTGCCAGGAGACTTCAGCCTATTTCTGGCTCGAAGAAAGAAAGAAATCAGATACGCATGGAATGGCCAAGTCGCCGGTCTGGTCCAAGCACCAAAACACACCGCAACATCGCTTGATCCTCCTTCAGCAGTTATCGCCCCCGTCGCGATGGGCTGTCTGCTGCGCACGCTGGTGAGCTTGGGCTTGTTGGGCCTGAGCCTGCTGAGCCTGAGCTTGCTGAGCCTGAGCTTGCTGAGCCTGAGCTTGCTGAGCCTGAGCTTGCTGAGCCTGAGCTTGCTGAGCCTGCTGAGCCTGAGCCTGCTGAGCTTGTTGACGTTGCCGCTGGAACGTCGCGTCTCTCTCGTCCATGGCCCGAAACTCTGCTGCGTAACGCTGGCTCTCTTCTTCACATTCTCTCAACATGATCTCGAAGTCTGCTGCCTGCTTGCGCTCCAACTCTTCTAATTCTTCTAGGGAAAACATTATTATGGGTCATTTCCATGAGGACATGTCCAATTGGCTGCTCACCTTTGGACCTCAACGAGACAATGGCGGCTATGCGGTTGCCTGTCACCTGCTTTGACCAGCAGCTTTCTTTTCCAGTCATGACTGCGACCATTTCGCTGCCCTCAAGTACACAGAAGGTAACCGGGTATGTGATCATACCTCGGTTGAGGTACAGCCCGACTCTTGCGCTGTGGGATGCGTGGTGGCATGAATAGTCATCCTCCGGCGGGTACGAAGTCAAGTCCAATCGGTAGGTGTTGTAAAGAGCAGACGTGATGGTGCAGCAGCTGGCATTCTCGTCATGCACCACTGGCAATGGTCGAAGCCCTCTGTTCCCCTGAGGGCGCGCGTAGACTTCCAGAATGGGCTCGTCTTGAAGACTACCAACATCATTGGGGAAAAAAGGATTCATGATCTGAGAACGGTCTGTGCAAGACTCTGCACCAATCAATATGGAACTCTTGGAAAGGATGGCTGAAATATGAAGAAAAGAGATTCTGACAACACAAACAGAGGTCCGTCAGTCTTTATATACCCCAGGCCCTTTCCATCCGTCACCGCCTGCCTCCATTTCAGCCTGCCTCCATTTCCAAGGTGGACAGCACAACATCGGCATTTCCTCCAGCAATGCAGCCAGTCAGTGGAAAGCCCCTGCTCAACTACGGATTGCTCGGCAGCAGGGCGCGATGCGACTCGAGACAGGATTCGGGCACGTAGCTCTCACGTATGCACGTGCCCTGGCTGTTGACCTTAGGCATCAATGAGCTTGTTCGAAGCGGTCAACCATCCTTGTCCATTGACCATCATAAGGTCTTGTCGTCCTTCACTTTCAAAAGAAGGGGGGCCCGTTCTGCGGCCAGCTATGGACAGTGAGAATCTAGGCAGATATTGTCGGTGAGGACAAAGTCTTGAGTCAATCTCTTTATTGGAGCGTTCTCGCTTTCTGATGGTGTGCACTGAACCAGAAACCAACTGGAGCCGACCCCTGCGAATCCACGAAAGAATGAGGCTGAGGCTATGTCCAAGATGCAAAGATGGCACTCTGTCAGTGGATATCCTCCTTGACCGGTTGGTTATCTCTGGCATCGCTCTATCAATCCTCCCTCAAACAGACTTGCAGCCCGAGCTCTACAGCATTTCGGTAGCCCAAATGAGCATCAGCAAAGGGGAGATATTTGTCTTCCAGGAGATAAACCCTGGCCCATCGAGGTCTATGTGGTCTACACTGCATACGCAGAAGAACCCACGCATATTGGTGACTGGATTTCTCTTCCCCGTCGAACTTGAGCAGCGGCACTGGGCGATCCAGCGGGAAAATGCGCATATTTCCACGCTGCGCAACCGAAAATCGGGCCACTGTGACATTGGCTCCTGTGTCCAGCAGCGTAGTCAAGGGACAGTCCCATCCTTGCGCGTTGATGCAGAAAAGTGGTATCCGGGGTTGATCCCCCCTGGTCTTCCAGCCCAACAGTTGATGAGAGTGCAAAGCGAAGCTGGTAGCGCCAGAACTCGCGGCAGACGCAGGGATGGTTGCAGGCTCGAATTCCTGCTTGACACGCGTCTGCGCCTCGGAGGCCACACGGTATAGATTCTCCGCAGACACGACTGAAGAGGCTGTGCACGAGGATTCAGCATCGGTGTGGCTGTCGAAATTGTACCGGCAGGATAAGTCGCTCACAACCTCCTGATATGCAGCCATTCGTTGTTGTGCATTGCCGCAAGTTTCTCCCATGGTCCTATTTGAGATAAATTCCAATACTTCATCCACACTGATTGGTTGTTTACAACCCCAAGAACGACATAATTGCTCAATTATTCGCGACAATACTCTAAGGTCGTCAGGTTGCAATCCGATAGCATCACAACGCTCCCTGATTTTTTCATTTTGTATGTAGGCTGGTATCCCTTTCTGGTCTTCTCTTGTATCTTGATAGAACCCGCTGTAGGACATTGGAGAGAGGACTTTGGTGGACGTAACTTGTTCCCCCCCCCTTTTTGTTTGTGGGTGGAAATTCTTTGTGTCGATTGAAGGAGTCTTCGCGTGTGCCCGTGGACAATGAGGGCGGCTCTGTAAAGGAGGGCTGATGATTCCCTTTCCTTCTTTTTCCCGGGGGGCCAGGGTACGGGTATCAAGGTCGAGCGAGGTGATTCGGAAACGAGGGAGGTAGATTCAAGAGGCGTGGCCAATCCAATCTGGACTTCTTTGCAGTGCAAATCACATTGACGAAGAGTGTGTAAAGGGGGAGAGAAACTCGCACATAGAAGCGGTACGATGAAGCAGCGAGAATACAAGTCCGCAATTATGGGCATACAACAAGGTGGCCACCAAAAAGAGCGAGGGTAAATGTGCGCAGCAGAAAATCCGAAAAGACGGTTAGCAGACTGCCAGAATTGGCTGGCTGGCTGGATGGCCCACCACACACCCACTGAATGGAACGGCCGAGGGAAGGGACACAAGTAGGAGCCTTGTTGAGCAGGTCAACAGGGAAGTGGTCGTCACTGCACCGGAATGGGGGAGGCCTGGCGCAGCGGCGGCGACGGGTTGGCCTCCCCAGTGCCTAAGAGCTGCGCGGGAGGGAAACAGCACCGCTGGTCTGATTGTGTCATGCAGGCGGAGCCATCAGTAAAGCCTCACCACACAACAAACGCACTGTACTCCAAACCCCATGGTCCAGGTTCAGATTCAGGGGAAAGGCATGTGTGAGCCCATAGCAAAGGCTTCGGTTCCAACGGAGACAAGAAGCCCTGCCGCAGCGAAAGTCTCATGGTGGAAAAATGAGCACAGGAGTCTGTCCAGGTGCTTTGGAAAGTATTCGAAACATGTCGCTGCTGGTTCTCTGACGACGTCGCGAGGACATTTCATGACAAGCCCCAACACGATTGCCAGGGCTGGGCTTAGTGCCTAGGGACCCATCCATGATCCAGGGCTCCATAGAACCCCAGAGTTACTGGGTCCCAGTCGCGCTGCCGACCGTGTGCTGTTTAGCGTGAGATTAGCCCGTTGGGGCCAGCGTTAGGTGTTGTTGATAGGCCATAACTGTTCTTCCTACCTCGAAACAAAAGTCAGCGAGAGTCAACAGCCATTGCCTCAATGATGAGCAGAAAGATGACCGCGCACCCAGCACAACAGGTGAGAGGTCGAAAGGATTTCATCAAGCAGATCTTGGTGAACTTATGGTGGCCCTCGGATGCACACCATATCGCAGCGTGAGATTGACTCGGTGACCAGTTTCTCGGTCGTTTGACCACACGCACGAACACAAGGAACGGGCTTTCGTATGCTGTCCGGGTCGATGCGACACCATGCAGCTCACTTGAAGTCTTCGTTGTGTTGTTATTTGCATTTTCGAGATGCATATGATATTGACGGGTTTTGCCATGTCCCCGATGTGCGTCACGTGAATTGCATCTGACTTGACAGCGTGCGTCTCTGCGACTTGAAAACTCAAAAAAAAAAAGTTACAATCCCCAAAGCACAAGAAACAGAAGATATAGGGGAACCAGCAATGCACATCTGCTCCATACTTAAAAACCCAGGCAATCCTACTTGTCTCACCGAAATTGAAGTCAACTCGAGCGGAACCACTTGTGCCTGTTCTCGCCCTCCTCGCTGAGCCCGAGCCGTCAAGCCCCAACCCGAGCTGTTAGGCGAAGAATGGGTCCAATCATCGAAAACTAGCGGTGCGGTTAAGCGCCGCGGCCTGCAGGAATTGCTGCTGGAGGAGGAAAAGCCCCGGCTCAATCGGTCCACATGGCCGATGCAGCGGCACAGAGGTGAAAGATATTGAAAAGGGCAGTATCCGACAGTGATCCGGTGTGGGTTCGAGGTGGAGGGTCGGGAGAAAGAAGTTTTGAGCAAAGTTACGGGAGTGAGACATGGGACGAGCCGACCTTTTATACCGAGTATGCTGCCTGTGCTTCTACACCCTGGACCTCACAGCGTGGCGTCTGCAGAGCCATCGTTCAATCAGGACTCTCGTGTCCATCTTGCCCTATCAAACAACACACTGGCTCTGGATTTTGTACCACTAACCAAGCGATGGCACCATGGTCTTTGAATCTGACTTGCAGACATGCAGCCAATGCACCCTCTAGGTCACTAATTGCATGCAGTCGGGGCGTCTTCATGCGAACACTTGGTTCGTGCTGCGATCCTCTCGAGTGTACCAACGGGTGGTCTTACACGAACTTTGCTTGGCCCGCTCGGACACCGTTTCCTTTGTCCGTGTCAGCTGCCTCTTCTTCCCTCACTCTACCCTCGTCCTTGGCCTGCAATCCATCTTGGGCAATGTCTGCATCATGTCGGGCAGCAACATTCAGGGAACAGCACAGGAAAACAATGAGGCTGATTCTGCCAACTGTAACCCGGCTATGCCCCTGATGTGATGGCGGCCCTCATATTCGACGGGTTCCTCTGCGGCCATGTCTCCCCCGTGTATACCGTTTGCTCAACGATAAGAGTTCAACATGAATGGATACGACGCTATGTGCTCAGACATGGCCACCAACCCAGAAGCTGTCATTTTCCGGAAATTCACCATACTAAACTACCGCGCCCTGTTGTTCCTCCAAGCTGAACTGAATCAGAAGGAGAGTCGTCTCGTCTCCTTGATCAAACATGACCAGAACTCCCTCGACCCGGAACGAAGGCAATTCTCGTACAGCTTCGATGCCATGCTGAGATCCAATGGCGAGACCGAGGGTTCAACATTGCAGAGGGAGTTGATGCGAGAAATTTGCCGTCTCCTCCAAAACTACAGCATGTGGTTTTTGTTGATCCTCCGTCTCAAATCAAACTACTTTTCCCTGTATGTTTTTTGCTCGGGTCCTGCTGACTTTTTTCCTGGGAGCTGTTGTCTTGCGGCTCAAAAGATGAATTGCTCCTCCAAAACCGCCAGCTCGACCACCTCCCTCCCGTCCACGAACCCAGCCTCAAGCGCCTCCGAGAGGCCCAAATGAGCGCGCCTGGTGCCAACAGGTTCCTCCGCGGCCGCGAGCAGCGGATCTGGAGCGAGAAAAAGCAGTACGACCTCACATCCCTGACGGATCGGCAGGAGGACAGAGAACCGCTCTCGTCGTGGCTGGAGTGGTGCGTCACAGATGTCTGGCACAAGTACTTTGGCCACAAACTCTCTCCCCCCAAACCCGTCGATGAGGACTGGGCACCGGCCGTGCCGAGCAAGCTGGGCCAATACCCACGATCACTCATTGCGGGAGTCGTCACCGCCGTCACCACGATCCTCGCGCCCATCTTTGTGACACTCTCGGCTGTCGTCTTGTTCTTTGTCGACAGCGAGTCCAAGCGCCTGGGCCTCATCGTCGGGTTGAGCTTCCTTTTCAGCCTCGCGCTGGCTTGCGTCGGGGTGCCACGCAGGATCGATTCGTTCGTCGCCACGGCCACCTTCACTGCTGTGCTGATTGTTTTTATTGGGAACAACACAGACTGAAGAGTTCTGAAGAGAGGGTATTTTGGGGGGTTGTGTCGACACCAAAAACAAGAAGAGGAAGAGGCAGTGGTGGTGGTGGTGGTAGAGAGGTGGATTTTAGTTTGGACACAGGAAGTTTTGGACAATCTTTTTCGTTGATCTGCTCTGCTCTTGTCAGATTTCCCATCCATCCCAGCAAAGGACTTGTTAGAGGGGTTTTGCTTGCTCTTCTGACAAGGACAGTTGCAGATGGATAGAACTTCATATGCTTCTGTATTGGTAGAGATTCACTTTCATCGTCGGCTTTTAATTTCTGCTGCCACTGCCATCGCCACGTCCTTCTTCCAAGTTTCAAGCGGTATATCTATGACCGCATTCGACAGATCTATTCTAGGCCTTTCTTTCGTCCTCCCATCCAATTTTTTATCTCTTTGGTGGGGGATGGGGGATGTACAAGGTCCAGACGGCCAGTAGAGCGTATTTCTTGTCCTACACCAGACCTACTCAACCTTTTAACGACACAAATCCAATCTTCTCTTTTGGGGGCAAACGGAGCACCCAAAAAGAAGAGCTGGCAAAAAGAGACCCTGTAGTCACGGATGCACGTCTAATGGAGTTTCTCTGACAATCCAGAGTTCTGGGTGTTGCGAAAGAAAAAGATGACCAGCGTTTTAGACACTCCAAAGGGGGGTTGGGGGGGAGGGGAAGCATATACAAGCCTACTATTGGGTTCGTGTCGTGGTACCCGGTAGAGAGGAAGGTATCAATCACGGCACGGAAAATAACCTCCAGGGTGTAAGTTCTGGGGTTACATCCAGGTGCAAGGGCCCAGCATGCGTAGGCCTGGGGGTCCCCTGAGAGAGCACACTTGGGCATGGTCATCTGGGCTGTGTGGGCAGGCAGGCCGGGACAAGATGAGCACGATGATGAGGATCAGCGACTTCTTCTGACCCCTGGTGGGTGCCTGGGACGAATAGGTTGGTCAGTCATTCAGTCAGTCAGCCCGCCTCCCTAAAAGGGAAGTTGCCTCCCACCCCCCCTGTGCGCGCACTCACGTTCGATATCAAAGCGAGACCAGACCATTGTTCAACCCATCGATTGTTAGCTTCTGGCAGTTGGAAAGTTGGACGCGGACGCGAAAGCGGGAAGCTGCGGGAACTGCCTCTTTTTTCTTAATTTCAATTGTGGACCCGAGAAAATGTGACGAGGCAGCGAGGCTGAAAACCCCTGGGAAGGCGCAAAGCCTTCTTTCTTCTTGTCACAGGAGCGCATTCATTGTACCACCCCCCCCCTTTGAATGACCTGACATATTGATTCATTGTAAAGGAAATTTGCTCTTTCCGATTCACGACTTGATTTGCTCTTGTTATTCCTGCGAATCGACTGAGAACTAGAGACACGTGACTGCCCAAACAAAAAGAGGAACCGTAGTCTTCTCTTCTCCTCACCGCCATGTTGACCGGGAGTCCTTGCTCCCCATATCACACTCCTGATGCTCCCAGGACATTACAACCCCGTGGTGTAGGAAAGAAGAAGAAGTAGTCATTAAACCTGGTTTGCCTTTTTTGGTCCCCCTCCTCTGGCCTCTTCCCGTCCTCCAAAAAAGAGTCCCAGCACCCACTCATAAAAAAAAAAGGAAGGGTATAGCTACCATTCCTCTCAGGATACGGATGGCTACTTCGAAGACTCTCCTCTTATCTCTTTGTCCTTCTCGTGCCGGTCCTTTTCTTTCTGCCTGCTCTTCTCCTTCTCTCTCCGCTGGGACTTTTTTTTCCCCTTTTCCTTCTGTTGCTGTTCTTCTGTTCCAAAAGTGTAAGTGACGGTGGAAGCGGATCCCCAAAACAGCAAGCAAACAAGAACCACAACGAGAGTGAGCTGGAAGCTTACCTTTGGTGCTCAGGTTACCCTGATTTGCGACAGGGAGGATCGCGGCGTGCCCAGGACGTTGTCTCAATGACCTGGTCAGGATTACACCCCGGTCGTCGCTGCTAACTATGCAGAATACCCCCTTGAAGCCATCGGGACTATCCCTCGAATTGCATCTCAACGTGATCGTACCGATGCAGCTGCCAGGGAAACCCGGGTGAGAGTGTTCATCTGGAATGAACGTCACTTGATGGTCGTAGACTCGTCTCAAGGTCCCCAGATCGATTCGGTGACGAGGCAGGCCACAATCTACCGATGCAAGCAGAGGTTGCCACTTCCCGACACGGTTGAGGATTATGACGCTCTCACGATTCTCGAAAGGGTTCTCTCGCTGCTGCTGCTGCTGCTGTTCGCCATCGTCTTCGAGAACACTCTCACAGTTTTCGGCTGGTATTCCTGGTGTATCCATGGTATGGACTATTCAATCTGTTTGACTTTTTTCCCCTTCCTCTTTCACACAGAGTCGAGTGGCGGCTAGCAGCAAGTATAAGGGATCTATAGAAACTGCTCTTGAGGCTGAGCCACCCCCCCTTCTTTTGACCGCTGTTGCACAGAAACAAGAACTCCATAGAGACAAGGCAACCAGAAGATGGGCCTCTACGCATACAACCATCCAGTTGTGCGCACGGGAGCAGATTGAGGCACCAAGGCACCAAAGTGCTGTGCAGGCGGTCATCATACGTGCCTAACACTACCAGGTCTATTCAGCCACGACCACGCCTCGCAACATGGGCGATTGAACCCCCTTACGCTTCAAGGAGGTCGGGCTCTGACCTCCATTGGTCTGTATGGCCTTGAAGCAGGGAGATTTCACCCAATAGAGGCCGCCGTCGTGTGTCTGGGGAGTCTCATACAAAAAGTATCGGTGAGGACCCTTTTTCGAATCAGAAGTCTATCTATTTCTATGTTCACTCCTCATTTGTACAGCGAGCCCAAAACGCCCCGTTTGAAGCCTTCCTTTTTTTCACAGTTTTTTTGGCTCCTCCGCCCTCCCTTGCCACGTCACTGACCCAGACAATCAAACAAGAACAGAACAGGTGCCCTCCACCAGGATGGGAGTCTCCATCCTCCTTACACCGGTCAGGACGAGGCGCTGCCGAGCACAGCATTCTCGCATGCCTCACATTGAGGTCGAGGAAGATGACCCAGCTTCATGGTCAGCTGCACACTCAGGAGGGCTCGGTGGCCAGCAAGGTCATGCACAATATGGAACTCGGCCGATCGTTGCTTGCTCTTACACCGGAGCCTGAACGGGATCCGGACCGTTCCCATCGAGACAGCTACATGCCCTTCGATGCCTCCTGCAATCGTGCCCCTCTTTTCCACGCCGGGCTCATACCCCAGCTCAGCCGCCGCAGTCACAGTCATCATGTTGAGGTCGGCGCCGGTGTCCATGGTCGCGAAGAAGTAATCTAACTCGCCATTGCGCATCTGCACAATCAGCTCGAGGCTTCTGTACTCACGCACCCGGGGGTTGTTGCCCGCAATCAATGGGTCTCGCACAGGGAGTACGGCTGGAATAACACAGTTGGAAACTGCACCATCCGCACCATCGCTCTCCGGTGTGGGTTGTCGACGATTCGACGCAGGGAAGCAGCAGTCGCTCGGTTTTGGAGGACAGGCAGTGGAAACCTGACCACTACCACTGAAATTTTGCCCTGCAGCCTTGTGGGACCTATTCTCCCTGCTGCAGCCGCTACAACGTCTATCGACCGTCCTTTTCACTTGTGATTGGTAGAAAATCCCCCCCATCAAACGCCTTTTCAAGCTCAGATGGGGATTCCCTTTATGCAATTGCTTCCATTTTGCAGATATAAGACCTCGATTCAACACACCTCTAACACCCCCTGGAGCTTTTGTGGTGGCATCAATGTCACTCTCGGTTGGTGGTGGCAGCGAGGGAGGGTGGGAATTTTCTCGGACGCCGTATCTTTGAGGAGGGCCATGAGGACGATGCATGTCGGAAATCAACGGTGTGGGCAGCTGCGTGGGTGTTTGTTGATCGTTCTCATGATTGGGAGGAAAGATATTCACGGTGACTGCTGGCTGGCTGCTTTGGTTGCAGTGAATGTGGATATTCACAGCCATGAGTGTGACGATTTTGTTTGAAGATGGTCAGAGGTTGGATGCCAATCGTTCTCGTAGGAAGGGGAGAAATGAGGTTGAGATCTTAACTTCCTCCCTCCAAAAGGATTCAAAAGAAATGAATCAAAGAGTGATATTGACGAGCTTTCGATAAGCAGTTACAGCACGAGGACACAGGAGGAGAGAAAAGTGCGCGTGGAAAAGACATCACAACAAAAGAAAAAAGGGGGAGGGCTTGAAACGACTGCGATTCCGACCCATGTATCGAGTTACGGGCACTCGGTACCTCGTAAAGCACCACCAAAACCCGCTCGCGTTTGCTGTGATTCACGGCTCTGAGCTCTGTGATGACCTTGGACGGCGCCGAGATTAGTTCAGAAGGGCTCTGAAAGGGGTAAACTGGGACACATTGCCTCCATCTCCAACCTCGAAGACTGCTGGGAAAGCCACAGGGTTGGGAGATTGGTGGTTCCCAGAGAAGAAGATTCTGCGCTGATGAATAGTCTCCTACAGGGATACTGCAGGCGGATTTGGCGGTCGAGTGTCACGCAGACCCAAATTCACAGATGTCCGCACAAGTCAGGGGTGGCTTCGTCATGTGATTCAAAGACCGCTGAACCGTGTCGTCGGTACTCTGGTGCTCTGGCATTGAGTTTTGTAAGGCTGTTGCGGCGTCGTGTCGAAGGCTCGCGAATGTGTTGATCTCGGCGTAGCGTGCGTGAAAGCAGACGCGTTTGGCCGCGTGGAACGACTTCACGGTGTGGGGAGAAACTCGTAGGCGTTGGTGGAACCCTGCTAGCTCCTTGATCTTTACCTGCTTTGCGAAAGAACGATCCACCAGCGCACAAGTAGGGCAGCCCACGAGCAGCTTGCTCAGGTCTGAAACGACGACCCCTTGGGGAGTCAGTTGGCAGTCAGCTGATCCGAAGCCGTGCAAGAGCATGCCATCCAACGCATGTTTCCCTCTCCGACAAGACAGATATCGCACCCGTCAGAATAACTCGAGTATTTCGGATATTTGTTCTGCGCCGTCGAGATGCTGCTGGGTCTCTGCCCGAAGTGGTTCGAAGATTCTTCCTGGGCCGGTAGGCCATTGATGTGGTGGTTGACAGAGTCATGATTTCTGTACCACCAAATTCGACCGAACTTCACCCGCCTCGAACAGCCATTTCCTCATCCCCTTATGATCCACTTCGTCACAGTTGGCGGTTTGCCGTCAACTTTCACTTGGAAAGGCAGGATTTCTGCAGATCTTCCTTTTTTTTTTCCCTTTGTCCCAGGACTCGTCAAGATACAAACAGACAGGAAGGATCGAAGAGAAAGTCGAAGCTGGATGGTCGGACTGTTCAGATAGTGGGCATGGACGGGGATGGTTGCTGTTAAGGGAAAGGCTTCTTTCAGTAGCGAACTGCCGGAAACAGTCAATCAGGTGTGTTCTCGGTGTATTAGCCTCGCCTGCGGATCAAATTGGCGTCCCCAGTCGGAGGTGATTCCTAGACAGAAACGTGAGAAAGAAGATCGAGCGAAGAAGAGAAGAGAGTGTTCGCCGTGAGCAAGGTGGCTCCCTTTTATGCTTTTTTGGAGATGTTTGTCTCGCAGCCTCCCCCCCCTTCATCCGCCCCTGCAGCCAGAGCGCAAACCACTCTCGCGACCCCAACTCCATCACAGCTATCACGCAGCCATTTGCGGCCGCCTTTACCTGGGTCGGAAAGCGGCCATTGGTGGTCGCAGCAAACCACCATCTGAGAGTGTCTGGGGTTCGCGGATGGCTGGCTCCTAACCCTGATCCCTCCCTACTGCTCCTGTCTCTTTCTCTGGTCGCAACTGATTCGTCGCAGGCTGCAGCAAATAGTCTCTGACACTATGACCATCAGCCTCTGTCACTGGTCTGCTCTGTGGTTTGGGCACACCATGCAGCCGGATTGCCAACTCAGCATTGCATGCGGTGAAGGGGTGTCGTGAGCCTCATTCTGCACCTCTGCGCTGCGCTCTTCCCAGGTTTGCCTCCGATCAGGGCTGTTGTTGTAGGAGGTCACTCTTCTGTCTCAAGTACGGTCCAACATGGAGGCATCGACAATGAACGGCTACAATAAGATTGCAGGTCTGATGGGCTCTTATCAGGAGCTTTGCATCTTCCGAAGGTTTCTCATCTTGAATGCCAGAGACCTGCTCTGCCAACAGGCTGAGATTGTGAACTTGGAGCATGACCTGCTGGTAGCCATCAGGGACGACCGCAACTCCGGCGACCCGCTGAGAAAAGAGTTCGAGTACGACATCTCGGCTCTAAAAGGCCCACACGAGCATCCTCGTACTGGTCTTCAATGGACCAGAACTCTCGAGATGCGAAGGCTGCTGAAGGAGTACAGTGCGTAAACCTCCCCCTTAGCGTCTCCATCCGTGGCCTGTCTCGGGAAGAATTTGTGTTGACATCCTTGGTGCTTACCTACCAGACACTTCCCTTCTGCAATTTGCCTCCCTCTGTCGACTGGCTCCTGTGAACAAGTCCGACTTGGCCACGCTTCACGAGTTGCTCGAGAAGCCGGACAGCTGTGGAGAGCCGTTTCTGACAGCTCATGAGTACGAGACATGGGACGAGGAAAACATTAAGGACCTGACATCGGTGGCCGGGTTGTACACTGATAGAGACGCCCTCTCAAGATTCATCGATAAGATGGTGAAATCTGTCTACCACAAACACATAGGCCACAAACTCCATGACCCCCTCTCGGTGACCGAGGCGTGGGCAGGTGCAGGAACACACAAACACATCATCAACTATCCTGACAGCTATATCACCAACACCATCGACACTCTATCGACCATTTTAGCCTCGGTGCTCCCAACCATTGCCGCCGTGGGAATATACCTCCTGGATGATTCCATGACGAGGATGGCAGTTATTGTAGCGTGCACTCTTCTCTTCTCCACAGTATTCTCGTTGGTTGCCAAACCCAAACGAGCCGAGTGTTTCGTGGCGTCTTCTGCCTTTGCAGCGGTTCTGGTCGTTTTTGTGGGAAATTCTAATGGGAATTCGTGCTAGGACGGTGGGTTCGAGACGCAAGGAAAACGAGCTGGATGCGTGACGGGTTCGACGAGTTGCGGCAGAGGCTAGGAATGATTCATGGGTGATAACGGACCTGTGGCTTTAGCGAGAAATGCTCATGATGGCTTTCTTTTTCTGCAATAATGATGAGATGATGATGATGATGATGGTACACAGCCCGGGTGGCAGGCACGAGCCTGCATCGATCCTGCCACGAGAATGGACTCTGGACACAGCCACTCTTTCAGTTAGCAATGGCAAAGTAGTTGGTGTTTTTTTCTCTCCTGTGCAAACGACTTTGACCACTGGTCCCGAATTCCTCCAATGCCATCTTTGCCTTGGGTTCTTTCATCATACTTGGTATATGTGCCGAAACCTCAAGGCACCCTAACCTTTAGCATTCGCACTACGGCGGTTGACTTGTGGAGTGATAAAGCGTCAGGTGGCTGGACCAGTCTTGACAAAGTAAACTGTGGTAATGAAAATCATCGAGCATGGCGAGGATGCTAAGTCTCTCGCAATATTGTCAAAGCTACAACGTAGAGTCGAAGAAACAATGGGACGCAAAACTCGTACCGGTTGGGTGGTCTGAGCAGCAGAGGGTTTTGCTGTCTTCGGCTTTTCACAAAGGCAATGTAAGCGATTTGCATGGGCTAAATCTCATTCTCGGACGAACTGCCTAATAATTAATTAGTGATACCAACAACGAGTCCATACTGTCACTGGCTCGACACCAATCCTTAGCATCCGCTAGACCGGTCTCGAAGGAGTGGCTACACTCCATCGGCGCTTTTTCTTTTTCCCCCTTATTACTCCGAGCCAGCATCATTTCCTTCTCATCGCCTCACAAAACGTGGGTCACCACCTCCTAAACTCTATGTGTTGCTATATAACACGAGTACCAGTTCTCGGCGCCTCTTTCAAGTGCAGGGCTGAGGTTGAGATAGGCATAGCATTGGTTGGGCGCGTTAATTTAGCTTTCCCGCCCCGGGGACAGATGCGAACTGTGGTGCGAACAGGTGGATCCCCCTTTTTGGGTCCTCTCTCTTCAACATTTTGTCATTTGGAAGTGCGGGAATTGCCTGATTGAGATGCCCATGTTTTGGAGGAGCCGAAGAGCGAATCAGGCATGGGCGAACAACGCATGGGTCGGCCCGGCCTAGTCTTGCCTGTCACTGACGCGAGATGCGCAAAACGGGACGGCACGTTCTGTTTGTTTTGTTCGTCTGTCTGTCTGTCTGTCTGTCTGTCTGTCAGGTAGTCCATTCCCAAGTCGCCATCACTCCGGCTTCTATGGATTTCTGCCAAAAGTTGACGTGGTCGGGCGTTCGCATACAAATCGGGCGCAGGGGAAAAAAGGCGGTGTGCGAGGGTGTCTGTACACATGCCAACTAGCCCGTGCCTGCCCAACCAGCGACTTACAAGGAGGCTGTTCAGGATGTTTGCAAGGCTGAGGATCCGTCACTACCTGCAGAACCTGCGGCCTCCTCGTGACCCGAATTCGAGGCCCGGAGCAGGGCGTGCGCGAAAACAAACAGGTCGGGCGCTGTTGCATAGCCGCAACACCGTGCGTGACCGAGCAGAATTTCTCGACGCCGAGTTCCCATGAGATGGATGCCTAAGCTAGAGGTAAACCAGAAGCACTAAGGAGGAAAGGAAAGGGGGGAGAAAAACAAACAGGGTGGGTAATCAAGGACTTAGTAGGACATGACTATTGCTGCCAGCAGTTAGTCCGAACGGGGAGTGAAGAGAAGATAGAGTCTGGTTGATATCCATACAATTTTTTCTTTCTTTTTGGTAGTTGTTGTGCTCAGTGTAACACGAAGACCTCGTTTGTTAGGGTACAGGATTTTCCTTCACTTAGGGCTTCCATATTGTTGTCTGCTCCTCCTCCCTTTCCCCCCATCACTCTCTCCCGGGCAAAAAAGAGGAAAAATTGGGAGAAAAGAAAAAGAGGAGACAGAAGAACGGTCAAGGTCCTCGATCAACACTCCCACCCTCGCTTTTTTGGCTTGCTTGCCCCCGTTCTCCTGCCGTCAAAGTTCCTCGCTCCTTGGCTCGCCTATCCCTTTCGAGAGGGGTTGTTTTGGGCATCCACGTCGAGAGATCTAGCGGTTGGCAAATTGAGAAGGTTGGGGCCCCATGTGTTGATTATGATGATGGACGGCTCGGTTGCTGTTGTCGTCGTCGTCGTCGTCGAAACTGGGTTGTTTGTTCGTTTGTCTAGATCCCAGATGAAGCTCAGATGAAGCTCGAATGAAGAAAAGCCTAGGTCACAGGTCGCGTGTGTGAGCTCTGTTTGATATTGTCGTTGTTGTTGACGTTGTACAGCAGGCCGGCCGGCCAGTCTTCCACCTCAGAGAGGAGTGGTATTGTCCTTGTCCGAACGTATCGGGCAGAAGAGGTACCACTGACGATGATACAATGATGCACTAACGCATTGATACATTGATGCGTGCCTTTTAGTCGTGTGCGTGTGTGTGCACGTGTGAAAGTTTTCCGATTGTTCAGCACTGGAAAATGTTGGAATTTGTTTGTCTGGCAAAGCACGTTGCAAGCTCCTTCGTTGGAGGAGGGGAAGACAATTAAGCTCTATATAATGAGTTTTGCACACCTGTTTTGTCCGTTCGAGTTCTGCTCCGCTTGGTGACTGAAACCGGTTCTGTCTCCGAAAGTGGCGGCACTGTGTATGTGTGCGCGCTGGGACGATGTGATGATGCGGCGATAGATGTCGTCAATAAAAGGGAGGTACCGGGCGTGACAGTCGGGTCTGCTGCCTGATCGTACGTCTCTATGTGAATAGAGAGAAGAAGAAAAAAATCGTGTCGCTAATGCGCCGTGTGATTTGATTTCTCTAGTGCTCACCCTTGTAGGATAAGCAGTTGACGATGATGTTTGATTGAAGCCATAGTGTGCCTGAATTTTGTTGAGGTGGAAAATAAAACTCTTGCTGGAAAGGCAAGAATTAGTGTCGTGAGACGATGAGGCAAGGCTAATCTGGTGTGGCAGAGTGGAGGAGCAGATAGGACGAGGTTTGTGCGGGTGATCTTGAAATCACCGAGTGTGTGATGTTGTGTGTTATGTTTTTTCTCTTCGTCACGTCAAAGGACGCGAAGGGGCTTTTCGTTTTTTCAAGTGCGACTTGCGCAACCAGCAGGGTTCTTCTTGCGCGTCATTGGCCGGCGGGCCGGCGCAAGACTTCAGCATCGTTGAGATAAGAGTCTGGTATGTCGATGATGTTCTATGGAGGTAAGCTCATCGCAAGTTCAAGCTCTCTGCCGATGGATAACGATTTGTAAAGTGCCTTTGCAGCCAAGTCGGCACAGCTCTGGTGAAACAGCTGATGTGTCGCGATTGAGGTAAGAGTTCCTAATTATGTGAGCAGAAGTGTGCAGTGGGGGTTTCAGACAGCTTACCGTGGCGCAATGCAATCAAAGAGCCAAAAAGGTCTCTGTGGTTACAAATTGTCGAATGGTTGCGAATAGTTGAAGTTGGTTTGGTTTTAACGATGTCCAACATGATAACATGATGTGGCCTGAGGGTTCGCTCACGCGTCGTGGACGCGCAGAAAGCAACGTGAAGTTGCTGGCGCAGGCCTTTGGGTTGTCGGAATTTGGAACGAGAATGAGTGTCGAAGGTGTCGACATGACAAGGAACTTGGGAAAGTGGTTTGTCATTCTCATCCCAGAGAGTCTCTGCTCGACGACGACATTTTCCATCTGATGACGTCGAAGTCGATCTGACGGAAGATTGATTGCCACGATGTCGCGTCCCGCAGCTATAGAGAGGTCTTGGTTTCCCCAGCCAAGCTGGGTACTTACGCCCTGCACCGCGCGAAGGTGCCTCTCTTGCGCCGGGCACGACGAGGGGTGAGGAAGAGATGAATGGGAATGTTGGTAAGTGGGAAGAGACTAATGTGTTACTGTCTAGGAAGATTCGTGGACAATATCTTCCTAATATTCGCGCCAAGCGGTAAAGGGAATCAACAACGGAAAGTATAGCGGGCAGTTGATCAGAATGGATTCGAGCGAAGTGACTGCGGCAAAGCGCAGGTCGAAGAAACAATATGGTGAGGCTGACAGTGTCTATCGGGCTTCCTAGGACGACAAGAACCACGAACACCAATGGAAAGAGGCAAACAGCATCGATAGATATTCTATACAGCATTGCAAGTGCTACAGACGACGAGCGTCAGCGACAAAGGGTCGTTGTGAATGGAGCACAGCGATGGACACTTGGACGACGTCGACTTCATGCGCTCCACAGCAAGGCACAAGCTCACAATGCACATAACCAGGCTATACCATCCAGTGTGCACTGTCAAACTAGTCAGTGGCGGCAGCTGTCTTCGAGATCCTCCCCCATCAATACTGCTGGCGCAGGCTTTGTTAAAAGAACGGATGGTTGGACTGATTGAAGAGGGAAAGAATCCACGCGTACACGACTATGCCGATACATATGAGCTGACATGTTCTGAACAGTGCTCTGGGTGGCCACTTACCATACAGGACATGTCCCGCTGTATCCTAGCAGCCACCGGTCAACACATCTCTGATGGTGTCTATGGCCGCAGGGAAGAATCCGAAGAATTTCATTCTTCACAAATGCTTGTGCGCAGATAGGACAGTCCGGCTCCTCGGCTTCAGAGCCAGGTTTTCTTGGGATCTTGTCTTTCAATTTTCTGGCATCAGGATTGTCGGTCGCAACCATTTCTGCATACATTTCTTTGATGTTTCGTTGGCTCTGCTCCAAAGACCAGCCCAGAGCATCCCTGTAAAGGTGTCCCCGTTCCAAGTCCAAGCTCTTGGCCCGCCGCAGTTGGCCAGAATCACCATCGTATCTGACAATTGGTATGGTTTGGAGCAGGCCAATGTCGATACCCTTGTCTCGTTGTGTTTCTTGGTGTCGTCGACGTCGCCGCAACCCGGAGCGTTGCAGTTCAACCAGTAGCTGTCGCTCATCGAGGCTTTGGATTGGACTGTGGCGTCTCACCCAGATAGCCGAGAAGACGATGAGTCCGAGGATGGCTACAATGACGGAAACTGTGATGACGGTTCTGTGTGCGCCTGAGGTGGAAGGGAGAGGACGAGGCTGTGGAGCTGTCGCCATGGAAGAAACCCCAGAGTGCAAATGCGAAGAGAACGCACCTGGAAGGGCAAGAAAAGCCTGCTAGCGAACAAAGGTTCCCTCATCTTGGTACAAGTATCTTTTTGTATGCTTCCTTGCTGCATCGATTTCACCGGACCAGAGTGAGAGAAATCGCTCATGCTCACAGACATGGATAAAGGTCACTTTTTACCTAACAACAACAGGTCGACATGTCCACCCTCGTCGGCTGCTTGTCGTCTGGTTCCAAATGGTCTTGAGATGGATCGAGAGGGGCGGTGCTCGACACGGGGTGAGAGTGATCCAGACTGCATCCTGATCCAGAGTCGACATAAGCTTTCTGTTGCTTGTTCCGTCTCGCCAGCAGGAATGAGGTGGAAAGGGAGACTCCACTTGACAGAAAATCTCTCATATCAATGACAGTGAAATGGCCCAATCACTCGAAGCTGCTTAGACGGAACAGCGCAGTTTGGTGCCAAGACCCGCGCAGGCATTTCTCACATTCTCATGTTCTCATCCACACAGTAACAACAACACCAACAAGGCCACCTCATCCACCCCATCCCGTCCCCTGCTATCTCGCACTTTGCCTTTCTGGCGAAGATCCCTGTCTACACACCGAAGGACCGTGCTTAATAGCTCGCGGACAGCGGCAGAAAGAACTGCGTTCACATTCTAATTCGGACTGCGCCAATGTCCTGGTCTCCCCCTGGACTGCACGCCGGCGCTGCATTCCCCTTGGGAAAGCATGCCCGTATCTCCTCTCATGGTGTCATGACTAACCTGGCTACATGACCGATGCCGCCGAGATGCATATCTGCTGCTGAGAGAGCTACATTGCAAGGATTCCTTGGGTAACTGGCGAACCTTGAGCTGATAAAGCTAAGCTTGACAGCCCAACTGTCCTTCATCACATGCTCGATCATGATCAATCCACTGGATCATTCGCCAACTCTGGTCTCGCCAGACTTGGACGCATTCATGATGTGATGTGTCCCACCCTGCATGGCTCAACTGTCGCTCTGCCTTAAGGAGACATGCTTGCTGCCCACTTTCGTTTTCTCCTGTTCGCAGTCTCCGACCCTGGTTTTCTTCTTCTTTTGCTCCTCTTCTGCTTTCTCGTATAGGTTGACCCTCAATACTGCTCATATCAATGGCTACTATCCGTATTGCTGATGAGGTTCATCCTAAAAATGAGCTACAGGGCAAAGAAGGGCGGCTTGCCGACTCGACGTCGATCTACGCCCACGATGATGGCATTTACAACATGCGCTCGAGGGGGTCTTCCCATGACTTGAGCCTATATCGCTCAAGGTCACTGCAACGAGATGAAGACCCCGGACTGCAAAAAGAAAGCGACTTCAAGGAGAAGCAGGTACTGTGATTCCGGTTTGTCTTTAGCGCAAGTCAGCTGACCCGATGATAGGTATTCAGTGGCAAGATGCTTCTCTGGCTTGCCTATCAGTCGATTGGAGTCATTTACGGAGATATTGGTACCAGTCCTCTTTACGTTTACTCGTCGACCTTCACCTCTGCGCCGTCGATTGAGGACCTCGTCGGCATCTTGTCTCTGATCATCTGGTCTCTTATCATGATGGTGACTGTGAAATACATTATCATCATCTTGCATGCAGATAATGAGGGCGAGGGAGGGACGTTCAGCACCTACTCCCTCCTCAGCCGCTATATGAATATCACGAATCGCGATCCACGAGAAGCTTCCCTGATAAGGATAAGGAGACATGCATCGGGCGATCTCGAAAGTGCTGGACGTGTCATGCGCAAAGGTCTCGAAACAAGTCGGTTGGCACGAGGCATCCTGAAGACCATGGGAGTTTTTGCCGTTTCTATGGTTCTGTCCGACGGCGTCCTCACGCCCGCGCAGTCCGTCCTCGGAGCTGTTCAGGGTGCCCGGGTGGTCAATCCTAATATCTCGAAAGGTGCTATAATCGGAATCACTGACACCATCCTCGTCCTCCTCTTCCTCATTCAGCCTTTCGGTATCACCAAGATAACGTTTGCTTTCTCCCCCATCGTCATAATATGGCTTGGCTTTAATGCCGTTTTCGGAATTTACAACCTGGTTAATTATGATGCTTCCGTCTTTCGGGCTTTCAATCCTGGCTATGCCTTCGAATTTCTGATCCATCATGGCGAACATGGATGGAGGATGCTGGGCGGGGTTTTGCTGGCCTTCACCGGGGTCGAAGCGCTGTTCGCAGACCTGGGAGCCTTCAGCCGTAGAGCGATTCAGCTCAGCTGGCTATGCTATACATTTCCATGTCTCCTTCTGGCCTACATCGGCCAAGCGGCCTATATCAGCGTCCACCCAGAAGCATATTCGAATGCATTCTTCGAAGCTGCACCTCCGGGCACCATCTACCCGTCCCTTATTATCGCCATTCTTGCCGCAATTGTTGCCTCGCAGGCTATTATTACTGCGACATTCCAGGTGAGCAGGCGCACAAATTTCATGAGAGGCGATCCGTGACTGATGATTGTCAGCTTCTCCATCAAGTCATGAAGCTGTCATATTTTCCGCAACTTACAGTGAAACACACGTCAAAGATATTCCACGGCCAGCTCTACATCCCTCTTGCGAATTGGCTTCTCATGGTTGGCACAATCCTCGTGGCCTCAATATACAATAACACGACCTCTCTCGGAAACGCCTATGGTGTTTGCGTCATGTTCGTCACATTCTTCGACACATGCATGGTCTCGTTGACAGCCATCTTCGTGTGGCGTTTCAGTCCATATCTCGTTTTGTTACCTTGGATGACAATTGCTTGCATGGACGGCACCTTTCTTTCTTCAGCCCTCACCAAGGTACCGGATGGGGCCTGGTTCACTCTTACACTAGCGTTTGTTTTGGGCATGGTATTTCTGCTCTGGCGCTTCGGAAAGGAGCAACAGTGGTTTGCTGAGGCAGGGGATCGGTTCCCGACCTCCCATTTCATCAGGACGGGGGCTACTGGTCTCCATCTGACCGAAAGATTTCATGGTACAGCCCTGAGTACCATCAACGGATTTGGCATTTTCTTCGACAAGGGTGGTGAAACTACACCCATCGTCTTCAGCCAATTCGCCATCAAACTCACCGCAATGCCTGAAGTGTCGGTATTCTTCCACCTCCGCCCGTTGGAGACGCCTTTCGTGCCACCATCTGAGCGACACACAATCTCGAGACTAGCTATCCCGCACTGCTACCGTTTGGTGGTGAGATATGGCTACAACGATGAAGTCATCACCCCCGACCTGGCCTTTGTCATCTATGAGCAGATCCGAGCGTACATCCTTTCCGAGAACAAATCAAAACCGCAACTCGATGGCAATTCTGTGCTAGTGGGTGATGACCTGGCCGTAGAAGACGCCGCGACGACAAGCAGCGAGACGGGCGTGGGCACAGACCCCGACGAAAAGTTTCCAGACCCACAAAAGGTATACCAGCAGAACCGCGACTCGGAAAAGCAGACGGAAGCCCTTGCGCGGTTGGACCGCGCGTTTGCATACAAGGTGATGTACATAATGGGCAAGGAGCAGTTGACCATCAAACACGGCACGAATTACTTCCGACGGACGATCTTGGCGCTGTTCCTGTGGATGAAGGACAATACGAGGACCAAAATGTCGAACCTGAAGGTGCCGACGGAGAAACTCATCGAGGTGGGCTTTTTGAAGGAGATGTAGCTCCAAGCAGCAGGGATAAAAGTCCAAGATTTGCGAAAAGAGGGAATTCTGGACCACCGCACCGGTCCAGAAACCTCTTTTTTAGAGAAGACGGTTGTTCCTTGACACGTTTTGGGAGAAATGGGTTTAGACAGGAAAATCGAAAGGCGAAGAGGACAGTTGGGGGGCAAACAGGGTCAAATGAACGGCATATGTCGATCCGGTTGGGGTGGAATGGAATGGGAAAGACGATATTCGACCATGGGGATGTCCGCAACCATTTTCATGAATTGTCTCGGTTCCATTTGTTGGCGGTGATGATGACGATAGATACCAATGACCCAGCAGACGGAACTATATATAGATGGAGTCCGAGTACCTAGCTATTCTACCTAGCTAGAGCGCTGGAGCTGACGGATCGATGAGAAGATATAGGTAGATTTCTTCGCGCTACCGCCAGGCAATTCGACTTTGCAGCCTTTTGCAGCAATGAGCAATGAGGAAAGACAGTGCGTCTGGGTGGTCCCGGGGGAAATGACTGGATTCAGTCAGGAATCAGGAGTCACGAGTCAGGAGTCAGGGGCTCCTCAGCCTCGCCGCCTCGCCGCCTCGCCGCCTCCGCGTTCTGGATTGATTCCCGTATCTGCTTTGCATTGCTTTGAACTGTTCACCATGTCCTCTTCCCTATATGGTCCGTCGCTCATCCTCCCATTGAGACGCTAGAAATTTCACCTGCATGAACAGACCCGATCGCCGCCTGGGACAGACGCCTGGGACCTGCGCCGACGAAAAATCCCGAGACAACGGCGTCTCCGTCCGTCATGGGATCGAACCAGATAGTTGTGTTGTGTTCGCCAGACTCCGCTGCCTCATAGTTATACTGCGCCCATCACATAAATCGAAACACATCAAGAAAAAACCGTGGCCCTCTGTGTCCCTCCACAATATCCGTGCCCCAAAAACACCACAAGAATCACAAAATTCGCGCCTTCCTCTGTCACTCGTACAGCCAGCCACTCCTACAGTCATGCCATTTCTGTGACCAAGGTTAATGTGGACCAAGGTTCGATCTCTGCAAGGTAGACCCGCTCTGGAAGAAGGTACCAAGTGGGGGAAACCGGCCGTTTCAGGCCTAAGGTGTACTTGCATGGTGAAGCCCGTCCTGGGACTTTAAGGGTTCGAAGTCGACAGAACCGTCCAAAGCGGAAATAGAAAGATGTACCCATAGACGCTAGGTAAAGTTGGAGCTCTGACGGCCATCAAGCGTACGGCTAAAGGCGTGGTTGACGGGCAGTTTGACATCGTTGTCTTCATTGTGTGTAACCCGCGCCAAAGGAGGCTGATGTAGTATCTCGCAAAATAGAGCACCTCTGTCCCTGATCAGACCTCTCCGGATGTGTATAACTCGAGGTTGTCGATAGGCAATGTCAAGGAGATAGCCTGCGCCTCTGCAAGAATGAAGTCTGCATCATGCCGTGGTGAGTCCTGGTTAATGGCCAGGAGACGATCCATGCCTGGTCGATTCCAAACCGACGGATAAGAACGTGCATCATGTGGTGTTTCCGGTGTCGCATATCCACTTGCTCCGGCAATAATTTCTGAACTATCCCGTAATGGGAGGCGGTCCAATGACTCTGTTGGTATCAAACTGGATCTCGAGCAGGGGCATAAGCATTCGGTGCTCGCAACGATGCGGTCAACATCAAATTGCACGGTGTGAGAGAGCTGTTTAATCACCATCTTTGTACAAGTTAGTTTCGTATGATTTAAGGAATATGAAGCAGGGGGAAAAACCTTGATGATCCATAAACACCGAACGGCACCGTTATCGTAACAACGCATCGTTGCTAGGAGCTTGATGCCCAGCTCTCCCTTCTTCCATGCCTCACTAGGTCGAGATGTGCCATTATGCGTCGCTATCAGGAAGAGGAGGCACATGACTGCTTGGAAAAGCGTGTAGATGACACTCCAAGAAGCCGGAGCCAGCAGACCGCGTTGATGCATCACCTCAGCTCGAGTAATAGTGATGGCTGCAATCTTGATGCATGATAGTGCGTGCTGCGATTGGGTCCTCGTGATGGGCGCACTCTCGGCCATCTGTATGAGGTAATGCAGAAACGGTTGGTAGAGGACGAACTGGCCAAAATAGAATGCCATTTCCAGCTCGAATTTCATGCTGCTGCGTTGTCAGTCAAGTCCAAGACAATGAAGGAACCCGAAATTGGGAAATGCAGCATACATTTCCGACACTTCGCGCTTTTCAGGGGTATGAGGCAAGTAAGACAGCGCTCTGGTCCATTTCCGGAATGCGTCCTCTGCGCCTCTCATGTTGACGGCATCAACGTTGTCAAAGACCAGGTCTGTTGTGCGCTTGCCCTTGTGAGTGCCACGACTGAATATGCTTCGAAGCCCCGCGGCTGTCAGGCCCAACAATTCCAAGTGCTTCGCCGAAGCCAGGAGCTTTGCTTGTGTGTCAGAGTCACCATCACGAGCACTGGTCGGCCGTTTGGCACAGTCGGCCTTCAACGAGGCCGCGACACCCGGGTCGATGCAATCAGGATTGATGCGAGTCGGTAAGTCTAGCACGATACTGACCAGGGTGTCGAATTGCAGGACGGCGAGCATAATTCTGAGTCTGGCATCTTGTTGAACTTCAGATATCGAGATATCTGCCCCAATATCTTTATGCAAGCCAAGCCTCAAGGCCGAAGTACAAGCAATGCCAAGGTATGTGTATGCAGAAGTCAGACGAGATGTTGTCACCAGAAAGTAGATGAGACATAGAATTGTCTGGATTGATATGAGATCGGCACACTGGGCAACGTCAAGCTCTCTGCGAGCGAGAAGGAAATGCCTCGTACTTCGATCTCAAAGTCAGTCAGCGACACAGTACATGGGAAGGGCAAACATACGCTTCGTTCACAATATCTTCGCAGCCATGTTTTTTGCGAGATCGGACATCAAACAATAGAGCGATTGCAAGGATGCCGTGAAACAGCGGCATGAAATTATGACTGGATGCACCAAATTGAAGCGCAGACTCGCTATATAGACGATGGACCATGTCCCGGAAGTCGGCCTCGTGCACGAACTGGATCAACGGATTACATCTGGTGAAAACGACATCAAGTAGACCAAGCGTGATAGATAGACTTGGGAGGCTCTGGAACTGCGAAGAATACTGCGTACCTGCTTCAGCATCCGGTACTGGTGCGTTGAACAAGGCTGTAGTAATGGTCTGAGTTTCGGTCGTCAAGGCAGCACTGTCAGGCATTCTTCGGAATAGTTCTAGAGTCTTGAAGACGAAAGAGTATCCGGAATAAGAGCCATAGAATGTGGTTTGGGTGGGTGAGAGAGGAACGAACCGGCCCGCTCTGCCCATCATGCTGCCTAAGCGAGTTGACCTGGCACTGTCGTCGTCGCCGCTGGAGTCCCCGCCATCTGAGGGCTCGGGGTACGAGTTATCCAAGGTATTGAGAATCGATTCAATATCGGAATGGGCGACAGTCTGATTCTGAGCCTTGAGCCGCACAAGCGACATTCGTGCCGCCCGTAGACATGCTTCCAGCTTTCGAATCCGTTGAGTTGGTGTCTCTCGAGGTCGGGTCCCCGGGTCGTAGGAACAGACTGATGCCGTTAGCGCAGTGATCTCCCCGAGACTGCGATATCAGCGGAAGCCTCTCACCATCCTCAGAAACACTACAGGGGCCACAAGGAAGGGCTCCGTCGCATTTGATCTTCCTCAGCCGGCATTCGTCACAGGCGCGAGGGGCTCTCCTATGGTAGCCTTTGCGAAAGGATCGGGAAGACTTTCCACTGCTCTGTTGTGAATCACCAGCCATGAAGGTTCAAAATCTGGCATTTTGCCAGTTCGACGATGGGCTGGAGAGGTAGGAAAAAGAGAGTTCCGATCATGCGGACGGGAGGTGGGAGTCGCCACGATAGTGGGTTGTCTAGCTGCAGCGACCTTTAAGCGATTGGGAAGCTCATTAGTCAGGTGGTGCTCACTTTGTCGATGATGACAGGGGGAGTCCAGCGAGCCAACTGAAGATGTTGTTGAGGCCAATTACAGGGCGAGAGGGTTGGAAGTCCGGAGTAGAATTTCAGCTCACGCAGGATGGAGAATGGGCTGAGATGGTGCCACGAGGTGCCCAATCAAGGCCAAGACGCCAGCCTTGTCTGCCGCCGCAGGCTGCAATCTCAGGCTGCTTTTAGCCCACTTGCCCACTCACTGATTAATATCGTTGTGGATTGCGGGGGTACGCGCCTTAGGCACCCACGCACCTAACAAACTCGTCACGCCTGTGCTCGTACACGTAGGTAGGTCCTAGATAGACTCACCTTCTGGCCTCTCTACAACTCGTCCCTCAGCATGTCACAGCCTCTCGATGATAAATTCGCCATCCACGAAGCCGCCCGAGAAGGCAAGACGCAAGTGGTCGAGTCCCTCCTCAATGCAAACCCCAAACTTGCCTCTCTCCGTGACCAAGATGACCGTCTCCCACTCCACTGGGCCATTGCCTTTGCTCGTCTCGACATCGTCAAACTCCTCACAGCCACCCGCTCCTTTGACCCGGATGCTCAAGACGGGTCAGGCTGGACACCGCTTGCCATGGCTGCTTCTCTGAAAGACAATTCTGGGCTGCCCATCATCGACCTTCTCCTCTCCAAAGATGCCGACCCCAAGATTGCCACGAACACCGGCGTCACACCTTTACATCTGGCCGTGTCGAAGAATAACCTGGACGTTTGCAAAACGCTCCTGAAGCATGGTGCGAGTGCGAGGGTCAAGGACAAGCGGGGTCAATTACCCCTCCACCGCGCCGCCGCCGTGGGATCCGTTCCTGTCGTGAAACTGCTGCTCGAGAACAAGTCTCCTATCAATGCTACGGACATGGACGGGCTCACCCCGCTACACCACGCAATAAGTGAAGGACATGGGGACGTGGCTGTAGAGCTGCTAAAAGCTGGAGCGGAGACAGACAAAGTGGATCATGAGGGCAGATTAGCGATTGACTGCGCGCCTGATAGCAAGGTCAGGGCGCATATCTTGAAAGCAGCAGAGAGGGAAGGGATCGAATTCGCCTGAACCGGGACAGCGTCAGCATTGATGAAGACAGGACGCTTTTGACAAGATTTGATTAAAGTCTTCAGATCTGGCCTCATTTCATCGTATCCGCCAACTGTCGATACATCTGTTTGACATCGACAATATCGGCCTTCAGCTCCTCTACCTCCTCACTCTTCTCCCCCAGCAGTTCCAAGGTGGTCTGATGCCTTGCACTGAGACTGGCATGCTCCTTCTCAAGCGCCTCCAACCGTTCCTCGATCTTCCGCTTCGCCTCAACCTCCCGCATCAGACTGACGACTTCCTGCCTTGCTTCGTCGCGTTGAGTAGTGAGGCGTGCGAGCTCGTCTTTAGAAGCGGCCTTTTCACTTTCGAGTCGACGAACGTTGGCCGACATTCGTTCGACCAATTGCACGGAAGGACCAGCGCCAACGGTTGAAGTGGAGATTAGATCGTTCAAACCTCCACGTTGAGAGTGGTGGCTTGTGGTCAGGGGGGTAGGAGGGATATTGGCAAAATATTCGTCTGGATCCATGGACGTCACCCCAGACGGCGTTTCCGCAATGGAGCCGTTGACCAGACCACGGAAGGATGTAGTAGACTGTTGACGAGGCGGAGTGTTCGAGTCGAATGCATTGGGCATGATGGAGGGTCGCCGACTGCTACCTCGCTCATACTGGGTTGGGCTCATGAGATGATTAATGTCGAATGCCAGGCCCGAATTCTTGCGAATCGACGCCGCTGGAGAATCCGTGCGTTGGATATGCAGAGCAGCTGTCCATTTGGACTTCTCTTCGTCGATTCTTCGTTGCAACTCCCTCTCCGAATTTCCTTTCTGCTCTTCAACGTCTTTCAAAGCATTTGCCAGGTCCGTCTCAAGCTGAGTCACTTTTCGTTGTAACCGGAGTGTTTCAGCGTTCGCATCTGCCAGTGATTTATCCATATCCGCATAGTTACTTTGAGTGTTGGCCAGCTCCCTTTCAGCATTCTTCAACCTCAATGTAGCTTCTCGCAACTTCTTCCGCAGCTCTGCCTCACTTCTCACAACGTCATCGCGCTCTTTTTCTAGGTTCGTGATACGACCGAGGAGCGAACTCTCGATCCCTTGCCAATTCTGGCTCGCCGTGGTATACTGGGTTTGCAATGCTTCGATTTGTCGAAGGAGTTTAGCTTGTGCGTGACCGTGATCTGCTGAGGAAGCTTCTTCAGCTCGAACACGAAAAGACTCGAGTTTGCTTTCCAGGATGGCTTGTTCGCTCAACATTTCGGTCTCCATAGCGTGAGTCCGCTCTTTTTGTTTCTCTAATTCGCCTCGTAAGTCATGGATCTCCTTCTTCAATTTCCCTTCCGATATTTCACGCTCGACTTTTGCAACGGTCAAATCATCTTGCAGCTCGACAATTCTCCGCCTTTCCTTCTCCCACTGCTCGGATTGCACTTTGCTCTCCGCGGCTTCGGCTCGCGAATTGGCTTTGGACAGTTGCGATTTCATTTCCGCAAGGGTAGCATTCAAAGCATCACGCTCTTTCCGCATTGCCTCAACGTCCTTTGCCGCAACAGCATGGGCTGCTAGACTTTGTTCTGCACGCTTGCTTGCAGCTTCAGCCTTCCTGGCGCGGTCCTCCATATTTCTTAGAGCACGTTCAGCTCGGTCTGCGCGTTGTCTCGCAGCTTCTTGTTCTTTTGTAGTGGTCAAGGCTTGAGCTCGAACTTTCTTCAGCATGTTTCGAAGATCCAATTCCGTCTTTGACCATCTGGTGCCTTCTTCTATCAGGACAGCTATTTGCTCATCCTTTTGTAAGAGCTTCTGCTCCAAGCTTCCTGCTTCTGCTGAAGCAGCTCCCTGCTTAGCAGATTCGGCAGCTTTTTGGGCTGATTCGGCGACTTCTTGACCTAGTCTCTCAAGATTCCTTCGGAGCGCATCAATGCGTTCTAGATAAGTGCCCATTTCTTCTTGTATTTCCCTTGTGTCATCATTATCAAGTTTTAGTCCATCATCTTCGTTAGTTCGCTGCACATCTTCAGACACTCTATTCGATCCAGCCTGACTGTGTCTTAGGCTTTCTGCTGAAAAACGTGGTGCATCCTGATCTGGCTGTTCCATGACTATAGCTGCCGCTCTAGGTCGTTCTTGCTCGACGATAGCCTGGTTCAATGATGCTGGTATATCACTCCCCACATCCTGCCTCACGCTCTCGCCCACGTCACTGGAAGTTCGCGGCGCGAGGTCTATTTGATCGGTATTTAAAGGAGGCGAATCTACCACATTGGTAGCATCTGAGAGCGAAGTAGACACATCTCCCCCTCGTGAAGCTGGTCTCGACGATTGTTCCTGTGTAGGGACTGGACTTTCCGTACGACTAACATTCTTCTTTGCCATCGCCCGAGCGAGGCGTTCCTGAAGTCGATCATTCGAGGCAGAGGCAGTGCTGCTACTTCTAGACAAGTCGGAGGAGGCTACGAATACATCAGCCGTTGCAAGGAGATCCTGCGAGGAGTTCTTACGCTTCTTGTTATGGGCGGGAGTGTGCGTTCGTTTGGGACGGTCGGCGTCTTCGGCGAGAATATCATCCAGCCTCGACTCGACAGAGGCGACAGCCTGCTGCAGGAAATTCCATCTCGAGCCCGATTTGGAGGTCATGTTCCACAATCGAACATCAGGGGAACGACTGTAGTGACTAGAGCGACTATAATGCAAGGTCTAAAAGCACTCGCAACACAGAAGTAGTCCAAGGAGATAACATGGCAGCAGGGCAGGAAATGTGGTCTAGTAACACCACTGTTGAATGCCGAACAGCGTTGACGCGTTGCGATGTGGACAACATTGTTGGACTGCGAGCCAACGGGGAAAGAAATAGGCGAGCGCAGTCCCGCGGCGCGGCATTGTCATGCCCCAGGCAAGCCAGGGTCCCGCTAGCAGCCTGACAGAAGGAGCTTCCCGCAACCTGGAATCTGAGCTTCAACATGGGATTGACGCAATAGCTTGCGATAATCTTCTCCCCAACATTACATTCGAGATTGAACAGTCTACATACGAGGATTCATGGATCTTTTTGGCTGACCGAGAATTCACACACCATCTCCTAGCAGAGACACAACTACGCTTTTGCCCATCGGCAAGATGTCATTGAGCCCTCCAGCCTTTCTCAGCAATGTACAGAGCAATATCAGAGCTCGCCCGGTAGGCGCCACATCCCCTACTCTGAATGTCAACCTCTAACGATCTAACAGATACCTTGGGACGGCGCCGTTCGAGCGGGAAACCTAACGGAAGACCAGCTCAAGAGGATCAGATCGGTTGACAAGGTCCGGAAAGAGCAGAGGAAACAGACAATAGAGAAGGATGTAAAGAGCTACAGCACCCTGCTTGTCGGCGGTACAGATGGTGGCAGTGTGCTCGAAAAAGCATCAAAGCGCAGCGACATCATCCAATACACCCTGGTGTTGGCAACCGACCTCATCAACGGTACAATATCCCAGTCCATTCCAGAATGCATGGCACATCTGATTGACATATACTAGACGCTCCGGATCTTGCGATTGCTATCCTAGAACATCCTGAACCCTACAAAACCTTTCTGTCCTTCCTCAGCCAGGGAAACAGCCCAGAGGACGCCATTCCCTTACTCTCCGCCACCTTTCTCGTCAATCTTATTTCCATTTCCCTAACGACATCCTCACGCCCGGCCAGTCGAGATGACGAAGCACTCCCACAGCTCTACTCATATCTCGCCAAGTTGGTTAAGAATCAGGACAGTGGACTACAGGATATTGGGGTTCAGCACATGTCACAAATCCTACGAACGAAACGTTCCAAAGAATTATTCTGGAGCCAGAGACAGGATACGGTGGATCCCTTATTCGATATCTTGAGAAAAGCGGTTGGTGCTGCAAAAGACAATGACTCTACGCTATGGAGTGGCAATGCTAGTATACGAAGCAGTGACACGAGATTTGGTGAAGGAGTAGGCCTGCAATTGATGTATCATGTGTTACTGGTAATATGGCAGCTCAGCTTCGAGGGCGAACTTGTGGGCGAGGGTCTTGAAAAGTGAGAATATGCGATTTCCATCGAGTGGTCGAGGCTGTGCTCGGGCTAACGTTTACCCAGGGACGAGGAGATTGTGCCGCTGTACACGCAGCTTCTGCGGATGTCACCCAAGGAGAAGACCACTCGACTCCTGTTGGCAACACTGAACAACCTCCTGGCGACCAATAAGGAGACGCTGATTGCGACTGCTACAACTGCTAGGCTTCCTGCCCTGCTGAGCAATCTCAGCAGCCGCCATCTGACTGACCCGGACTTATTGGAGGATTTGGAGGCTCTGAAAACGATGCTTGACGAATACACCAAGAATCAGACAACATTCGACGAGTACGCTGACGAGGTAAATTCTGGTCATCTTCGGTGGTCACCGCCTCATCGTAATCCGACGTTCTGGCGCGAGAACGCGCGCAGGATCCTGGAAGACAAGAATGGCGAACTCCCCAAGAAACTGGCTGAAATCCTGTCCAGGAGTTGGGAGGCAGATAAGCAGGTGTTGGCGGTAGGGTGCAATGACGTGGGCAATCTGGTAAAGCATGTGCCGGAGCAACGGACTACACTCGAGAAACTCGGCCTCAAGGCTCGGCTTCTGGAGTTGATGGGCGATCCCGACGAGGCCGTGAGATGGGAGAGTCTCAAGGCCGTCGGGGATTGGATGAGATACACGTTCGACAAGTGAGTGGCTGGGCTGTGACACGTAATACTTCTGCTGGTTGAGGCTATGAAACGAGTTGATCGCGATGGGACGTTGTCTCGGTTCCTCTAGAATTGTGGTTTGTGGCGGCAAAGACGCATTCCTTTATGGTTGCTGTATAGGAAAGTTAGGAAGAACGTTCCACAGACCTGTTCCTCGTCGTGACCCCTTAATTATATTCCGAACTCCGCGCTCCATCGTGCTGGCAGTGTACTTTCCACCTTATGTGTGCTTAAGTAGAGATCATCCACGCGTGGAAGATATTGACCGCGTCGCACATGCACTTATATACCGCGTCTACCGCCTGATCGACTGGAATAACCTCACAGATCGACCCGATGCTGATATTCCGACCGCGGCAGCCGAAACCATATTTTGTCATCTGTGCTAAACAGGCTTTGGGAAAAAGAAAGGGTCAACGAGACATTACGCGATCTGTAAAAGCTAGCCTGGCGTTCCCGTGCGTGCCAGGTGCAGAAAAGGGTAATTCCCCCTGCCAAGGGTCGTGGTTGTTGGGCAGAAAAGTCTCCCACTGGTCGAAGGATTCGAGATCTCCGGGCGGTGGGTTGTCCCCAGTTCATGCATGTTCTCCAAGATATATGATCGACAGACTTTGCGGGCAAAAGTATCAATTATCCATGCTTTTCAATATATCCCCTGCACTAGTCTAAGGAAGTTTCCAGCAAGGACTGATGGCGACAGGAAGACGACGGAGGGGCCGGCATCGTGTGGAGAGGATATCTTTTGCGGCACACTTGCACTCCATACATGGAGGACGGGACAGGAACAGGTTGATGAAGAGTTTGGCTCGGTCCGAAGAAGGGGAAAGCAGGAGGGTGCTGAGCTGGAGCTGAAGAACACGGTGAGAATCAACACGTCTCACTATTTGACAAACGATGGAAAGAGAGAGGTGATTCGATAGGGTGGCAGGGTGCGGCGTGGGGTTCGGGAGATGCGACAGGTTTGGAAGCATCGACGATAGCACTACTACCTCGTAGAGAGAAGGTGCTCACTCGTAGTATTACTTGGTCCTTCAGTACCTCATACCTCATAGAGAGAAAAGTATCTATGTACGAGTTCTCATAGGCTGCACTGTACGAGGTACAAGCAAGTGTGCAAGTCGAGTTGGAATTGTAAGTGCTTACCGAGCTGCACTTTCCTTTACCTATAGCCAATACTAGAGCACATAGCCACATAGCTACACAGTCCTCAGTCGACCAACAATGGAGACTCAAAGTCGATAATCTCGCTTTGCTCTCCCTCATCTATAGAACAGGTCCAGGAGATGCTTCAGACGGTGTGCCAGACTCTACCTACTTAGCCGCTTGTCGTGGATTAGTTGAGGCAATCTGCGGCACATCCAATGAGGAGACGAGCAACACGGCAAGGCTATTCCGCTTCTGAAGGCACCTGAGAGCACCATCCACCACCGTCGACCACGCGGATCCTCTCCTACTTGGTAGACCACACCCTCACCTTCTCGTTTCTCTCCACCGGCGCGCTATCACTGCCCTTCTAGGATTTGCTATTTGCATGTGGCTGATCTACATGCCCGAACGACGACCCTAACAATGTCGCTACTCTAGACGGGCGTCAAAGCGTCAGAGTGTCCGCCTTTCCCTGTGTCTATCGTCCGTCCGCAACCGGCAGCTGGGAACATCCACCACCACCCTTTTCCCCCCCAATCAACTCCATGAAGACCATCGACCATGGACGACAATAATGCGCAAAGCTTCGCTTCTGCATCTCCTCCTCCTCCACCTGCAAAAGAATATCCTACCCTTCAGCGTTTGCCATCCCTTTCCAACACCATCTCAGCCGCTCTGAAACCTTTTTCTCCAGCCTCCCCCGTCCGCAGAAAACCTCTACCTAATAACGTCTCACCTGTCCTCACGTCGCCCAAGACACAGACGACCGAGTCACGGATCGGGTCACCTTCCAACACGATACGGAGAAAGAGAGTCCCCTCGGATGTTGTGACCCAGACGTATGTTTGGTTGAGCCTCGAAGCTATTCCAGGTTCTCAGCTGACCCGAACAGGAATCCCGCTACCACCTCGCCCATCCTCAATCGGAGCAATACAAGCGATACCAACCCGGTCGAGACAACCGCAGACGTCCCTCTACCTCATCCTGCGGGCGACGGTGTCACAGCTTCTCCGAAGCGCGGCCTCACCTCCGAACGATCAAATGGTTACTCGGTGGACGGCGTCATTGTAGAGGAGGACATGGGGCTGAAACCCGGGTCGAGGCCTCCGCCTCTGCGGACGGATTCGACCTCATCCACAAAATCACTGACAGTGATTGACGCAAAGAAACCACAGACTCCGGGTAGCAAGTTCACATCGTTCTTCAGCCGTAAACCCGCTGCCTCGCCAAGCACCGAATCTTCAGTCACGGATATCTCGGACAGGAAGTCTCCTCTACCATCCCCCTATGGCCAATCGCCGCACGCTGCAACGAATTCCCCACCAGGATATCCATTCCCATCAGCGGTACCGAGAGCTCCAGCTTCACAGCCCTCCCAAGACTCGATTGAATTTGACGGAAGCACCTACGCCCAGACGTTGGTTAACAACGATGGCAACAGAATCTCCAAACTCGAAGCCGAACTCCGGGATATCAGCACGGAACTTGCCAATTCTATCAAAAGGGAGATGGATTTGGAGGACCTTGTCGAGCAGCTCCAGACGGAAGGTGCCAATATCAGCAGAGAGACCGATCGCACGAGTGATTACTTTTCCGACTCTGGCGCAAGTTCCATCAGACCGTCGACCAGTGAAGGTAACCCGAAAGAAGAAATTCAAAGGATCAAAAGAGAATCGGAGCAGCTTCGAGCGCAGCTAAAGGTCGAAATGTCACAAAAATGGCAAAAGGAGAGGTCAAGCCGGCAGGCATTGGAATCTCACATCCAGATCCTGGAGCAGAAGCTGTCCTTGAACCGTCGAGACAACAACGAATCTGCGGATATTACTGCGAGGGCCAAGGAGTTGGAAGTGGCTTTGGAAGACGCCAGAAGGCGGCTAATGGAAGAAAGGCAAATCAAAGAGAATTTTGAAGATTTGCTGACGGCTCTTCGTGTCGACCTGGAGCACCATCGGAACGAAAGAGACAATTTGCGGGACGAAGTAGTACCCCAACTTCGCTCACAGATCGAGGGCCTCGAGTCGACCTTGTCTGAATCACAGAAATCAGACTATGATTTTACGCGAATGCAGCAGGAGCTGCAGAGTCTTCGAGACGAAAACAACGCACTACAGAGTGCCCGTGCCATGAATATGCAATTTCAGTCGATTGCGGAAGAAGGCGATATTGTTGAATCACCCAGAGCCGCAACGGCTCCAAGTCGTGGTAGCGGTCTACAAAGATCAAACACCATTTTGAACAGGTCAAACTCCAGAGCTACGCTCAATCGATCGAATTCCTTGTCGAGGTCGAATTCTGTGGTGAATCGCACTGCTCCAGAGAGTCAGCAATCTCTTGCGGACCAACTGAAGGATGTGACAGAACAACGGAATGCCTTGCATTCAACCGTGAAGTATTTGCTAAGAAGACAAGAGGCACAAAGGCGACTGTTTGAGAAGCGCCTCAATCTGGCCGAAGCAGAGCGAGACCGAGCTGTTTCTTTACATGGACCCAAGAAGGGTGGTTATGAACGCGAAGTTCGGACGCTGCGTTCAGAGATCAATCTCCTTCGGAAACGGGCGGACGATGCTCTTGAACAAAAGTGGCAGTGTGAGAAAGGACTATCTGGCTTAAAAATGGACCTGGACCGAAGCAAGCAGGAAACTGCTAGTCTACAGACACTGCTACAAGCGCGTGACGAGAGTGCACCAGAAGTCCTCTCATCCACACTCGAACAAGCTCTGCGCCAGCTGGAACAACAGCGGGATCAGGCTAGACAGCAGGAATCGCTTGGTTCGTTGAAGCATGAGCAAGACCTAGCCAATGAACTGGAAATGTCTGCACAACGGTCTGAGTCATTGGCTGCGCAGGTCAGGAAGCAGATGCAGGCCAACGCTGCCTTGAGGAATCGACTCAAAACCGCCGTGGAGAATGGTGAGCAGAATCAACATGCATCGGCTGAGCAAATCAACGAACTCCAGACCAAGCTTCGCAAGTTGGAAGATGTCATCACCGTCGCTCAAATGCAATCGGAGACTGCAGTCATGAAGCACGAGGAAGAGGTGCGCGTGTTGAGAGCGAGCCACAATATCCAGCTGATGCGGACCAAATCTGGCCACAAGACACCAGGATACTTGACACCCGTGCCTCGGTCTCCCATGTCGCCCATGTTTGCCAACTCCAAAAAGAGCCCCCGGCTCAACCAGACGACTTCAGGCCCGGGCATAGCATTGCAGCAGGCTTTGAAGACCGAGTATCTGGAAAACAAGGTCGCCGAGCTAGAGAAAGCCCTCGCGGAAGCAGAAAAAGAGATGGGAGAAGTAGTTGGACGGATGAACACAGCTCAGATGGGTGTTGCTGAGCTGGAATCGGAGAGGTGAGACTTATTACATCGAGACGTTTAAAACCCGGCTTTGCTAATTTGTATCAACAGGGATGAGGCACTTCGCCAGACTCGACGACTCGAAGCTGCCATCACTGCGGAACGGGAGAAAGTGCAGGCGCTTCTCGAAGACGACTATCATTATGGTTCAGACTATTAATAACTTGACTACTATATACCCCTTCACCAAACAGCGCACGGAGAAGGCCAAGCGACTGCTCTTCTTTTCGTTTCTCGTCATGTGGCATATTAATGGGACCCAACACATATTGAGCGAAGGGTTGGAGGTCATGTGCATTATCGACCTTTTTGGTTTAATGAATTTGATGTCCTTTGATTGCACAGTGAACATTTGGCCGGCCTGGGAGCTCGGGTGATTAGAGATTGGGTTTCTGGAGGCTTGTTGTGTGGAGTTAAAGATGGCACCTTGAAGTTGCTGCTGAGAAAAGCGCCCTTGTACAGAACCACAAAAAGTATACTAATTACAGTCCAGATGAGAGGGAGAGCTGAGGACTGGGCTTGGATAGTGACATGTTTAACTTCTGCCGCCTGGAAATACGTGGGAAATTCGGTCGAGGCTGAAGAGAACACGATGCGGCAGGGGAGATACATATAAGAACAAGGCATATATGAATGTCGATATCTTGTTCTAATGAGCGTAACTTTGCGTTATAGTGTAGAAGATTCCTTACACCTGCAAGAGTCGCGCAGTAAATCCTGTGTATGATAAGTACGAGATACATGTACCGAGAGCCTCGCAAGCCTCGTTGACTTCCCCGCAGATTGTCCAGGACTCCTTCACATGCCTCCCGTGCCTCCATATCCAGCGTTATCGTTGATCTCACCTCGAACCTCTCCACGCCATCTCCATACTTTGCGCCGACAGGACTCTATGGGACTTGTCTGCACCTAGTAGGACAGACAAAGTTGTATGTAGATGCATCCCACGGTGTCTTTTGTGCAGAGAGCAATAATTCTACGGACAAACTAGTTTGGTGGCCACTCACTATTGACCAACACCCTGAATGATGCAAACACAACACAACCACCACAACCACCAAAGCCGACACTTGAAAGACATCACAGTATACATACGAGACCGCCAACCCCGAGAATCCGCAGTCCATCTTTGTCGACGACAGCCTCTGGTATAGAAGGCCATTCACCGCGTCGTTGCCATACGGATTCCGTCCCTGCGCGTGTGCAGTGGCACTCTCCGTGTCACCTTTGCGCTCGACTCTTCCCAAACAGAAACGATCCAGGGAAAAAGCCTGTCCACCTTCTTCATCATCACAAATAACTCGCGAACCCGCGCGTCCCGTACGATGCCCTCACCCTCGCAGGCACCACCACCGCCTCTCCCATCCTTCATATGGCACCTCGCGGACCTGTACAACGCGTACATCCTCCCCCTCCTCCCGGACCCGCTGCAGTCGCTGTCCAACAACATCTCCCCGCTGGTCATGTCTGCCGTCTCCGCCGCCTCCAACGGCGACATGGTGTCGCTGGCCGCGTTCCTCCTCACGGTGTACCTCTCGCTCAAGATCGCAGACTACATCCGCCGCTCGGTGATCGGGTGGGCGATTCTCGTCATAAAACTCGCGCTGGTCCTCGTTCTCATCAACTGCGCATTCTACGTCAACCGCTACGGCTGGTACAAGGCCCTGGCCGACGCGCAGTGGCTGGTCGCCCTGGTCTGGGGCTTCGTCGAGGACAGGGTCATGAACACCGCCGCCAGCGACGGCTCGGACAACGGCACCGGCTGGTCCGCGTATAGATACGGCAATGGAGCAGCGCGGCACGGGAGTCAGAATCAGAATGCTGCCTGGGGAGCTACGTACGGTGGTGGGAGGCAGCAGGTCCCCGTTGCGGCCGCGAGAGGCAGGTCAAAGGGCAAGACTGGGTACGGGTGGACGTGAAACAACGAACCAATGAAAAAGATATTGAATATTCTCCTGGGTGGTGTTATTAGCTTTTTTTTGGAGAGAGAGTGTGTGTTTTGGTCTACACAGCACTGCTACAAAGGAAGGAATGAGGTTCACGATCATAATTAAAAAAGCATTTCATTCCGGGTATCTGTTCTACTCCGCCCTCGCTGTCTTGATCGTCACACACATAAGGGAACCCTCCCAACCAACGCCGACGCTCACAAATATGCCTTTTTTTGTTCACTGTTCGTAGCCGCCAAAACCACCTTTCGGAAAAAAAAAAAGGACCTCACTCCTCCCGACTTATCACAACACAGACTGGACACTACTAGTAATCAGTCCTCCCAGGGGGCGTCTTCCGGTTCGGGCTCCTTGGGGTCTCTGGGTTCCTGGGCCTCGTGGAATTGAATGGCATCGTCGATATAACTTAGCACGTCACCGACACTTTCCTCGTCGTTGACGTCCAGCTGTAGAAATGAGACCATGCTGAAATCGTCAATCAGGCGAGCGACAGCGCGGTTGAGCTGCTTGAACGAGCCCCCGGACATGATGCTGTCGACTTCGTGCACGTTGCGGACGTCCATTGCCGTGTACTCGGGTGCTCCAACGACACCGGACCCGGTGGGGCCAACGAAGCCGGAGCCGGCGCTGGCATTGCTCGGCAGGAGATCGCGGCCCGTGTCCTCCTGGTCGAGGAGGTTGGCGTCTGGATCGATGAAGCGTCGCAGCTCGCGCTTGGGTACTTGGTCCTTGACCAGGTCCATTTTGGAGAGAATGTTGACGTGAGGCAGTTCCAGCATGATCATGGCGCTCATGGCGGAGAGGGTGCCCGCGAAGAACTTGGCCTTGTCAACCACAAAGGTCGCCTCGAGGAGGTATGCCGCGCACAGGGAGATGTTCAGGGGCCCCATGCGCGAGAGGTACTTGACCAGCTCCGGCAGCAGGGGGATGTGGGTGTACAGTTCGATCTGGCCTGGGAGATCGAATATGATCAGGTACTCTTCCGTCAGAGGGTCGATCGCCTCGGCGAGCCAGTCGAGATTCTGCAAAAGGAATTCAAAGCAGTAGATCAATCCGCCGTTGGGGCCCAGAGAAAGCGGCTCTTCCATGACATCCTCGAGCGAGATCAGGTCCCGAATGTCCAGATCTGGGGTGTAGCTGAGGTCCGTGGCGGCCGGGTCGAGGTTGACGTAGAAGGCGGAGCGGCGGCTGTGGTGTAGATGGGTTATGAGGGCGGTGCAGAAGGTGGTTTTGCCTGCACCGGCAGGGCCAGTGACAAGCACACCGAACTTAGACATAGTTTCTTGCTTTCCTTTGGCTGTTTCGAGTCTGAATGCGGATGTCGCTGGAGGGTGAGAGTCGTCAGGACGGTAACCGCTGGATTGTTCTTGTGGTTCGGTGAACGTGAAAGACGAGACACGAGTCCCCCGTAGAAAGAATGTTCACAGTACCGGTTGTAATTGCTCGTGCCACTCCAGATTCACAGTATCCGCCTAGTCCTTTCGCTGTGGTGAACGTGCAATAACGATGCCTCAACGTCGATCAAGCCCTTCTCTTCCGCCCTTCACACTTGCTGTCTCTTCCCCTTTGTCTCCTTGCCCTATCTCACGAGACGGTGTTCCTTACAAGAGTGATGTTGTCAGGATGAGGAATATGAGCCCTTTGTGCTGAATCTGTCCTGCCGCGTTGAATTTTCTGTCGGACCTCATGCCAACCTGATATTATATTCCCTTGGGCTTTCCCCAAAGGCGTTAGCGTCCTTTTAGCGGCAGTGACAATTTCTGTCTTTACACTTGGATAGCCTTAGCACAGATAGAGAATTCAAAACTCGTTGTTGTGTATTTCCTTCATCTCTTTCTGTTTGGTTTCATCATCTCTGTCGTCCAAGGCTTCGAGAAAAATAGACGATGATATTTCTGCCACCGCCTTCAGGTTTGCACATCCGAGTACGGGACCCTTGCAGTCGCCCAGCCGGAAGCATTTTCTCGGGACGAATCATAATATCTGCCTCCATGGGTCAGTTTAGTGAGGGGTGAAAAAGTGCAAGCGTGGAGCTGGAGCCGCCGCGGCACTTCAGACAAGTTGACCTTTGGAGTTCGGGGACGATTGCGCAATTCTCTCCCCCAGCTCGATTGCAGAGAAACAAATCAAGTCAGATCGAATCAGATTCCGTCGGTTCGGGCAAGGAAGTGTTGCTCACCGCCATCATCAGTGACCAGGCGTCCAGGAGAGAAAAGGATACCGCCTCAGCAACAGCAGCGACAATGGCTGAAAGAGAAAAGGGAAACAGAGTTGCCGGCATGGGGCCACCTGGTGCTGTCGTTGGCTCTGAGCCTAGTGGGCTTTGTGCTGTTCCTAGGTCCTCCCTAGTGCCCAGAGACCGCCTATTATTGGGATTACCGGGGCAGCTACTGGAGCTGCTGCTGGAGCCCAGGGCCAAGTCCAGGGACACTGGGTGACTGGGTAATCAACTGGCAAGACTGGTTTCCAGGCAGGCCAAAACTCTGCCGGTGCCGGCCCAGTTGAGTGGGTGGATGGGGGAGGGGGTCCTCCTTGTGGCTTGTGGGTGGATTCCGTTTGGTGTGATAACGACATCGCCCTTGAATTTTTTCTCCTCACCGTTTTCTCCGTCTTTCTCAGGCTCATCGGGAAACGCATCCCATCCCCACCTCCCAGGATTTTTTCCCTTTCCCTTATGATTTAATACTAGTCCCTCTGCCACATCCACCACCACCACCCATTCCGTCTTTCTGGATCACATCTACTTAACCGAGACACACACACTCCCTCTCCATCGTCCGGGCAGTCTCCTTCCTCGCGCCCCCAGGCACTCGCAACCTCGAAAAGAAAGGACTCGGTGTCGTAATCCGCGACCTCTTCTTCTACCTCCGCATTCTTTCGAGACAGTCTCTCGCTACCGAACGTCCTCTTTCACACACATACTCTCTCGATCTACCCTTTGCTTGACCGCCGTCCCCAGCAGTCGCAGACTATTACCGCCAAAATGAGTGGTCTTGCAAATGGAGTGTCCAAGGGCGACACGTTCCTCTTCACATCCGAGTCCGTCGGTGAGGGTCATCCTGACAAAATCGCGTACGTACCACTTTATTCTCTTCCTCAGACGTGTCGAGACTGACAATCCCTTTAGCGATCAGGTTTCCGATGCTATCCTCGATGCATGTCTCGCAGTTGACCCTCTGTCGAAAGTGGCCTGCGAGACTGCTACCAAGACTGGTACATCCATCTCCCCCCCAATCCGACCGGACCTCCCATCCTAACATGTGCTAGGCATGATCATGGTGTTTGGTGAGATTACGAGCAAAGCCCATCTCGACTACCAGAAGATTATCCGTAATGCCATCAAGGAGATCGGATATGACAGCTCAGAGAAGGGATTCGATTACAAGACCTGCAACGTTCTCGTCGCCATTGAAGAGCAATCTCCCGATATCGCCCAGGGCTTGCACTACGATGAGGCCTTGGAAAAGCTGGGAGCCGGTGATCAGGGCATCATGTTTGGTTATGCTACCGATGAGACTCCCGAGCTCCTCCCGCTGACCATTCAACTCGCCCACAAGCTCAACGCTGCCATGACCACCGCCCGGAAGTCTGGTGAACTCCCCTGGCTCCGACCGGACACCAAGACTCAAGTCACGGTGGAATATGCCCATGATGGAGGTGCTGTCAAGCCTTTGAGAGTTGATACCGTTGTCATCTCGGCCCAACACTCCGAGGACATTTCCACCGAAGACCTGCGAAAGGAGATTTTGGAGAAGATCATCAAGAAAGTCATCCCCGCCAAATACCTCGACGACAAGACCATTTACCACATCCAACCATCCGGATTGTTTATCATCGGCGGTCCCCAGGGCGACGCTGGTCTCACCGGCCGCAAGATCATTGTGGATACTTATGGCGGCTGGGGTGCTCACGGTGGTGGTGCCTTTTCCGGCAAGGACTATAGCAAAGTCGATCGCTCGGCCGCTTATCTGGCCCGCTGGATTGCGAAATCGCTCGTGGCCGCAGGACTCGCTCGTCGTTGCCTAGTCCAACTCTCGTATGCCATCGGTGTGGCTGAGCCACTGTCCCTCTTCGTCGAGACTTACGGCACCAGCACCAGAACCAGTGCCGAGCTTGTCGAAATTATCAACAAGAACTTCGACCTGAGACCCGGCGTCATTGTCAAGGAACTCAACCTGACCAACCCCATTTACTTCAAAACCGCCAAAAACGGTCATTTCACCGATCAGACTTTCACCTGGGAACAGCCCAAGCCTCTGACCTTTTAGATTTCCTTGTTTGTTTTCCGTACCAACACTGAAAACCATGACAAAGAATGACAAAGCACTGGCGTTCCATTTAATCCATTGGATTTTTTGTTGGAGTAGATATTCCGAGGGAGAGAGCACGTATCACTGATTTCCGGAGATAGAGGTGCGGCGAGGGATTTTTTCGATTTCCTGGTTTTCAACAGACTCAGGGTCGGGAATCTTCTTCTGCTGTACTTGTTTCTTTGACTGCATATGAAGAGGATGGCACATTTGTGCCCCGGGGTGCTCATGGAAAGCGAAAGACGTGTATGCTTTCCTTTTTTTTTTCTTTTCTTTTGTCTCGTACCAAAAAAAGATTATGACGGCGCGGGTCACGTCTTGACGATATTCAACATGTTTCGATGATACCCCCTGCTGCGCGCAAGAAAGACTATGTTTCTGCTTGTTTCGATTTATGTCTTTCCAAGGCATTTTGATGATGGGATGGCGTTCAACTCGCTAAACGAACACGACTGAAGACGGCAATTCAGGAGGGGAAAACCAGACACACAGCTTGTCTTCTGGATGAGCGAATAGGTTCGGCTTAGGGGGAGGACCAGGGCCGAGATCGAGACCTTGGGCACGGCTGTATTCTACTCTGTCCTCGCAACAAGGAACCGCTCATCGAGAGCGGAGGGAGATACTTTGCTGTTTGAAGCAGTCGATCAGGCTGGCTTTTGATCGACGGACAGGCATGTGAGGCTGGATGGTGATGGACAGGAAATAATGAGGTGGACCTAGAGTAAGAATCGCAATGGTTTGGACATCGCCACACTTACAGTCAGTCCATGATCGGTCCGTCAGTCAGTCACTCGGTCAGTCCGCCGTTCAAATAGAAAGGAGAAGGGTCAATACAACATGGTGCTCGATGTGTCCAAAGACAAGGCACAACAAAAATGGATGAATGAATGAAGGGGCAGGCATCAACTAGCTAGCTGCCCACACAGAAGGAAAAAAAGGGAGAATCAAAGAAGTATTCGACGCAAATTTTTGTCCTTGTTCGCTTTGCCTTGGATCATCAGACTATGCATTTTCCCCCTTGCCTTCCTTCCTTTCCCTCCGTCTCTCTTCATCACGCGTACATAAGATACATTGTACATGGATGTATAGTGACTCTGACGGCTCAGATGACGACGACTCAGACTTTGACTTTGTTTTTGATACTTCCTCCTTCCGCGGTGTCTATCCACATATCTATCTGTCATGTCCTTGCTCTTTCTTATCCTTAGATGGGTGTGTGTGTGGGTATGTATGTGTGTTGTGTAGGGAAACAAACCCATCTCCCAACTTCACTCATCCACTAACCCACTCCACTCATCATTATATGTACATAACATGCCCAACACCCATTCTATTCTATTCCATCGAATGATTCGACCATGGGTTGGTTGGTTGGTTGGTTGCTGGTTGCTGGACAAGACACATAAGAAAACCTGTCAAATGAGAGACTGGCGTGAATGGCGGAGCATCTCCCGACAAAGACTCTTTCCTCATCCTTTTCATCTGTTGCCAGATAGACCATCTGCCGTTGGCTATACACAAACATACCCAAAACAACTCCATTCGCGTAGCTTGTGTCAACTCGCTTGTCTCAAAACGCTCAAGCATATCGAACCCAAAAAAGGGACGGGGAATAAAAAGGGACAGAATGCCTCGCGTAACACATCGAACTTCCTCCAGTCCAGCTTCTTTTGGCCCAATTCGCCCAAATATCAGAATTCTCAAAACGTGTATGATGTCCCTCCCATTTGATGCTCGCCCTCGCCCTGACTTAGAAACAATTCAACGAACTCCCCTTTCGTTTCTTCGTCTTGCCATCCTTGCCCACCGTCAACAGCCTCATTCTCTCCTCGAGTTGTGCCCTCGCCGCCTCAGCCTCTCTCCTCTTCTTGACCTCCTCCTCCACTGCCTGCACGCTCAGTCTCTCGGATTTTCGCTCCTTTTTGAGTCCGACTAGTTCCTCTTCCATCGCCCACGCCTTCTTCTTCCAGGATTCCGCGTCAACTCGGAGTTTGTTAGACTGCGTTTCAAGGTCCACAAGCGCTTCTTCCAGCGTCGCGGTGAGTTGTTTCTCTGCATGGAGGTGTTTCTCAATCGTCCGCAACCGGTTTTCTTGTTCCTCGATCAGTGCAGACTGGCGTCGATCGCGGGAGTTTGTCGACACCACGGTACCGGACACAGGAGTCACGGGTAGCGCTACTTCCTTGGAAGCGTGGCGAGACTGTGGTGGTGAAGGGTTGCTGGAAGCCGGCGTCGGAGATGTGATTTGAAGAGCTCCAGGAATAGCGGGTAGAGGAGGGAGTGGAATTGCCGGCGGCGGGGAAGGCAACGATGCAATTGATGCAGATTTCCTCAGATTCGAAGTCATCGAGTTGGAGCGCGGGACTCCTTCCCCTGGCGGTGACTGAGGACGATGTTGTGACTTCATTGTGTTGGTTCGGGAACCGCTGTCCGATGCTGCCTCGTTGACGGATGCGCGTTGACTCAGATCCTTCTCCAGACTGGCAATGCGTTGCTGCGCTTCGATCAAAGCTTGGTTGCCTTGGGCTTGAATGACGGACAGTCGGTTGTGGTGTTGGTCAAAGCTATTCTGCAACTGTTGCTCAAGTTCTTCGATAATTACGAGCTTCTTTGCCTTCTCCGCTTCCACTGCTTGAAGATTGGCTTCGGCCTTCTTCAGCAGGTTCTCCTTTTCGCGAATCGTTTCTTCATGGTTGCCGACCTCGTTCGCAAGGCTTCGGATCGTATCCTGGTAATTGCTGATCTTGAGATTGGCATTGGCGAGTTCTTCTTCCAATTCAAGCAAGCTCTGTCTCCCATCGAGTTGCCTCTCAAGCTCCGCGTTGGTACCGGTCAGCCGAACATTGGCCTCGGCGACATGGCGTTTCTCCTCGACAAGATCCTGGATATGGCTCGCGAGCATATCTGCCGTAGTTGGGTGGCCAAGCGCTGCTTGAGCACTGGAGACGATTTTCTGCACAGTTGACAAAGCATGCTCAAGATCTGCCTTGTACGTCGCCTCGAGTTTGGCATGCTTGGTAGTGATTTCAGTCATTTGATCATCGTATCCCGCCAATGCACCACCGTGAGCCAGCTTCATCTCCTCAATTTCGTTCCTATGAGCTTCGCGAAGAGTCTTCAAATTCTGCTTGGCCATCTCAGCTTGCGCTTCTGCAAACTTGACCTTTTGTTCGAGCTGTTCAATTTCTGCCTTCAGCGTGGCTATTTCCTGTTGTTGAGATTTGACCATCTCAGCATGGGCGTCGTAATCTTTGCTGAGAGCTGTATGGAGTTGGCGAAGTTCCAGGTTCTTCGCTGCATGGTCAGCGTTGAGCGTTTGTTGTTCTTCCAATTGCTGTTTCAGACTACCGATAAGTTCCTCGTAGTTGTCGCGCTCAGTCTGCATTGCGTTGGCCGCCGCAGCCCGGCCAGAGGCATCGTCCCCTTCTCCGGCTGCTTGCTGGGCTTTCAAGGTAGCGATACTTGCCAAAGCCACCTCCAATTCGGATTTAGTACGCGTATAATTCTTCTCAGACTCCTCAACCGCTTGTTGCGCCGCCTCCAGTTTTGTCGTCAACTCCTCTATTTGTTGTGTTAAGGCATGGATCTTCTCCTCATTTTCGGTGGTCGATGGGGCAGACTGCAGATTGGCCTTCTCGTCGTGCAACTTTTGGATTTCTTCTTGGAGGTCTTGTTCACGACGAGCATAGCCCTCATGTAGAGATTTCAACTCAGTCTCTTTTTGAATAATCTGGTCTCTCAATTGAGACACCATATTGAGGTCGACAGGAGAACCCGCCTTGATACTGGTTCTTTCCCTTGTCAGGCCAGATATTATCGTCGACTTTACCTCCATTTCTTTCTTTGCTGTCTTGACCTCTGCTTCAAGAGCTTGTATTCTTTCCAAACGTGCTTGAAGTTCGGTGTTGGCAGCCGAGAGGTGTACTTCGGCGGTCTCCATACGATCAGGTTTCGCCTCAAACTCTTCGGCTAGGAGCGTTCGCAGAGAAGTAACAGATCGCTGGCCTCGATCAACCCCCGTGCCACTTTGTGAAGTCATGCGTCTCAGCATACCCGGAGTACCAGGCGATGCAGGCCTAGTCTGCTTGATCTGCGATTTGAGCCGTTCCACAGTGGTCAAGGCCTCCTTGTGATCAGTCTGGAGTTGGTGATATTGTTCGGTAACGTCTTTCATATTCTGTTCGTGTTCCGCCAGAAGATGTTGCAATCTTTCAATCTCCTGCACTTGAACCTCGACAGATTGAGTAGTCTTAGAGACTGGCGTAATGTCGGTATCGGTCGAGGTCGATGACTCCCCAGCCATAGATAATTCCGAGGAGAGCGACCGCGAGGAGGGCAAATGTTGACCATCCTCGTCTTCTTGAGGCTCCTCTACCTCCTCCAAGAAAGACTGATCTTTACTACTCTCATTGGCTCCATCTTCCTGCGGAGACACTGTACTTTGGCGTTCCTGATCAATCGAATCATGCATTTCCGCCAATGTTCGAAGTGCTTCTTGATATTTGGCCGACAGTAAATCCAATTCATTGACCGTCGATTCGTGCTCCAACCTGAGGTCAAACAGCTCTTGACTGACTGATTCGAATTTCTCAGTGATGAATTTGGACTGTGCCGGGCTCGGAAGAGGTTCTGGGACATGGTCCGTTGTGAGGCTTTCCTGTTGAGCGATGGCGGTCTCGAGCTTTTCAAGACCCGCTTGGTCACTTTCTGCACTCGTTTCTTCTGGTAGATCTTCCACGCTCTCATCAAGTTCTCCATCCAATTGTGCCGGTAGCTCGGTTGCTTCTGCGGTCTTAAGGTCCTTCTCGTGCTCCTCACCAACACCGTTTGTATGCTGTGAAGTTACAGATTTCGCCTTTCCGTCTTTGTCTTGGATATGGTCGAGTTCGTAGAGCAGATTGTCCAGCTTGCCAAGGCTACGTTGGCGTTCAACAAGGTGCTGGAGTCGCTCAATCTCGCGTTGCATGATTTCCATGTCCTGGTCTGCTTCGGCCAGCCGCTCTTCAAGGGTACAAATATAATCTTCGGCGTTCGTCTCACTTTCTCGAATCCGCGAAATCTCTTTGCGCAGGTCTGTGATGATAGCATCGTTCTTTTCGCCTCCAGAACTTTGGTCATCGAGCCTCGCTTCAAGGTCATGGAGATACTGTTCAGTATTCGACTCTCGGTCCATCAGTTTCTGCACTCTGGCGTTCAATTGCTGGTTGACTGTTTCGACAAAAGCGCATTTCGTTTCTTTTTCGAGAAGATTGCTTTCGGTGGTTGCAAGGGATGAGCGTGTGTTTGAAAGATTGTTCTCAAGACTTTGAATCGTCTTTTCGTATTCCATCACCACCTGTTCAATCATTTCTTGGTTGGCCTGGGAACGTTTCAGGCGATCCACTGCACTTTCTCCCACAATGTTCACTTGGTCAATAGGCTCGGTGCTCTTTGTCAGTTCCGAGATCAATTTCGCGTGCCTCTGACTCAGTGCATTGTAATTCTCTTGAATATCCAACAACTGATTCTGAAGCTCGTTTTCCCGATCGCTAGGTCGATCACCTCGCTCAGACATCATACCCGGTCGACGGTCGCTCGTTTCAGCGCTTCGAATCTGCTGCCTTAGGAAGGCGATTTCAGTGCGCAATCGTTCAATCACAGCTTGCTTGTCTGCTCCATCATCAACTTGCTGGATCTTGGGTTTGCTCTGGATGTTTCGAGCCCGCTGAGCGTATTGGACCGTATTGAGCGTCTCACTGAGGTGGAATTCTGCGGGCGTGACGCAAGCGATCATATAAGTGATTGCGTTGCCGCCTAACGAGTCTTGCAACATTCGTGTCAATTTGGAATCTCTGTACGACACATAAGTCCCCGGTGTTCTTGATGACAGCTGAGAAATCACTTTGCCCAGACTTGCTAGTCCAGCATTGATTGAAATTCCTTCCCTCGCACGGTCACCAGTAGCCCCGGTGTTCTTGAGCCGTTCACTACCTGCCAGATCGACAAAATGGAGCTTGCTCTCGACGGTCATAGGTGCATCGCCTCCAGACATATGATCAATGGGGACTGGCGTTCGTTTGTCCTTTGCCGGAGGGAAACCTTGGGCTTTTGTTTGTCGCAGATTAATCGTGAAGACGGCGTGAGAACGAGACGACCTTGCATTGATAGCTGTTGCATCGGTCTGTCGAATAGCGGAACCATGGTTTAACACTCGCATGAGTTCCTCGATAGAGGATACTCGCACTGAGTTGAGGCCTTCTACAAATATTCGACCTCGCGGATCTTCGCGAATTTGTACGTTGGCTCTCTCGGTGAATGGCGCATCTTCTGGGAGGAGCAAATCTCTCGGCTGTTCGTTATAAATCTCAACATATGTCACCGACATATCCCAGCCCCTGTCGATGAATGATTTAGATGTCTGCATAACCTGGTTTAAACTTGTGACTGAAAATCTGGTTGGTGTCTTGAGGCCTGAGTTGTGTCTGCTGTGGGCAGGACCGCCATTGAGGGCTTCGAACAAGTGTTGCGCTGCTCGAGGAATAACACCTGTCACAACGGGTTAACTGAGTTCTGCCCTGGCCAGGAGTCACTCACCTTTCAGAGAATGATCGAATTGCTCTGCAGGACCTGATGTGCCCATGGTATAACTTTTGCCTGCACCAGATTGGCCGTAGGCGAGTAAAGACACATTGTAACCCTGCAAAAACGAATCGACACTGTCTTGTAGGTATTCCCAAACGGCATTCTGAGTGGTGTCTTGACCAAACACACGGTCGAAAATGAAAATCTTTCGTCCTTGGGGTGACTCAACGGCAAGGCTGGTATTTGTATTTACTTGGACCATCGATCGCTGGAACCTTTGTGGAATAAGGTCAAACCCGGGATCTGAGGGGCCTAGAGGAGGACGAACTCGGACGACTTCACAAATAATTAGTCTTCTCTCCAGTCACAAGGTGTCTGCAATGGTGGACATACCAACTTTGACCGAAGTTTTGACATCTTCATCCGAGGCTCTGCTTCCAATGTGATTGCTGCTCTGGCTCATACGACTGTGGCTTCGCGGAGGACGACCACTCATGCTTTGGGGGCGGTTCTTCTGGAAAGGGTCCGGCGACGATGCGGAGTAAATGCTTTGAGGTCGTATCTGCCTTGCTCCATCAGGCGAGGCCGGAGGAGAAGAGACCATTTTGTTATGCGCGTCTCTTGTGATTCTGTACCAGAGGCGCGAACACTCCTGTCCCCGCGATGGGATCGAACAGTGTGTGTTAGAGAACCCAGCTCCTCGATATTTCTGGCCGACGGGGACGCGTTGTTGTCACCATTAAGCTTCGATTCTCAGAGTTCCGGAACAAAATATCCCAAACAGAGAGCGTCGTAGAAGGGTGTGGATGAAAGCTTAACAATCTTTCACCTCGAGACTCGACAGGCTGTGGCAGGTACGGGTGGGCTCAAGGTTGGAGCGGGTCAACGGCCTTGTTTTGGACGGTTGAAGGTGACCAGGAGTGACAGTCGCAGGGATCAAGCGGATAGGCCCTTGATAGACAAACTCTTCCTGGAGTTGTTGATCAGCGAGTTCAACACCACGTCGACCGGGAGAGTGTCAAGGGCAGCCGCAGGTGCGATGCTGCTGAGAAGAATCAACCATCCGAGTAAACACAGAGGGAAAAAAGTCGGCCTCGCGTGTGAAAAGAGCAGTCAGGAGTTGTCAAAAAAGTCGAGGCGAGGAGGGTTCATGCGCGGCCATCTCGCGTTGTGGGATCCCCTAAGGGGTTAAGCCTGTTCCTGCGTAGGCAAGGCTTCAGGTACCTAGTTTACCCCGAAAGTGGCAGCAATTGGCAGACTTAATCTCCGGCCTGCGCGGAAGTCGACTAGTGGATCAAGCTAGAGGGAGTCGCGGTTTATTTAGCAACGGCCCCGGCAGGGTGTGGAGAGTCTAACTATGCCCATTGGGCAGGTGGCTGACGGGAAGCCCACACGGCCTCACTACCTGGTCCTAAGCTGGGCTTGATCCTGGAGCAGTGCCTGGGGCTATCCCCTCCTTGTGCCTAGAACGTGGAGCTTGGGGGCTTTCAGCCTTCGTTCACGCTACGACCGACTTGTACCGAGTAACCCAGTTCCTCCTCGTCCTTGTACTCGATATTTTCGGTATGGCTTCAACAACCCAACTGGGGCTAACTTGTGATCCCATAGGACCTATGCCGTTCACGGGAGAGATGCACGTTTGGCCATCAGTGGCCGTCTTCCCGAGCCAGCCACATGACTAGGGGCTGCGTTTCACACATGCCTTCTCCTATCCTAACTCAGGGGGTTGATTCGAGACGGCGCAGTCACTACTGCAGGGGACCTCTTGTTACTGTCCTCGCTAAAAGCACATCTCTCGCCCTCTTTCACAAACGGTCCTGGCTTGTCAGTTGATCTTTGAGTTTGAAAGAGAACCAGGCCTGTTAAAGCCACTGTTTGGTGGGATCAATCCGTTATCCAGATGCTCCTGCATTCCCGTTGCATGATCCATCACAGAGAATGAACGCAACGGCCCGAATCCTCGAGCATCTAGATATTCGACAAAGCTTGAGCCACCGATGTTGCTGTCAGATGTCAGGGTCCACGTATCGAGTACTCGCAAACGATTATGCTTCTGCGAGCAAGAACGCTGCAGACTAGACCGGCTATTCTGTACGGCTTGGTGTAACGATGAGGTTGGTCGACGCTTCGTTCTCACCACCTCGTTTGTGGCATTTGCGCATGATGCAAATCTCCCTGACTCAATGGAGTTTCCTGTACCGAGTATCTAGCAGGCGCAAAAATGGTTCGTAGCACCTACACCATAGCTGAATTTTGGCTCCGCACAAGTCTACCGGCTCAGCTGCACTAGTAGACGTTCACCTTTCTTGCAGTAAATTCAAGTGAAACAAGTGGCCTTGCACGTGGAGAAGTCCGACTTGAAGACAAGGAATTGAGGTAGGATAAAGTTTGAGAGGTTGTCCTTATAGGCTCTAGGCCATCATGGTTTGTGATTCAGGACAGCGATAAACCTCGAGGGAGCAGGTCGGCATCGCTGCAGCAGGGATGCCCTTCGTCACCAATCTCGGAGATAGCTCTGTTTCTTTTGTTGCTTGGGGTGTTGTTATTGTTGACAACCTACGGCATTATCTGTAGGATGGTGACAAGATGCGGGGTTCAACAGGTGAGCGCTTCGCTTGTGAGAGATGTTTCACTTCTGCCGCAGTTTTAGAGAGTCGAGCAGAGCTTGGTCCTGCAGTCATCTTAGTGCATAAGTGATGGCGGCTCTCCTCAAAGGAGACTGGCTGGGCGGAGTGGGATGGGGTCGCGCAGGTGCCAGGTTTGTACTCGTATGGATCGAGTCCTTTAAGGTATTGTGCCCAGACAGATCAATTCGTGGCCTAGCCCATCGACCCTGGCTTGGATGGTCTGTGCTCCATATTTGTACTTGCAAGAGGACCAAGAAGACTTGTTCTGAGAGATAAGGCGGGGGTACCCTGTATCATTGCACGCATGATCTTCAATAGCGTGGATCCGTCCAATATCAAACTGTGTCAGAGACGCTTTGACCTGTGGGGTTATCGCTATCATCGTCTTGGTCAACATCGTGCTCTTCGTCCTCGGAACCGCTTGAATCAACATCATTTGTCTCGTCTCCTTTGGCGTCACCATCCACGCCGTGCTCTTTCATGTAACTTTCGAGTTCTTTGGCCATTTTCCGGGAGAAGCCGGACGCTTCGACTTCAATATCAAGTCGTCTGGTCCCATCCTTGCCGACCAGTTGCCTGGCATCCTTGAAGAATGGCCCGCTATCCGTGCTGATAAATCCAAAACGTCTTGCAAAGAAACGCTTCACGCATTCCACATCCCTGTCGAAATAGAACTCGGCATTTGGGTGATCCACACTGACCATCTGGGGAAAGTCTATTAGAACGGGCACCAGCTGGATGTCTTCGGCTTGCTCTTCTTCTTTGATCAAAATGTTGAACTCATTGAAGTCGCCATGAATCAACCCGAATGAGCACAGGCGCACAATCATCTCGACCAGCTCCGCGTACAGTCCTGCTGGATCTGGGACCTTATCGATCTGTCGCAGGGGGAATCCATCAATCAATGACATGACCAGCTGGTGTCGATTCTGGCCTAGTGGCACTGGGACACTCAGGCCTGCGTTGTGCAGGGCTTGTAGAAAGGCAAACTCTTTGACAGCAGCTAGCCGTGACATGTACATCCAACTGCCTGCTCCTCTCTCTTTCTGGGCCTTTGTTTTGGCATAGTCTCGTTTGTTCCGTACGCCCTTCTTGAAGCTCACTCTACCCAGACGATGGATCTTCAGCACCCGCTGTTCGCCCTTGTCGTCGCTGACGACGAATATGTCACTCTCTTTCCCGACCCCGATCTGATTACCCACACCATAGACAGTGTTACTCTTTTGCAACGAGTGAAGCGCCAGATAGTCGAGCCCGCCGTAAGTCAGCCTGTAGCCGTCGTATTTCGCATTTTTGACCTTTGCAATCAGGTTCGCTTTGGCAAGCAAGGAGATACTCCGTTGTACATCGCCCAGACTGGATTTCGAGAGGTTGGCAATGAGTGGGGTGGGGACGACTTCGTGATTTCGGCTTCCCGTCTCGACGGCTGTGAGGGTGCGCCAGTCGGTGGGGTTGAGGTATCGCAGGGACTTGGTGTCGAGTTTCATGATTTCTTGGACGCAGGATCCTCAGTACTCAGATGCCATGATTGGGATAGTGAAAAAAGGCGGCTTGGGTCGAGGAAGATCACCAACAAAAATTCCCCAAATGTGAATTTTGATTCCATCTAATCTAATCTGGATTTTGAGGGGAAATGCCACCTGGTGTGACCTTTAGGCTTCAACCCCCACGAGTTACAGGAATAGGACCAAATGTATGAGGGACCCCCCCCCACGCTCCAGGTGTCTCATTTTCAACAGGTTGTGTACTTGGTAAGTCCACATTCTCAAAGGGGTCTCCCCCAAGATTCCCTTCAATTAATTGAGGCCCATCTGCGAGTAACTCCGGGAGAATTCCGCCTTCGATCGAGGCGGGCAGCCCGGTAAAGTTCCCGGATGCTGCACACCTCTTCGTGTTTGGCATCGCCGGTTGATCCGGCCAATATTGGTCCTGCATCTTCGATGACTGGACACAGCTCGGGGTTATAGGGGTATACCGGCGAGGTAAAGTGAAGGCTCTAGGACAAACAGTTCCACTGCTACCCTGAAAGTTTTCACGGGATGTCCAAAAGGAGAAACCCGAAGCTGGAAATACATTTTCTATCGAGAGCCACAGAACCCGAGCTGCCATCGAAAGTCCAGCGACATCGCCGCGTTTAAGCGCTGCTAGAAACCCCCACCTGGAGGAGATGAATGAGCATTTCTTACAGCGTGACATCTGGCAATTCTAGGCACTCGATGTTCTCGGGCCTACTTACGCCGAAGTGCATGTGTGGGAGGGGAGGGCGTATCAACTCACAGAAGCCCTTCGAGCGCAGGCGGCAGATGGCTGAATGGAAAGCCATACTGGCCCAATGATCCCATGTCTCCTCCACGAGTTCGCCCAGTTGGCCCAGCTAAGCCCCACCCGAACAAAGCTTTGAGAATGGTTATTTCCCCGCATTGATTTCTTGAAGAAGCGAGCAGGGCGGGCACGGTGGGTGATACAAGGACTGCCCCAGTTCTTATATCTCTCATTTGTCCTCTCCTACGCTGCTTGCTGACCTTCTCGGAATTCATACCCTGCCTGAAAGCTATACGAGAAGCCACCCAAGATGTCCGCAAAACATTTCATCGACGACCCGACTCACCTCGTCCAGACTTCTCTCCACAGCTTGACCCTAACCAACCCGTCTGTTGCCTTTGATGCGCAGAACCGAATCGTATATCGGCGACCAACGAAGGAGTTGACAGAAAATCCAAAAGTCTCCATTATCACCGGTGGAGGCTCAGGACATGAGCCGGTAAGTCAACGAAGGATGTTGAAGAAGAATGAATCCTGGGACTTCCCACGGTCATGATCCCGATGCTCGAGACCTCTCCAGGTGTGAACCCCGACTTCTTGGGACGATGATTCTAACTGCGTGATTCTGCCTTTGGACAGGCATTTGCAGGCTTCGTTGGGAAAGGCTTCGTCACAGCTGCGGTCGCAGGCACTATTTTCGCGAGTCCCTCCGCCGAGCAAGTTCGGCGTGCCGCTCTTACAAGAGTACCCACAGAGAAAGGAGTTGCTATTGTCACTTTCAACTACACCGGAGATGTCTTGAACTTTGGCATGGCTGCCGAAAAGGCAAAGGCCGCCGGTGTTGATACCGAGTTCTATGCAATCGGCGATGATGTGGGCGTTGGCCGGGCAAAAGGAGGCAAGGTTGGTAGAAGAGGTATCGGTGGTTCTATCCTGGTTCTCAAGATAATAGGTGCTCTCGCCGAAGCCGGTGGGAGTCTGAAAGAGGTCTACAACCTTACAAAACAAGTTGCCGGAAACCTTGTGTCTGTCGGAGCGTCAATGGAACATGTCCACGTTCCTGGGCGAGAGAAACCAGACCCAAACTCTGACGAGATCATACCGACGGAAGAGATTGAGATCGGTATGGGCATTCACAACGAACCGGGCAGTCATCGCGTCTCCGCAACACTACCTGAACTCATCAAGACTATGCTGGCGCAGATGCTAGATCCTAATGATAAGGACAGACACTACGTCGACATCAAGAAGAATGACAAGACTGTCCTGCTGATAAACAATCTGGGTGGTGTTAGCAATCTGGAAATTGGCGGCATCTTAGCTGAGGTGCACAAACAACTCAAAGAAGACTGGGGTATTGTTCCCGTCCGAGTCATCGCAGGTACCTTCATCACTTCACTTAACGGCCTGGGATTTTCGGCATCTATATTGAAGCTGGAGGACACCGGACTCGGACCAGGCAAGTCAATGCTCGAACTCCTCGACGCCCCGGCCGAGGCCTTTGGGTGGGCTGCCGCCACCCGGACCTCAACTTGGGAAGCTGATAACACCGCAACTATGGAGGGTCACGCCGCGGTGACAGCAGAAGGCAAAACCTCCAATCTAAAACTCGACCCCAAGAAAGCACATGAGACCCTCAAGGCTGGTCTGGACAAGATGATCGCGGCAGAAGCAGAAGTCACCAAGTATGACACCATCATTGGAGACGGCGACTGCGGCATCGGTCTCAAGCGTGGAGCTGAAGCCGTCCTGAAGGAGCTCTCGTCTGGTGACCTACCTACCGACGCTGTCGCTTTTGTCAATAAAATTGTGCCCGTGGTGGAAAACACTATGGACGGCACTTCCGGTGCCATCTACGCCATCTTCCTCAATGCATTGGCCCATGGACTTCGAGAACAAGACACTGGATCTTCCACGACCGTGGACGCCAAGGTCTGGGCTGCAGCCCTCAAGTCGAGCCTTCAAGCGCTGGGCAAATATACACCGGCAGTGCCCGGTGACAGAACACTGATGGATGCACTTGTGCCTTTCGTCGACACGCTGAGCAGCACAGGGGACGTCAACAAGGCAGCACAGGCGGCTAAAGAAGGCGCTGAAAAGACCAAGAGCATGAAGGCGAGCCTCGGAAGGGCTGTGTATGTCGGTGCAGAGGACGAATGGATGGGCAAGATTCCGGATCCCGGAGCTTGGGGTCTGCAAGAATTTCTGATCGGACTAGCTGGTGCCTGTTAGGTACGAGGCAGTGTCCTGCACACATCCAGGCAATTCTTGTCCGCGTCACGGAACGTTGACATCTTTCCTGTCACGTTTGCCGGGGAAGAAATCAAAATCGCAACTTCCATCTAGGTATGTAGCTCTCAAGAGATTCAGAACATTTTCTTGCTCATCCTGTGATGCTGAGTTATCGATGATTTGCCACTTGGTCTCTCATCGCTCGCTCTGGTGCCTGCACTGGGCACCGCGTTCCTCGAATACCGAACCAGTATCGAATTTTTGATTCAAGTGTCATCGTGAAGCGTCGTGCCAGGCACCCTATCCTAGAAGTTGTTGTTTACACCGAGTGGCTGCCGTCCCAACAACAAACACTAGTCCATAATCGTGAATGTGTACTCAGGGCTCTGAATCTCCATGCGCCCCTCTCGTCAATGCGGTTTCAGCTCAGCAACACCAAAATAACACTATCGCCCCGTAGAAACATTTTGCTGATGAATCGATCCTTGTTGACTCCTTTGGCGCCTCCTTTACCCTTTTCCGTCCACATTTCCTTTACGTTCTCCAGGACCATGTTGCAGTGGCGGTCAAAGGCTTTGACTCGTGCAAGCAATTTTCGGTTGTTCCGACATGAGATCAATACTTGGGTGTGTGTTCGGGTGGCGGTCATGAGGATGGAGAGGGGTCCCGTGGAGAGTTCGTGGGCTTCGACGAGGGAGACTTCATACTCTCTAGAAACCGGAGTGTTAGCATTTTGAATGGGGACGGAGTTGTCGCAGTATGCGCGATTAACGCGTGACAAAGAAAGTGCGAAATTGGGTATGATAGGGTTGATGCATGCACGGGTCAAAATGATGATGCATTGGGGGTTGTGTGGTGGTTGGGCGACACAGAAGGTGATGATCAGAGATGGAAGTGGAAAGGGAAGGCGGAGCGGAATCCACCTCGAAGGGGGTGGGCGGAGGCATTGAGGGGGCGCAGGGGGAGGGAAAACACGGGTAAACAGGAAGAAGGGGGTTAGCTGGAGATACCACGTACGTCAATTCACTCCTCGGCTTGTTCAGAAGATCCCTATTGCAGAAAGAACACGGAAAGGTCAGCGAATGTCCCTCCAACCTCTAGCAAGAAGACGGCAGCAGGTCGCTGCGGAGATAAGCTTGGGCCAGGGACCGGGGTATGAGTCAGAAGGGACATACTGGATCTTGGAGGCGTCGGCCATGGTCGCGATGCAGAATACTTAAAGAGTCTCGATTCCCATGCCGTGCAAAGCGAGGAAATTTCTTTACATTCTTCTCTGGCAGAGGAATTATGCTCGGTCGAGTTGCCTTGTTAGGTGGGACTTCTGGAGGTGGCCAGAAGAGGTATAGTCTTCTTGACCATTTGGGGCTTAGCTCCAATTGACATCATCCTCCACCCTGCATTGTTCCGAACCCCGAAGGGCCAATGCAGAGGTCGCGCCTGAGCTCAAGCCACCCGCAAACACGCGACCGAATCGCGCTACAAGTTTCTCGATAGTCAACGCTCCAGCTTCACCTATCCTCACTCCTCCTCACCAAGCTCTCAATTGGCACCTTCCTTTCTTTTGTTAGTCTTTGTAACATTCCGCATGGGACGACACTTCTGTCTATTTTACAGCTATCATCTCGGAGTTTTGATTCAACACATCGTCACCTTCCCACTGTCCAAGCAACCTGTTTAACTTAGTTCCCTAACGAAACACTCGACATCTCTTCCCTGTCCGCCTCCAAATCATACCCTCTACGCGTTTCGATCCTCTGCTTCACAACCTCACCGTTCGTGCTAGCAGCTCCTTGAATCCTGGATACGTTTCCTCACTCGTGGCCTCCGCCGTCATGGCCACTTCTCCTGCAGACGGCGTCTCCATACGGACGGTCAGACTCAAAGTCCTCTACACATTTGATTCGGAGCAAAAGGACAACCACCTTGCACGATGGCCTCAATCCTTGGAAGTCCAGACTGCTTTCATCGACGACGTCAGTCAGATCGGGGTGATCGACCTGCGGACGTGTTTGGAAGCTGTCACGACTGCGAGTCCTGAACTCACCACGCTCGTCGATAATGACTACACGATCTACGCATATGATTACTCAGAGCCCGATACACCCTTGGTCGGACAAGGGATGTTATCAAAAGCACTATCTGGTCAGGCTCAAAGCACGGGCGCTGATAGCGAGGCCATGGTCACGGGCAAGATCTCCAAAAACATCATGGGTTTATTCTCCAAGAATGCTCAAGAGACGCTGGAAGTCAAACTTCGATTTACACCCGTCAACGCATTTACCCAGACCAGATATCGCTCCGGCAGTGTCAGCTCACAAGATGGGATGCGACCTCAGTGGAGCAACAGCGCTTCTCTACAGTCATTGCAGGGGTCAGCTTCGCCGATTGATACTTCAGGACTAGAGACGATGCAGAGAATGCTGAACGGCGAGACGCTGTACGGATCAGGGTCAGGCAGTAGACCTGGAACGCCGACAACAACACAGCATCTCGGTCAACTTGGGCGGCAGTCCGGCCATTCATCTCGGCCTCATTCCAGGACGGGAATGCGTCAGGCTTCTGAAGGCAGGCGTGAATCGTTCCAATCAGGATATTACAGCGGAGACGAGAACGGAGAAGAAGGTCCCGCAAGAAAGAGAGCGAAGATCACAAAGGTTGACTTGCCGACAAAGTCGAGTTTCAACATCGAACGGCAACCCGAATCGCTAAGAGTCGTTGCAAGCACTGCATCAAGCCTTCGGCTTCATCGCCCAATTGCTGTAAATCCTGCAATAGCTGTTCAACCCAATTTTCAAAATGAAGAAACTGCGAGGCCACCTACACCAATTCCCGCCTCGAAAACAGCTAAACCACGAGGAAGACCAGGAAGACCACGAAAGAATCCCCCAAGCAATTTGGCACAGGGATCTCAAATTAGGGAATCATCTCCAGCAGCAGACGTGGGTCCTCGGCCTGAACTCCTTGCTGTGCCTATTGCCTCGCCCGAGGACACTCGAGGTCAGAGTGTCGGCAGTACACCGGCCAATATTCCGTCATCGCCACCTGTTATGCCAGAATTTCGACAGCCAGCGGTTACTAGCCCCGTCCTTCCGCCTGTAATGGGTTCCTCCGGACATGACTCAGGTTTTATGAGTGGTAACCTCGAAGACCTCTTTGGAGATGATCAATTATTGCAGTTTGAGGACTTCATCCTGGATAAACCGGAGGATCAAGATGAGGAAGTTTGTCAAGGAAAGCAGCGCCCAACCGATCCATATCCTCCAGTCTTTGAAGAGGGTCACGAGATCGAAGCACAATCTGCACAGGCTGGGTATAACATCATGCCCCCACCGCTTCCCGTCACATCAAAGCCGCTGGCTAGAGCCCGATCGTACACTCCAGTACCAACGCCACGAATCAGCATGTCATCTCCACGATTAGCCCCGGCCCCCATTCCAAGAGCCCGGCAGATCATGGAAGAGCAACGTGAGCAACAACGCAAGATTGCCCCTGCACCTCTTGTTCCGAAGAGTGATCCCGCGCCCAGAGCACTACATCGGGCGCAAACGTGGGCACCTGACAGCGATATTCCCATGTCAGATGCGCCTGGGGGTGATGAGTCGAGGGTGAAGGCCGCGTCCAAAAAGAAGGTTGGCAAGGAGCAGACCAAGGCGAGATTAGAGAACGCAATTGCAAATGGGATAATGCCACCTTTCTGTGACAATTGCGGCTCAATAGAGACTCCGGCGTGGAGAAGAGCCTATGTCAAAATTTTCGATTGCTCTTGGGATGATGTTGAGACGTCTCTGAACCATGGTGAATGCTGCTTCAAGGAACCCATTGACCACAATCCCGATGGAAGTGTGAAAACCTTCCGAGGTTACAAGGTGGACAGGCGACAAGGCGATGAAGCGGATGATTGGGAGGCCATTACATTGTGCAATCGTAAGTCAATTGGGGTCGTTTAGCAAGCGTTGCTAACCTCGTACAGCGTGCGGTTTGTGGTTTCACAAGCAGAAGTGCCCTCGGCCTGCATCGAAATGGCAAAAGAAAGATCCCAAGGAGAAGGGCAAACGCAAACGAAATCCACCCAAACCCTTTGGGAAGTCCAGCGGAAATCCTGGCCTCAGAAGCGATGCCCAGAGTCCTGCCAGCGACGACTCCTCTCCGGGTGACTCGGCCACGGAAGCTCCTGATGCGGAAGAAAATGACACTGAAATCTCTCAAAACGGCAATACTGCTGCTGACGATAGCGAACCGCAACTGCCCCCAATCCCGCGTTCATTACGGGCAAACAGCGCCGATCCGGGAGCTAGAGGTCTGCGGGCTGGAACCCGTCACCAGACTGGTGGCAGACAGGTCCAATCCAGTCCTACACGTGGCCATGGGTCAGAAGATTTTCCTGTCGAGATCGACCTCACACCGAAGCCTGTCCGGAGGCAATTGTTCCCGTCGCCAGACAAACCGCAGCTATGCTCTGGTTCTGGGCCGGCAAGTACAGCCATGCATAGCTCCTTGCCAGCTTTTGTGAGACGGAGCCCCAGACTCAACAAAACTAGGGATGCCTTCGCAGTACCGGCAGCAGCTGTTGAACTGCAAGTCGACGGAAAGGAGAACGTGGCGCCAGTACCTGCTGTGGTTGATGATGGTCTCGCGGAACTGTTCGAGGAGGGGCACACCGATATTCAATTACCACCCATGACCCCAACGCCCAAGAGACGATCTGAACGAATCCTACTTAAGACACCCTCGAAGACACCGCAACGTCAATTCGGTGCCATGTTGTCTCCCAACCTCGAGCAATCTCCTCATTTCCGAACCCCAAAGGCCAAGCAGGATCTCCATCCTGCTCTTACTGCGCTACTTGGTACTGGGCAAAAAGACGTGCACCAAATGACACCTTTCACGCGCTCGATTCATGAAGCCTTGACCAGTGATCGCCCACTAGGCATAAACCTGACGGAGGAAGACAAGGCTCTCTTACGGGACTGTGAGAAAAAGGCAACCCCTCAGAAGGCTATATCATTCGACTTTCCTGATTTGCCGTCTCTCAAAAATTCTTCCCCGATATCGGGTGACCAGCTCTTGAACTTCTCCTTCTCGGAAATGACAACAGATCAGTTGACAAGTGATCTGATTGATCCTTTCACCAACACCGCCATGACGAGTTCGCCCCCTCCAGGCTTTTTCAGCTATTTCGACACCGCGGACGTGGAGAACGGCGTCAATTCGATGTGGGAGAGTTTGGTTGATGTGAATGCAGCTTATCAGTCTGGGCAATCCGCATATCCTGACCCTGAAACATTGGCTATTCCAAGAGCTGTGCCTCAAGGAGTGCGGAGAAGTCCAAGAAGACAGAACGCGAAATGAGATACTAGGACGACTTGTGTTCTTCAGTGGCAACTGAGGAGGTTGTGTTTGAGACAGCGACTTTGATTAATTTGCAATTTCCACATCTGCCCAGGTTGGCTACTGTATATCAGGCGCCTATGACACGTGTGTTACTCAGGCACAGTTTCATGGAGGATATCGGTAATGTCGTCTTTGTGGTCGTCATAGCATACAGCGTCGAAGACCAGTAGTGGCCCGTTCGACCCCTCGAGCAAGGCGAAATCCAGCTCTTTGGGGAAACCATCATATCCTGTTTAAAACAGACTTGACATCCCATACTCTAACTCTCCATTTTCCATGGTCTGGAACATTTCTACGGGCGACGACCCAATCTGTTGTAAAATACCCTGAGAGCTTCGTACCATTATGACCTGCGCTTCTGCTCTAGTGCATTATCAGCCATGCGGTCAACATGATGTAGCTTCAGTCCTAGCGATTCGATGCCCTGCTCTCATGTTTGTCTCAATATCCCCCATCCATGCCGGACTCGGAGTCACCGTAGAAGATGTTCTTGTACCGATGGGTGACGTCCACGACTGCCTCGAACAACTTCAGGTCTGGAAGTTGTCCATTTTCGTTTCGAGGCCATTCCGTGCTGCTGAGGACTCGTAGACCCAAGCCGTGCCCGCCGTCCGTGTTGGTAACTTTGCCCACAATTTCGTACATGGAGCCGACCGAGAGGTGGGAGTCTCTACATGATTCCGTCAGATTTCGCAGTCTCGCTAGATGGGCACACATATCGGGACGCGCGATCCATACCTCGCCAGGAGAATTGTCACCGCGTCTGAGCCGCAGGTCAACGTCGCCTGATCGCCGTTGACGTGGCTTATGATTCCCAGCATGCGTACTGTGTTGTGGGAGGTGGCATTCGGAGCAAATGCATGGAGGTGAGCAGGGAGGATTCGGGGCGTGGACATGGAATTCATCTTGACGCTTTGCTGTGTTGCTCACTGAATTGTGGACTTCTCTCTCTCTGCCTCAATTGTAGGAGTTGTGTATGAGGTACTTTGTCGGGTCTCTTGAGTGTTTGGTGTTTGCCCCTCTTAAAAAACCACTTTACGCGATCGACGCGTCTGCACTTCGCCTTCAAAAAACGGCACCGTGCACCATTTCGGTCACGCACAGGTGTTGCTCGGTGTCGATCTCCGAGAATCAGCCCGCTGCTTAACCCCAACTCAACTCCGACAGAGCGGCGTCCATCCCGCAGCCCACGACAGACCGTCAGTATTTCAATCCTCCCACCTGAATGTCGTCTGGCAACTGAAGCACAAGTTAGATGACTACGCCACGCAAAGGGAAAGCGCCGGATCGAGGAACAGCATCTCAACCCCGGTTCCACTCATCTCCAAAACGGCCAGCCGCCGCTGGCGAGGGCAGTCCCTCCGCAAGAGCCTCAAAGAGACACCGAATCTCTGTGCCTGATCTGCTTTCACCCCAGCGAAGCAGCAACTCGAATAGAAGGTCTCGAGGCGAATGCTTTGAGGGAGAGGGAAATATGGAAGTTGATAAGAAGATGCAGTCCTCCGGGGCTCGCCACCCCAAAGATGCTTTTGCCAATATGTACGAATTCAACTCAACGAGGCTGAAGAAAGACCACCTCAACGATTCAAACCCTGTGCCGGAGAACGGCAGGACCAAACCAGCGTTTGCGAACCAGAGAGTCCCTTTCAACCCACAGACGGGCCCGAAGAAGCTTGTTGTAAAGAACCTACGGGCTGCCACACGCTTGGATACACGGGCGTACTTTGAAAAGACATGGAAAGAGAATGACAAAGCTCTCGATGCTATATTCAAGAACGAAAAGGATCCATACTCGTTAGAAGAACTATACAAAGGTGCAGAACATACGTGCCGGCACGGCCACAGTGCGGACCTCTATGAACATCTGAGTACGAAGTGCGAGACCCATCTCAATGGCAATGTCAGAGATCGTATCAAGCGGGAAGAGTCAAACTCGTCAGACGTCGACGTCCTCAGAGCACTCGTCAATGCCTGGCAGACTTGGCAGAAACAACTGCAGACCGTCCGGCAGATCTTCTTCTACATGGACCAAACATATTGCCTTCGTACTCCAGACAAGATGAGTGTCTTGCAAATGGGCTTGAGCAAGTTTAGGTCTTCAGTGTTCTATGACCCATTTATAAGGCAGAAGTCACTTCAAGGCATCATAGCTTTGATCGGATCCGACAGGAGAGGAAACCTCAATGAGACTGACGCCAGGCTCCTGCGCCAGGCGGTCGACACTTTCCATCAGCTGAGCATTTATACCAGCGACCTTGAACCTACGCTTTGCGCTACCACGGAAGAATATTTCAAAGCATGGAGAGATACAGAGTCTAACAAGGACTCACTAGGTGATTATGTCAATAACTGTACTGCTCTTCTGGCCCGAGAGATGGCGAGGTGCGATTCCTTATCTCTGGACCGCAACACGAGGATCCGAGTGTCACGCCTCTTTGATAACATCCTCGTGGAAGAGGAACTCGAAACGCTCACCAATGAGGACGGCATCTTGGATCTTCTCGAGGACGACAAATCAGCAGAGCTAGAACGACTGTACACTTTGCTGCAGCGCAAAGGACACGGAGAATTGATTGCGCCGAGTTTTAGTAAGTACGTTGAAACAGAAGGGTCTTTGATTGTGTTTGATGAGCAGAGGGAGTCCGAGATGGTCATTAGGCTGCTTGATTTCAAACGGCGGCTGGATCATTACCAGAAATACTCCTTCCATGGCAACGAGGCATTGGGCAATGCCCTTCACAAAGCCTTTGAGACATTCATCAACAAGACCAAGAAATCCCAATCAAATTGGGACACGGATAATGCTAAGCCAGGAGAAATGATTGCGAAGCATGTCGACCTTCTACTCAAAGGCGGCGTCAAAGCCGTTCCCCGGCTTCAAACACACAAACAAGATCCAACCAAGCCTGAGGAAGAGCATGATTTCGATGATGGTGCTGCTGACGAGGACGCTGAAATCAATCAACACCTGTCTGACGCATTAGACCTCTTCCGTTTCGTCCATGGTAAAGCCGTCTTCGAAGCCTTCTATAAGAAAGACTTAGCTCGCCGTCTACTCTTGGGTCGGAGCGCCTCGTTCGACGCCGAACGGAATATGCTCACCCGCCTGAAAAATGAGTGTGGTGCGGCATTCACGCACAATCTGGAATCCATGTTCAAGGACATGGATCTAGCTCGCGAAGAGATGATGTCTTATAATCAGCTCATGGATGACCGTGGCGGCAGGGCTCCGGGTCTGCCAGATTTGCATGTCAATGTCCTTTCTGCAGCCGCCTGGCCAACTTACCCAGACGTGGCAGTGAATATTCCTCCGCACATTGCCAAAGTCATGTCGGATTTTGAGACGCACTACAAGGCCAAACACTCTGGTCGTAAATTGACCTGGAAACATTCTCTGGCACACTGTCAGCTACGAGCCAAATTCCCCAAGGGAAATAAGGAGCTCATGGTGTCGGGATTCCAGGCCGTCGTGCTTCTGCTTTTCAACGACATCCCGGCAGACAAACACCTCACGTACAACGAGATCAAAGCCGCGTCGGGCTTGGTCGATGCCGAGCTGAAGAGAACGCTCCAGTCCCTGGCGTGCGCCAAGTATCAAGTCCTCCGCAAACACCCCAAGGGTCGCGACGTGAACGAAACAGACACATTCACCTTCTCACAGTCGTTTACCGACCAGAAACTGCGCATCAAGATCAACCAGATCCAACTCAAGGAAACCAAGGAGGAGAACAAAGAGACACACATCCGGGTGGCGGCGGACCGGCACTACGAGACGCAGGCGGCGATCGTGCGCATCATGAAGAGCCGGAAGAAGATTGGGCACAACGAGCTGATTGTCGAAGTCATCAAAGCCACCATGACCAGGGGTGTGTTGGACCAGGCGGACATTAAGCGGAATATCGAAAAGTGCGTATCTTTGCCTCCCTTGCCTCCCAGTCCCCTTCCCCTTGACTTTGGCTCTATTGGACTGCGATCTCGACTTGAGATACGAGCCAATGCTAACTTTTGCTGCGTGCACACTCAGGTTGATAGAGAAGGACTACATGGAGCGAGAAGAGGGCAACACGTACTCCTACGTCGCGTAGGCCCGCCTACCTATCTGCTCCTGCCGACCTCGCCGCCAGGCTCGAGAGCAAGTCCAGCGATGGCGAACCTTCCGCTCCTGTGGTTCAAGCGAGAGCTATATGTTAGATGGATGGCATGGGCTGTGGACATGAGATGCTCCGACGACGCGCCGCCCACTCGGCACTTATTTCTATCTCGGCAGGGTTGGGTATTTATGTATCTGGGTGCGTGTGTGAGTGTGTCAGTGCGTGGGTGGTGACAAAGAACAACAGACAACCGCTCAAGAGCATCCCACGAAAACGACCTGGACTGCTATACGAGGTAGACGGGGGTTGCTTGCAGAATTAGAGACAAAGGGAATATATACAGACAGTCCTACGAGGGATTATTAGGTGCTCGCATCTTCCCAACATGAAATGAATCAGGCTCTACGACCAATGACTAAAGAACTGTGGTCGAACATCCTGACGTGTTCCACAACAAAGTCGAACTCGACACAAGACACCAACTAGGCAGCACACCCCAGAGTCCTCAATTTCTTTCGTTTCTGTTGCAAAAAAATGATAGATACTATGTATGGCACTAGAAACCGTTGATTGGCGGAGTCTCTACATCCGATGCAGACAAAAACGTGGCAACGTGGCACATACTCAAGAGGTGCCCCGAAAAGCATTAATGTACTCCTCCTCAGATGACCCTGGACCTGATCAAAGAAATGCACAGACGGCCGACAATCCTACATTTCCCATGTGGCGGTTGGTATTTTGCGAGCTCCTCCTGCAGACGATTCCGAACATGATCCCAATTCAAGTCACATTGATTTGATCCCTCATCACTTCACATGTCTTCCTGGGTTTATAACGACCCATGGTCGCCCAACTTTGGCTTTTCGGTGAAGATTCGACCCGGTCGTATAAGCTGGATGACCACTGAGGCGCGGACAACGTCTAGTATCGCTCGTCCGGACGTCCCGAAGAGCTTCGTCCGTCACCATAATGCTATACGTCTCGTTAGCCACATCTCAAACTGTACCAATGCAGCGAGTAGAACTACCTTCTTCCTCAAAGCAGCAAGTCTCTTCTTCTTTGTGTGAGTATTGATATATGTGCCAATGCAGAAAGCGACCACGTTGAAGAAAGGCACCCAAGTCTGCTCGGGGAGGAATTTCTGGGCAAAAGCCAAAGCCAGCGGAGAGGTAATCCAGCTGACGCGCATGACAGGCCAGAAGCCGGCGCGGATGGTAGCGCGGACTTGGTGCCAGGTGCGGGCTCCGGCAATGATGGCCATGGAGGCGAGATACACGGTGTTTTGGATGGGCGCAATCTAAGTCAAAAGTCGTCAGATATCGAGCGTTGCAAGTGAGATATGTGAATGTGTGGGACGCACCACCAAGTTGCTGGTCAAGATCTGAAGAATCTTTGCCTTCAGGCTGGTGCGACCAGCAAAAACCCATTGGAGCAGTCCGATAAGGACGTGACCCATCGGAGCACTGATAAATGCGCCATAGGCAGCCATCTTTGGAATTCTGGAGGAAAAGTAGTGACCATGCTTGCTCTTATCGTGGGCGAGCCATGAAGCCAACAGCTCTTGTAGTGCGGATAACGTGCCGGAGGTCAGCATCTTCGTGCGCAGAGGGTTCGATTGAAGCTGTCTTAGGTATGCCTGTTGCGCAATGAGTGTCGCATTCAACAGAGAGTGCGTGAGATCAGAAGTCGAACCGCTAGATAACCTGTCTGTTGTTTCCCACCGGTCAAGGCCTCGCCAATCTTATGCGCCGTACTCTCATCTCGACCACCAGGCGCGACGGGCGCCGTGGTTGTTCGGACCTGCTCTTTCTCGAATTTGACGGACATGGCGGCGCCCTCTCAGGGAAACAGTAGACTCGGAGGGTGAGCAGTAAATGCTGTAGCAGGTAGTGTCAGCGGAATTGCGGCCAAAGGTGTGAGATAGATGAAGGATAGAAGTAGACACAATCAGCGCGCTGACGGGATGAGTTGTTGACAAAGACGTAACATCGGTGCCGAGGCCCTGCAAAGGATTCCGGTGTATGGCGGGGATCGCAAGGCTTGAATTGTGGATGTGGCTAGGAAGAGGGAACGTGATACTTACGAACGTGATTCTGAGAAATGGAAAAAGGTCCGTGAGGAGGAGGAATTACGATCGGGGGGTTTGATTGTGAAGGACAGAGAAGGAGGTGAAGGGGGGGATCAACGCGTCTCCGTGAGAAGAGGCGGGCCGAGGACGAAGTCAATTGGGAGGACGGGAGTAGGAAGAGGCGGAGGACGGAGGGAACGCAGGCAGTCGTAGCGTCAGTGGTGTCTGTGGGTGGCAGGGAGCTGCAGGGGAGAAGGGACGGAGGGATGGAGTCGTAGTAATGATTGCTCTCGGTACGAGCACTTCGTTGTGAGTGAGTGAGCTGGCAATGGGTGGGTTGGCACAAGCTGCCAAAGCTGGCTGGCTGGCAATCTCGATGCACAAACGCACCAACCGAGTCCAACCAGTCAACTCTATCAGGCCTAAAGTCCACCACTCAGCGTCGCCCATGCTGCCAAGACATAAACATGGCGATGACCGACCTCAATGGAGACCCCTCTCACTTCATCTCTATATTGTTGAACAGAGGTTAAGATGTCCAACACCTCCGGAAACTGTATTCGGCGGGCATATGGATTTTGTGAGATCCCGGTAGATGAGCAGATACAGAGACGGAGGAAGGGAGAGAGACACAAAAGAGCGGGAGATGTGCAGCAAGGTGAGCCTCTGGTGCCTCTGGTCGCAGCTACATTGATAAAAGGTAAAGAAGAAGATGGGATAAATGGTCATGTAAAGAGAGCCTGGGCCTGCGGTGCTATCAGACCGCGCAGGGGAGACGAGAGAGAGTTGGTGAAAAGTCTACCATTACTTGCTCCTTCCTGCTACTTGCACCCCCCATCCCATCGTTGGCTTTAACCCTTCACTTCTTCATCTCTCACCACCTCGCCCTTTAGCCTCTCTCTGCACTGGTTGGTCTGTCTGGTGTTTGAATGTGATGCATCCCGGCACTCCAATTGCCTCGCATTCCTCCCGCCATGCCTCTCCTCCGCCGAAACATTCTCAGTCCCGAGAGACGCAACCCGTGCACCCACATGACCATGACCCGTCTCTATGACCCCTATGGCTCCTTCAAATGCTCCTTGTGCCATAAGCATCCTAACATTGGCTGGCTCTATCGATGTACCCAAGACACCGGTGGTTTCTTGCCCGAATCCGACTTCACAGACGAGCCAGTCATTCCAAAAGGTCGAGCACTCGGTCGAGATGTCAACAATCAATCTCTCAGCAGTTCAATCGTCAAGGCCATTGGACAAGGTCAATATACTAGGCAAGAAGTCAAGAAGCTGATTGAGCAGAAGGAAAGGGTCAGGGATCTTGTCCTCGGCCAGCAAGAGCAGGATGAGAGCCGGCCTACAACGGCGTCGACTTTCACTACTGTGACTACGACATCCAGCGACGCTGATGGAACTGTAGCCTCTCTGCCTCAGAGCACTACATTTTCGACCAATTCCTCAACCGAGCTCGACGAAGAAATAAAGGCGGCGTATGACTGGAAAGAGTTGCAAAAGGTCTGGATGTCGGAGCCAACAATCCCTCCTCCCACTCCCCGACCACAACCCTCGACCCCAGCACACTTCCCCCAACAGCAAGCCAGGCTGCCATATATCCAGCCGTGCACCTTCAAAATATGCCCTACATGCCGGCCAACCTACCGCGAGCGCGCATTCCAGTCTCTCAATCAAATCTTGAACAAGCCAATCGAACTCCCACCTGATTGGGAGTTGCAAAACCGCAGAGTATCTGATGCCCGTGTCGTTGCCAAAATGGGTTTGTCCAAACTCCCTCAGCCTCGATTCTACGCTCAGACCGATCCTGCTACCCTGCAGTCCTTTCACAGCATCCCCGACATCGTCGTGGACCACCCAGATCCCGAATATCAGAATATGAGAAGATCGTTCCTTATGATAGACAACACAGAAAGACGGCAGCACAATGACTACACCCGTCCCTCGTCCAGCACACGCAGTGGTTTCCGACAAACTGTGCGCAAAGCCCTTGCCAGAGCTCGCATCGAGGACTCTACATCCACAAATTCGAGCACCAACAATTCCGAGCCTGGTGATCCCGAGAGCCAGCCTCGCTCATTGATTTTCCGACGCCGCAGAGGCCGCACCCCCATCTTATCCTTCGCAGAAACACATGGTGGCCGAGTTGTCGACACCAGCTCGCTCCAGGATTCCGTCATGTTGATGTTGGCCACGAACACGCCTTTGCCGAACACGCCAACCCTGGCTGGCTTTCAATGTGGTCCTAGCATGGGATACTCGGGGGGTTCAGGACCCATCAATAGTCACGAGAATTGCCTCCGGAGTGTGGACATCATCAGCCAGACCTAAGACATGGTGTCTCCGTTGTGGTCCCGCAGCTTGCAGCCATACCGAGAATGTTGAGAGTCGAAGCAACATAGCATCTTCTAATACTGGTGGGGTCATGATTGCAGAAACACAACCACATACGACCATGCCTAAACATGTGTGCAGTATTTTGCAAGCCAGAGGCAGGGAATGGTGGCTACGATGATAATATCTTGGGTGGAGAGTTTGCTGCACGAGTCCGATCGTTCATGTTGCCATGTTAGCTTGAGAGCAGCGTACAGTGGACCTGAAATATGCTATTTGACCAGCTCATGAACTTGTACACGGCCTTTCCTTCTCGCCCACCATGTTTGATACACGATTTCTTCTTTGAAGCACAGCAGACTCTGCATGATATTCTCCAGCCCATCACACATCGTCCATCGCCTATTGCCCACCACCCAGCCAGAACAAATGTCTCAACCTGCACAATACTCGCTCATCTGTTTTCTTTTTTCTTTTCCTCTCGTTTCATTTGTTCACGTCTGCTCTATCTCTCGATTCTCCTTTCCTTGTGTTTGGTCCTGGTCTGTTGCTGTGACGCCATGTACTCGCTCTCTCGGTCACTCAGTCACGTCCGGAGAGAAGTAGAGTCGTACTTGGGTTTGGACCCAGTTCTGCTGTTACGCCGCACATTCACAACACTTGCTCGCGTACATGCTCACATGCTGGCCTGGATTCTTACAGAGATGCCCATCAAGAGCCACGTCGACCGCGGTCGTGGCTGCGGCTGCGATCGCGACTCGGCACGTACGAATCCAACATCCCGTAGCCGGTGTGGCCGCCATAGCCGCTGTAGAAGAAGGGGCTGTTCTCGCGATGATCATCCACGGGTACTGTCGGACGGCTACTGCCGCCTGCACCGGCATCGGCTCTGGTTCTGGTTCTAGTCACGGCTCTGGCCCAGTCGTCGACCCTGGCGTCGACGTTTCTGTTGTCATCGCGGTCCCATTCGCGTTCGAGTTCGCGCTCGTGGCGTCGGGCTTGCGAATATGCTTGGTCGTAAGCTCGGTCGATCACGGGCGATCTGGAGCGTCGACGGCTCCGGTCTCGACGATGTCGGTGATGCTGGTCACGGCCGTGGTGACGGTGGTGGTGCTCACGGTCACGGTCACGGCGACTGCGGCGGCTGTGGCGACTGTGGCGGTCGCGTTCGCGTTCGCTCTTGAGTGACGGCGACTTTGAACCGGGACTCCTTCCACCGCGCTCGTGGTCTCTGATATCGTGGGAATCGACGCTCATAGGGGAAGCAGGCTCGTTGAACAAGGGGGCTGGTCTGGCGCGAGAGACGCTGCGGACACGTTCCTGGGGGTGATGGTGATGGCTGCTGGAGACGGCTGCGTTATATGGCGCGGCAGCAGAGGTGTATTCGTCTTCCTCGTCCTGGTCATAGCGGTGTCCATAGCTGTGCCGATGGTCTCTGCTCGTTGCTGTCGCACCGCCACTGCCACCGCCACCAGCATATGCCAGATGGCGTGGATCTTGATCGTAATGGGTGAAAGTGTCAGGGTGAATTGCCTGGTGAGAGTAACCGTGTCCACTTGGGAGATCAGAGCTTACCCATCCGTAGGAGCTCATGTTCTCGCCGACATGACCACTGGAGATATCTGGATGAGGATGATGGGGAAGTTGGTATTGATACTGATGCTGTTGTTGTTTGTAATTCCCCCCATCAGTGCCACCGCTCCCACGTTGTTTCTCTTTCCTGGATGGCAGGCTTGGCCCACGCGGCGTACCCTTGATCTTGTCCATCCCTGCGGGATCAAACTTGCGCTTCTTGCCGCCGGTCAAGCAGACGGCTGCGTTTTTGGCATGGTTGAATGTGCTTTCGAGCTCTGCAATCATCGAAGGGTCGGCATTCTTATTCTTGAGGTACAGGAGGATGTTTTCGGCCGTGTCGCGCAGGAACTTGGCTCTCTTGACTGCCACGTCTGTGTCATCCTTGTCGTCCTTGTCGACGCAGGCCTCATACTCTGCTCGAGCAGTTTCGTAGACGGACCACAACACTGCTAATTTGGGTTCCATGTCGCTGCGAAGGTGTGGGTCGCCAGGCGACAACTGGGCGGGTTTGTTCCCAGGACCCTTCTCAACTGTGCCGGTCCTGCCCAAACACAGCTCTGTAAAAAGGCGTCCATCAGATAAATAGTCACGGGTTGGAATTAGGATCAACATACCCTGCTGCAAAGCCTCGGTCAGTTGCACGGTCTGCTGGAGCCTTGGTGTCAACGCGTGGGTAGTGTCACGGGTGTCAAAATCAATGTTCAGATATTCTTTGCAGTAGTATTTGATCGCTGCCGGGTTGTTGAGATGTTGCCCGTTCTGAGTGAGGATAAGAAGTGACTTGTCGAAGACCGTGACGTGTCCATCCTCAAAGGCCTGCGAACGGGATTTGATCAATGCAACCTGACGGTCGAAGAGGTCAAAAAACGCGTGCTCGTATGAGACAAGGAAGTTGTCGAAGGCTGGGCCCAGACCATCAACGTTCTGCGCTCTCTCGACCAAGCCTGGGACTTCATCATCCGGGCTTCTCGCCAAGTTGGGGAGCGGAGAATAATGAAGGAAGAGAGGGCTTTCTTCTGCCATGGCTGTAACGACGAGTTCCTGGGTTATGGCATTTGTCGACGGGTTGCAAAAGAGAGGCAGGTTTCCAGGATTAGTAGCAAGTGATGGGGAGGAGCGCAGGGGTTTTGAAGTGTTAAAGCTCCCTTTTTCGTGCCGTACCCTTTGAACATGGTCTCCAGCCTCGCCACGCTCTGGTCGTGAAGTGCGAGGCTGCGGTGTTTGCCAGTGAAAGACTTGGCGCGAGGTAAGGGGGCATTTCTGTTTGTCCGTCCTCTGTGCAGAAAGACGAGTTGGGCTTCTCCTGTCCATACAGCCTGAAGTCGTGCTCTACCCTTCGTGCTCCAAGGAGCTCTCTCCAGCCAGCCCAAGAACGCGTCTCCTAATAAGAGCAGGAACATTGTCGACATGGATTCACAGACTCCAGTTTGCAAGTGAATAGATCGTCACACCAAACAAGGTCCTTTAGCATGTCATGGGTGAAGACATCTCTGGTGAAAACCTCCTCCCTTGTCTCCGTGATTTCACAGAGGATCCCACTTGCACAATGGCACACTCCCCCACAGTCAAGATCAAACAGCAAGCGTCCATTATAGAACCAAGTTGAGGTTATTTCATCCATGGTATAGACTCAACGGGAAAGAAGGCCGGAGACATGTCCAGTGGCATGTCTCGTTTGAGCCTAGGCGGTTCAGGAGTTGGCTTGACGGTAGGTGCTCAAATTGTGATGTCGACAAGGGAATTCCTCTCAACATGCATCCATGCAAAGGATTCTGTATACAAGAATACGGGCGATGGAGTGCGTGAACCGGGTTCCATGCTCTTTTCTCCTTTCGAAAGCCGATCTCGTGGAGAGGTGGCTGCCGCAAAACTGTTGGGTCAGACGAGAGGGAATTCGTGGATGTCACCTCTGACGACGTGGATAGATCTATACGATAAGGGACGGCCAGGCGATGCTAGGTGAAAGAGATATGAAAAGCCGTGGCCTAGATGCAATTATAAGTTGGCGGTTTTGATGAAGCACGTCAAGTCGACGGCGTGAGGATGGAAAAAGGTTCAAAGGCGCAAGACGGTGAGCTGTACTCGGCACGAGAAATTGTCAACGCTCCACCCCGTTAATCGCGGTCCAGGAATGAACGATCCACAGCGCAGAGACCTGGCCACTGACGCACATTGACGGCGTCGTCATGGAGGGAAGGGAGGGCGTTTGTCGACGAACCAAATGGCAATGCAACGAGATTGTTTGATGTTTGGAGACTGCGCCACCTCCACGGCCCGTCTTGGCCACAAGGCACCGCAGCATGTCGCAGAAACAAAGCATTTATGGCATCAAGCCAAAGCAACCAGTTCAAACAAATGAGCCTTCTCATTAAGGGGGAATCTATCTATGTAGAGCAGAAATGCAACCTATCTCGGGGTTTCCAGTAGGGATCCCGGGTACACAAAGTACAGGTAAGTATCAAAGGAGATAGCCTTACTTGTGCTTGGTTGCACACGCCCACGTAGAATCAAAGGGGCAAAGCATATCGCCAGTCTATCATACACTCAAACAAGACAAGCTCATAATCACCGAGCCACCTTGGGCACAACCGAGAGCCACCTGCTCAGGAGGAAAGACGCCATTCGCCTACCACCGCCAGCGCAATCAAAGCCCAGCTCCATGGTCCCGAAGCCACATCGCAGAGCATTCATGATGCTGCAGTATCAGAACTTTTGGTAGAAAGGCATCTTGCCCCAACTCGAGTACAGTGATTGTGCAATCTGGGTGAAAGAAAGGTTGTGTTAAGACAGTAAGAGTAGTCCATGCAACATCGTCTAAGCCGTCGCTTCGGCGCCTTCGGCCTTGGACGCATCCTCCTCTTTTGTGCCATTAGGACCACCTTCGCCTGCAGTTTGACGGCCCTTGACATACTCGTCGTAGACAGTGAGCGCTTCGTCTACCTTGGCACGAAGAGCATTGTCGTCGTCGATCCTGCGAAGGAAATAAAGTCAGCCACCAGCCGAAACACTGTGGAGCATCATGAATAACTTACAGCGCCAGCAATTCGGAGTTGTCCATTTCCAAAAGCATACCGGTAATCTTGCCAGCAAGTTCCGGTTGAATCTGTTGGATCTTGGGATAGATAGCTTCACCAAGCATCTGTTTCTGTTGGTTGGGAGGCAATGATGCAAGATTGCTAAGGCCGCCAGCAGGGACCTCTTCGCGACCAGGCATCATCTGTCCACGGCCTTGTGGTGGCAACCGAGCGCCTGCTTGCGCGCCTGGAATGTTCTGCATGTTACCACCTCGACCGCCTTGCGGAAACGCGCCGCCACGCACGCCAGCCATGCCCTGCATGTTGGGAGGCATACCCTGCATGCCTTGCATCTGACCACGACCACCGGCGCCACGACCCATCTGAGCTTGCATCTGGGCCAATGCTTGAGGATTGTTGTACATTCCGTTGACAAGAGCTGGGTTCTGGATAAAAGGCATCTGTCCAGGCAGGCCGAAATTGGGAGGAAGCTGCTGGCCTTGCGGTATGCCACGGCCTTGTTGTGGGAACCCACCAGGGAACTGTCCACGCCCGCCTTGCATGCCGGGAATAACCATCCCAGGCTGACCGGGAAAAGGCATGCCGCCACGCTGAGCTCCAGGTGGAAGGAACTGCTGTCCAGCTGGACCGTAAAAGACTGTTGGCTGGATGTAGCTTTGGGGCATACCAGCAGCAGCCGCTTGTTGTTGCTGACGCAGGGTGTTCCGTGCTTGGATACTAGCCTCGAGTTGACTTTTGCGAACGTCCTTGCGTTGAGCGAGTGCAACATACAAAGGCTTGCCGTTGACCATCTTTTGATTCATTTCTGAAACTGCCTTTGACGCCTCGTCCGGATTGCTAAAACAGACAAAGCCGAAGCCCTTGCTCTTGCCAAAAAGCTTCTGACCAGGCTTGCCCTCTTTCTTGGGTTCTTTTGCATCGTCGCTGCCCTCTTCCTTGACCTCACTTTCAGCCTTGGGCTCCTCGTCGGCCTTTTCTGCATCTTCCTTTTTGTTCTCCTTGTCTTTGTCTCCAGCAGGAGATGCGGTGCGCTCGGCCGTGTCCCGCATGACCTTGGCGGATGTAATGGTTCCATACCCACTGAACAAGTCACGAAGCTTGTCGTCATCCACATCGTCAGTCAAATTCTTGACATACAAGTTGACGCCTTGGTACTTGGAAGCCTTCTCCATGCGCGCGGCTTCATACTGCTTTCGAAGCTCTTCCTCACGTTCGTGTTTCTTCTGAGCACGACCGACATACAGATTCTTGCCATGAAATTCCTTGTCGTTGAGTTCATCAACCGCTTTCGCAGCGGACTCGTGACTAGCAAAATTGACGAATCCAAAGCCACGGCTTTTGCCATTTTCGTCGCGAGTGATGGTGGCAGAGACAACCATACCGTAAGGCTCAAACAACTTGGTGAATTCGTCATCAGTGACAGACTCGTCAATGTTCTTGATGTAGACATTGGTGAAGTTGGCCTTCATCTCCTCAAACTTGCTTTGACGATCTCGCTTGGCGATATGATGACCAACAAAGACCTTCTTGTCGTTCAACAACATGCCGTTGACAGACTTGATGGCCTGGTTGGCAGCCTCGGCAGTCTCATAATGGACGAAACCATAGCCCTTTGAGTTTCCAAGCTCGTCCTGGGCGACCTTGCAGCTGAGGATATTACCGAATTGGGAGAATGTATCATGGAGCGCTTTGTTGTCGATCGCCGCATCCAAGTTCTTGATGAAGACATTACCTTGTCCAGTCTTGCGGAGGGCGGGGTCGCGTTGAGACCACATAATACGGCAAGGGCGACCCTTGATGCTTGTGTAGTTCAAATCTTCCAGTGCCCTCTCACCGTCAGCAGTATTGTTGTAGTTGACATATGCGTACCCGAGGGAGCGGCGAGTGACAGCATCGCGGCAGACACGGATTGAAGCAACCTGGCCAATAGAGGAAAATAGCTCGAAAAGCATGGCTTCGGTGACAGAGGGATCGAGCTCGCCGACATAGAGAGAGGCCGAGTGTTGCGCGGTGTTGGGTGTGGCAGAGTAGGGCGTAGCGGCGTCATCGCCAGCGGTACCAGACGACGCAACATTGGTGTCGATGGCAGGTGCGCCGTTCTGGGTAGGGGCATCGGTGGAGCCATTCTGGCCAGCGGCCGGGGTAGCAGTAGCGACGTCTGCGGCAGACATTTTCGCTGTCAAGCAGTGTCAGAATATGATCGGATAGAGGGCAGCGCAGGCAAGAATAACTGCGGGATGGAGGGTTGTTGGCCCCGGCGACAAGTAGGGCACAGATGAGCGCTCACTTTTTCTCGGATCGAGTATTGTGGTATTGATGGACGAGGTAACAAGAACGAGAGGATTGACAATTGTCTTGACCAATGGACACGATGTCTTGATGATGGCTTGGTTTAAGGGATATGTCGTTAAAGTCGAGCACTATGAATGCCGGGTCAGACGTCGTTCACCTTTTTTTACCTCTTGAGGTTCTGGGACCATGCAGGCTAAAAAAAAAGGGTTGCGCAGGCAAGAAAACGGGATGACTTACCGCACGACTCTGGGTTTTTGAAGGGGGGTTTTTCACTTTTTTTTGGTGGATTCACGAATATTTTCTGGGGGAGAAAGGGAGAACAGCAGCCGACTGCAACGAGAGCAGACGACGCAAGAGGGAAAGGCTGGATGGTAGAAGGTTTGTAGGGGGAAAAGTTGGTGGTGGTGATCGAGGGAAGCGGTCGAAAATCAGACCAAAAAGTCAGGCAATCAAAAAGTTCAGCGGCAGGCACGCTATTCCGTATTCGGTAAGGGCCACTATCCGCAGAACGAATTCTTCTCTGCCTGCCTTTGTGTCTGCAAGAACAAGTACAAGTGATTGGCAGTGACCATCGCACTTTCCTCGTCAACAGTGAGATGTGGCGGTGGTGGCGGTGTCGGGTTCATTCTTCTCTCACTCCTTTCTGCCTTGCTGCTCACAAAGCATTTGCATACTAATTCACTGGAACCTTCCATCCACTACAAAGAACAGCCTCCTGCTTGATCTTCTGGGCGCTGGATGCAGCATGGGACATTGCATCAGTAGCGTGTACCTACCTCGTACATATTCGAGGACTATCCACAACACACTGCACCCTTCAAAACTCTATACTTACGATTTGTGTTATCATGGTCCTCTGACCCCGAGTTCCTGATATGCTGACACCGGAAGACGATAGCACACAGGCTTCGTGCTCCTCTGTTCCTGTACAACCCCAGTACCATCCCTGCCTGGTTCCTCCAACTGACTTCATTGCGCAACGACGTCCAGACCTCACCAGGGATGCTCCTACACATCTTGTTAGACGAATAGGTCGTCGCATTTCAATGAATAGACACACTTACCCTCCCGTCCCAGCACCAAAAGGTGCCACTGTCATCCTTCCCTTTTTCTCCAATCACCTTCAACATTTTCGTCACACTTTCTTCGGGAGTAATGATTCCTTCCACGTCCCAGTCCAGGTCAATGTTGGCCATGTCACTGGCTATAATGTCAGCATCGTCTTGTTCGTGGACAATAGAATTCGTGGTTCAAATGCTTACGTCTGAACTTCACCCGGGTGCATAGCCAGAACACAGACATCCTCATAGCTCCCCCCTTTTCTCTTGAGTTCGGCGGCCATATGCCTCAGCATTTGATTCAAGGCGGCCTTGCTAGCCCCGTACGCGGCGAATCCATCTTCGTGGTCCCTAAACAACGAGGCTGATCCAGAATCAGAGGAAATGAATATAATCTTCGACGGAGGTGCCGCGCTATTTAGTTTTAGCAATTTCTGCGCAATGATCATAGGCCCAATAGTGTTTGTATGTAGATGCAGGGCGAAGTCGGTAAATGATCTGCGCACGGCAGGTAGTCAGCACCTCCTCTAGATGTAACGTATCAAGGTTGGGAACTGTAGCCGTACATCTCGGTTGCCCTCTGGAAGTGCTGTTAGTCTTTCTGTGCGGTCAAGTACGGATATACTCGTACATTGGGATATTTCAGCACTCCAGCGTTCAAGACAATATTGTCAAGGCGCATACCCTTGGCAACCAGCCTTCCCATCGCATTCACAAACGCCTATCAATTGCATTAATATCGGAGGATGATATCACCTCAAAGTGCTCTCAAGGCGACGTGCCTGTCACTCACATCGATGCTCGACTCGTCAGTGACGTCGCATTGCTCAATCAAACAGGCTGCAGGTCTCGTTTGTTTTGCAGACAACTGCCATATGTGATTTGCCGTCTCTGGGCTGCGTACAGCCGCGATGACCTGGTTTCCCTGATCGAGCAGTTGACGGACGAGCTCGAGACCTATACCCCGGGAAGCTCCAATTACAACCCACGTCGATGGAGCCATGTCTATAAAGGAGCAAAGCAGGCGGGAACAAGATCAGTTATGACATGTGGGAAGTGGAGGCTTCGGCTGCGATTCGGAAGTGTCGCTGGATGCTCAGTGTGTTGGGGATTGGCATCAAACAAAGTCCAAGAGATGTGAGAATGTACTCTCGGAGGAGGAGAAATGATGACTGCGGGGCTCTGGATGAGGTCGAAAGGCGCACATGCCGACAGCGGAGACAAGCAACGTCAATAATAATAAAAAAAAGGGCTCGAGAATTGAGGCTCTGGGACTGTAGGGAAAGAATATCTCCCGTTGTTGGCAAGAAATCACAGGGAACGGATGAGATCGGAAATTAATCCCTGTACTCGACAGAAGTGAAGCAGCAGGACTTGCATCTACTGCTGTACGACTAATCCCCTTCCCTTCCACTCAAGGAGCCCCTTGGCTTTGGGGGACGGGGAAACGGGACGAACTTGTGGTTTCCAGAGAAGCATCAAAGAGGTGGAAAACACCGCTCAAGGTGGAGGTCAAGCAAGCCACTGGGTCAAAGGGGAAGTTGAGCCCTGGTGAACCCGCTAGAGTTGCACCTGCATCTTTACGTACTCGTACCTAGTGAGGGACGAACTGGTAAAGGCTGCAGCCAGACTCCCTAGACCATTGGAGGGAGGAATAAATGAGGAGCAAATAGCCAGTGATAGCATGTGTCGTGATTGATGCTCGTCCACGAATGAGAACATTCCCCGACGTCAACACTCGTGTCTCAAAAACCTCTCAGTATTTGGATTTTTATCATCTTCCTGCGTTTAATCTATCTAGACCGCATCAAAATTTATGCATTGCATCATCATACACATGGCCCTCGTGCTGACTTGGACGAGATGAGTGGTCAACCCTAACTCACCGACAACTTCCTTCACCCAGGAGTCTCTAGATGATTTGCTGGAAAGCACGGTTGATGGGTGATCGGGGTTTCAGGCCCTTGTAGAACTCGACAGTGGCAACAGCACGCTTGGAAATGCCTTCGGGCGTGAACTCGAATTTCTACAGATTTGTCAGTCACAAGAACAAACATGGGAGGAAAAAACAATCACGAACCTTGTAGACCTCCTTGTAGGGGCCGGAAGCTCCGAATCGGTTGAGGCCAAACTGCTCATGTGAATATTTCTCCCATCCGTGAGTCGACATGACTTCGACAGACAGGGTTGGGATGCCGTCGGGAATGACCTTCAGCTGGTAGTCCTTGGGCTGGGCATCAAAGACTTCCGTGCATGGCATCGACACAACACGTGCAGTGAGTCCGTGCTGGTCCTTCAAGACCTTGATCGCATCGATACAGATTCCCACCTCAGACCCGGTAGAAACAATAGTGATGTCGGCGTTGTCAGCCTCGATGGCAACGTACCCGCCCTTGATGGCGTTTTCGATTGTCGAGTTCTCCAACTGGGGAAGGTTTTGTCGGGTCAGGGCCAGGATGGAAGGGGTAGAGGTCGAAGTCAGAGCCATGTAGTATGCGGCCGATGTCTCATTGCCGTCGGCGGGCCTCCACACCATCATATTGGGAAGTGCTCGGAAATGGACCAAAGTCTCGATAGGTTGGTGAGTAGGGCCATCTTCACCCAGACCGATGGAGTCGTGAGTGGCGACATAGATGACTCGCTGGTGCGAGAGCGACGACAGACGGACAGCTCCTGCAGCATATGACACAAAGTTCAAGAAAGTACCGCCGGCTGGGATAAGAGTGCCATATGCAGAAATACCGTTCATGATGGCGGCCATCGCATGCTCTCGAACACCATATCGAAGGTAGCGTCCAGTCCAGTCACCAATACCCAGGCTCGGGGGTTGGAAGTCGACGGCGTTCTTCCATCGGGTGTTGTTGCTTCCTGTCAAATCTGCAGAGCCTGACAACAGCTCCGGGACAGCTTCGTGGATGCTCTCTAGGACCTTCTCAGAGGTCTTGCGGGTGGCTTCCGCAGCATCGGTCGGCTTCCACACTGGCAAGCTCTTCTCCCATCCTTCGGGGAGCTTGCGGGACAGACGACGGGAGAAGTCTTTGGCCAAATCTGGGAACTCGCTTGAATATTTCTTGAACAGATCGTTCCAAGCCTGCTCGGCTGCGGCACCCTCAGCGGCGTGCTTGTTGTACAAATCGTACACTTCCTGGGGAACCACGAACGATTCCTCAGGATTGAAGCCAAACTTCTTCTTGACTTGCGCGGCATCATCGGCCTTGAGGGGGTTGCCGTGCACGCCACCTGTGCCTTGCAGCTTGGAGCCGAAACCGATGGTGGTAGTAAGCTTGATCATGGAAGGCTTGTTTTTGACCTCTTGGGCCTTCTTGATGGCAGCTTCAATACCATCAAGGTCGTGATCGCCGTCCTTGACATGCTGAACATGCCAGCCGTAGGCCTCAAATCGCTTGGAAACGTCCTCCGTGAAGGCGACTTTGGTGTCACCATCTGTTCTTGGTTAGCGATCGTGTTTGCCCGGTTTGTCAAGGCGATATTTCTTACCAATGGAAATATGGTTATCGTCGTAGATGCAAATCAGGTTGCCCAGCTGCAAATGTCCAGCGACGGAGGCAGCTTCGCTTGCAACACCTTCCATGGCGCAGCCATCACCGAAAAAGCAATAGGTGTAGTTGTTGAGCAGGTCATAACCAGGCTTGTTGAAAACAGCGCCGGTATGAGCTTGAGCAATCGCCAGACCAACGGCATTGCTAAAACCCTGGCCCAGAGGACCGGTGGTCACTTCAATGCCAGGAGTGTCATGGGCTTCAGGATGGCCGGGGGTGATGCTGTCAATTTGCTACTCTGTGTGTGAGCTTTGGTCAACAGGCAGGAGGGTGGAACAGTTGGACATACTCGGAAGTGTTTCAGGTCGTCCATTGAGACGGCATAGCCGAACAGATGGAGGAGGGCATATTGGAGCATACAGCCGTGACCATTCCTGAACAAAGTAGTCAGCAATAGGACTAATATCTCATGATTTTATGCCGGAAGAGAAGGCTATCACGGGAGACGAGGAATGTCAATGGCAACCACAAGTAGCCAAGTTCAATCCCCGCTGCTGTTCGTGTATACAATCTTTTCCTCATCTTCCTCTACTTCCCCTCCTCTTCCTTGTGATGTCTTTGAATGTGGTCATACTCACGATAGGACAAATCGATCGCGGTTGACGTAGTCGGGGTTTTTGGGATTGAAGGTCATGAACTTGTTGAAAAGAACGTGGGCCACCGGGGCCATGCCTGGAAGAAGGACTCGTCAGATGTGGTTCTTTCATCGATCAAATCAATCACCTACCCATAGGAGCACCCGGGTGGCCACTGTTGGCCTTGAGGGTGGCATCGACCTGAATCAAGAGCAGTCAGGAGATTTGAAAATGACCATGGAGGGGCAGAGAGCCATACCGCAAGCAGTCGGATGGTGTTGATGGCCTTCCAATCGAGATCAGAGTAACCCATTGTGACAGACTGATGTGAAAACTTGTCAAATTCAAGGTGAACAGAGCAGAGAGAGAAGGTCTAGATGTTCTGCAGAGGCTGTTGAGGAAAAAATTTAGTGACGAGCCCAAGCTGTTGACTTTGACTTGTCGGAACTGCTCGATTGAGGCTAATACTTACGTTTTGTCACCGGGCGGGATGGCGGGGCAATTATTGTCAGGGTTCGAAGCTCCTCAACTCTCTGTCGTTTTGTCGGTGGCGCAAGTCTGATGTTCACTGGTTGCAGGTGGTCTGGCACCCTGCAACTTAGTACCTGAATTCGAGAGCTCTGACTGGCGGGGCCCAGGAAAAGCGGCTTCTGTTCCGGACGCTTCAGGCTGCGCTGTCTGTCTGTTTCGTCTGTCTGGTGTTTGATTCGAGGTGGGCAGATTTCCGGGTCTCAACGAAATCGAAGTTTTCCATCAAGTGCAGAGGGGTCCAGCCAGTGTTAAATATCCTCAGACCATCTACACATTACACCACCACACGCATGCACACCCCCGCCAACAGCATAAACATTCCGAAAGAACAGAATAAGGCATCGACATCAGCGTCAGTAATGCTGGATGGGCGGCACTACGGGATGCAAATCCACACAAGTGCCTGATTACGGCAGCTTTGTTCCACGCAATGCTGACTACGTTTCAGAATGCCCAGTCAGTAGAGCGTTTCCCACTTACCCCTTCAAGCCGATTCGAGGACATCTGCTGGTCTGGGTTGGACTAATAAGATTCATGATGCTTGCTTGAGAAACACGAGAGATCGAGATTCTCTAGCACGTGTAACACAATCAGTTTCGCTGCTTTTCGTTCCTTGCCCTCCCCATCATAGTAACATCCAAATGTCCTTTAGTTTGAAAAGATAAGGTCAACGGAGCAGGTAAGCTCCAGTTTCACCCGACCTGGAGATATGTACCTTTTTTCTCTGCCACTGGGGGTAACACCTTGAGACCATGCCGTGCCGTGAACCCATACTGACTGGACCCGCCAATTGTTCCCCTTGGGCGACATCCGCCTCGCCACCCAAACCTCCAACGCCTCGCTATGCGAAAAGCAGTCGCGCTCTTGATCTAGTAGGATCCGTAACCACCAGCGCCGTAAGGAGTTGTACCATAAGGTGTCGTGCCGCCCCTGAGACCACCGTATGAACTGAATGCTCCATTTGGAGGAGCCGGCTCGTAGCCATCGGGGCTTTGGAGACCATTCATCGCGTCGACACCAGCAGCCTCTGCACCTCCTAGGACCTTGATGGTCTCGGCGAGCTTCTTCTGGATCACGTCGATTCCGCCGCGCACAATGTCGTCCGGTTCAAGGGTGCCGATGCCTTCAACTTCAAAGAAGAAGGCGCTCGGGACAGCATCTGGATCAAAGGCGGCGTCGGCTGCCGATTCATCCCCCTCCCACGTGGCATTGCGCTCGTCCACCGGCCATTCTTCTTTGGCGTCGGTCTCGTACCAGTAATCGACGTGGCGCAGCTTGTTGTTGGGGTCATATTCAAAGCCCACTGCCGATGTGGGTGCCCATTTTGCGTGCTCTTTTGCAATTCCCTTCTTCGCGATGCATTCCAGCTGAATTTCTTGACCTTGTCTCAATTTGGCGATCAGTGGTCCGGTGCCGTTAGCATCACGGATGACTGGCCGACCGATACCGTCTTGACGAGGGTTCGCGACGATGAGATCGTTAGCATGTACCAGCATCGTGCCGGCTTGAGAACATCGGACGTGCAGGCGGAGGACAACCGAGCAGTACTCGCAGTGGTCGTCGCAGCGATCACAATCCCTGCCATAGTTGAGGCTTTCGTCCACACCTTTACTGATTAGAGGCACAAGGCCCAGTCTGTGCGCGAGATATTCGTCAGGCAGAACAGAGGAATTTGTAGTAATGTCCACGAGATCGATCGAGATGGTAGGGATTTCAGCAAGCATGGCGCGACGGAGGGAGTTGGCGAGAGCGAGAGAGCATGACTGTAGAACAAAGTCGCAGCGATCTGGTTCGACCTGTCAAGAGTCAGATTGGGAACAGGAGAAATGTCAGTGTCGTCTGTCTCACTTCTCTCACTGTGACTTTAGGGCCAGAGGTCTCGACCCCGTCCATAACATCGTCGTTGAAGCCATTGTAGCCGTTGTAAGCCATGGCTACTCACCTCTGCCAGAATGTAGACGACAATCACGGCTCTGCGCAGAACGTCGGTTGAGAGAATCTCACCATGAAGTTGTGGCGCGGACAAGAGAGTAGAGGCAAAGATGAAGACGCGATGCGAAAGAAATCGAGTCGAGATCATGTCACGTGCAGTCCAGCCTCGCTTCACGTGAATATTGCGGTTTGTCACTCAAGTCACTGCTACCTCGCCTGACTATCACGTGCATGCCTGGGCCTTCGGGTACCTGGCGCGGCTCAAGGCTGAGAAAGCGGCGAGGCTGAGGATCGACGGATGGCCCACTCTGACCTGCCAAGGAATGGCCTTGCGCAGGCATGGCGTCAACGGCGCCTGCGGGGAGAGAAGTTGAAAAATCATACCATCTTCCATTATTGTGTGATTGTCTCCTGCACTGACCTTCCACCGACATCTCACACTCGTTCAGACCCACCCCACGTCGATTGTTTTGCCATCTCGAAGCTTGTGAAAAGTCTAGTCTGGCAGGTTCGGCAGCATCCGTGCATCTTCTCTACCCGACTTCGTTGCAAACAAAACGCCAATCGGACCATTCTGTCGACCGTCTGCTTCAGGTTCCGGAAGCATCGCCCGCTCCCCGTCAATCTGTGTCCAGTAGTCTCTAGCATTTATCCGCTCCATTTGATTCAATCCAGGACGCGGTTGTGGTGGAGCTCCATCGTCCTAACGAGGCCTTTTTCACTCACGGTGATGACCTCCAATATCGGGGAATTTGGACCAAAGGCTGGCAGGTGTGATCGCGTGGGACACGGACCTGATTGAAGAGTCTTTGTAGCCTTTGTCGCAACGCATGGCACCATGGATGAGACGGCTGAACAATCTGTTGGTCAGCCTCTGTGTCTACACTTCGATGGTCCTCGCTCAGTTTCCTCCTCTTCCTGCTAATGATTCCGTCATTATAATTCCTTCTCCAGTCAGTCCAAATGTCTCGGTGGCCTACAAAAACGTTCCCCTGGGGACTTGTACAACAGTTTTCGAGACTCAGCAACAATTCTCAGGTTACATCACTCTCCCACCGAATATTTTGGATCCCAGTCAAGGAAACTACACCATCAACACGTTTTTCTGGTTTATTGAAGCGAGACAACTCCCCGAGTCGGCTCCATTGACAATCTTCATCAATGGCGGACCTGGGTCCAGCAGCATGGTCGGTCTATTTCAGGAGGTTGGACCCTGCCAGGTTGTGGAAATTGCCAATGGTCAGCTGGGCACAATTGCACGGGACTGGGGTTGGGACCGCAGTAGCAACATTGTCTTCATTGACCAGCCAGTTCAGGTGGGCTTCTCCTACGATATTCTGACCAACTCCTCCCTCAATCTGCTTGATGAAACCACAGTCACTCCACCGACAGCAGGACCCATCTCGCAACCTAGCTACACGTTTCTCAATGGCACCTTCGGATCGGGAAATCCGTCATTTACAGCCAATACGTCCCAAATTGCTGCCCAGTCGCTCTGGCATTTTCTGCAAACATTTCTCACTTCCTTTCCTCAGTACAATACTGCTCTCCGTGTGCAAGCCAATGAGCCCACGGCCGAGGTCCACCTGTTCACCGAGTCCTACGGAGGCAAGTATGGACCTGCGATTGGGGCTTTCTTCGGCGTCCAGAATGAGCGTCGTCGGACAGATTCCGATTTTGCCAATACGACCATTGATATTACACTGAAGTCACTGGGCATCATCAACGGCTGGATTGATCTCGTGACCCAGACGCCGTATCATCCCAAGTTTGCATATGAGAATACTTATGCCATCGAAGCCATTTCGCAACTTCAAGAACTCAACGCTCTGAGTGCCTACAACAGCGCAGACGGCTGTGAGCAGCGTACTGCCTTCTGCCGTTCACAAGAAGCTGCGCTCGACCCGATGGGCCACGGAGACGTGGATGCAGTCAACGAAGCGTGCTCGCAAGCGCAATCGTACTGCGAAGACTATGTAGTTGAACCATACACTACATCTGGGCGTTCCATCTACGACATTTCGCAAAGTATGCTCGATCCCTTTCCGGGCGCTCTCTACCTGGAGTATCTGAATGAGCTATCGGTTCAAGAATCACTTGGTGTGCCGGTCAACTACAGCCAAGATTCGGTGGCTGTGTTCACTGCCTTCAACACCACCGGAGACTATGCACGGAATAACATCGTCCAGGATCTTGTTGATCTTCTCGATTCTGGTGTCAGAGTTGCGCTGATATACGGGGACCGAGACTACGTCTGCAATTGGCTAGGAGGAGAAGCAGCCTCTTTCGCTGTAGCCGGCGCGGCGGGCCCATCATATTTGCCCTGGTACGCCGCTGGATATGCCCCGATTGTGGCCAATAGCACCTACGTCGGCGGTGTCGTTCGGGAGTTTGGGAACCTGAGTTTCAGCCGAATCTACGATGCCGGTCACTTGATGCCAGCGTATCAGCCTGAGACCGCCTTCACCATCTTTTCGCGCATCATCCAGGGAACAGACATCAGCATGGGCTTGCCAGCGGACTTGTCGACGTACTCGTCGTTTGGGGAAGCTAACTCATCGCACCAGAATATCGCCCCTGCAATGGCCGACCCGATCTGTCACCTTCGCGCCGTCAATACGACCTGTAACACGGACCAGAAGAACATGCTCGCGAATAATGCTGGCGTCATTATCAACGGAGTTTTATACGCTGATGCCACGGACTGGCAGGCACCGGACCCAGGAATTGTCACCATCGCCGGGTCGCCGGGCACGCCCCCTGTCAGCATAGTGACCAGTCCACCGATGCCCAACACGAGCGTGACGCAGGAAGGGTCGCAAACATCAAGTGCGAACACGGTAAGCACATCGATTATTACAAAAAGCTCAGCCTCGAGCACCGGTACTCGAGAGGCGACGACGACGAAACCACCTCCTAAGAGTCTGCCAACCGGTGTGTATACAGCTACCACCGTTCCTCCAACGACATCCGCTAGCAGAGGTGCGTCTGCTAGCGCGAGTAATGCAGCGTCGTCATGCATTCCCAGCAATGTTTTTCGTTCTTTGCCACTCTTGCGAGATACCCGGCCCTCGGTGGCAGCATTTCTTTATGTTGTCGGAGTTCTGAGTCACGTATTCGTTGTCTAACAATTCGGCGAGGGGGAAGGTACTGTTTGGAGGTGAGAAGCGAGGATAGTCCTCCGAGATGCAGGCCAGCATAAGAGCCGTGAAAGAAGATCCTGGAGAACAAAAACGAAACGACCATGATGTAATGAAACAATTTCCCAGACAAGAGCGACGGATGGGATCAGTCACGATTAGATGGGTAAATGAGGAGCAGGTCAGACAATATTTGGCATAGGACATGGTGGCCCCTAATGATTGGGACTGTGTGGTCTGTGGCAACGTGTGATGACTGACTCGATGAGAGACGATAGAAGTGACAGAAGAAAAGTCATCAATTCTCGATAGTTCATGTTCCTGCACAGCTCTACGGATCGTAATGGAAAGGTTCTCTCTACATCCTGTGAGCGTGAGCGTGAGCGTGAGCCTGAGCCAAGTGAGCCTGAGCCGGTGAGACGCTGGGGTTCATGATCTCACAAGTCCGTCCCAACAAGCCAGAGTGGTCGTCGTCGTGATCTGTACCTACCTCGTGCAGTATGTAAAAGCACGATACTCGGAACCTTTCTTTTGTTCGTTCCTTTCTCAATGCGCCAGCAGTCGCGCCATCTTTCCCCTATCCTGTCCTCCGACCCCTACCTTACACTGCGCCCTCCGGCCTCTTTGGTGCTGATTCTGGCGCTGGTACTGTGAATCCCTTTGCGAAGAGGGAGGGGAAAGGAGAAATAGAGGATAGAGGATACCCGGAGATCCAAGACATAGATTGGAAGGAGGACGTCATGACGCGGTAGGGGCAAGGCGTATAGCTCGACGACCAGAACCTTGAGAGGCAGGCAGACAGTCACGCAGTCAGCCATTCATAGCCAAATGTCTGGTGTGCATGATCCCAGGGGAGGACCTGTCCAAGGCGAAAACCCGAGGGGCTCTGTCTGGCCTTGTTGCTGAAGCCTGCCATGGGAATTTGTATCGCCGACCAAACCGAACAGAGAGGATCTCAAACGTTGAGATTTTTCCTTTTGAACCGTCGCGTATGTTAGAGTCCCCCAAACGGTGTCGGTGGTGTAACCTGTGATTAACCTCGTATGCGTCGTCCGGTCCGGTCTCTTCCTGGGCTGCTGGGCATCATCATCTTCTCCATGCTCGTACCTCGATACCTCCACAGAATCTCTTGTATTCATTTCATTCTCTCCCTCGGCTCCCAAGACATTGACGACTCGCCACCCATGTCAATTCCCCACGTCTTTCACTCCCCCTCGAAGTCGAGTTCCATCGTTGCTAATCCCTCTCTACCTCTACCTCGTTACTTACCTGGTGATATGCAATCGACATACCTAGCTAGTACCTCCCTACCTTCTTTACCTAGGTTGCAAGGATATGTCCTCGGATACGACGAATAGTTACCAGCAATGTCAAGCAGACGAACACGTCTGTCTTACTTGCCTCCTTCCCTCGACATGACGAGTGTTTTTTTAGAGGCCTTTTACCTTGTCTTCTCTTTTCTGGTCTGGTCTGGTCAGGCCAAGCCAGGCCACTCCAGGTTCTCGGAACCGGCAAGAGGGGGAAGATGGAAGCCGGGAAAATAAATATGCTTTTTGTTTATTATTATTTCCTTTTGCTCTCTAGCAAAGCCTGGAGAAAAGGACAAGTCGAGGAAGTCGAAATCCCGGGAGGCGTCTTGTGTTCATGGTTCCTGGTTTCTGGCTCCTCGTTCCTAGGTTTATTTTTGATCGGGTGTCACTGGCACTGCGTTACCGCCTGCCTACCTGGGCACTTTCCTACCTAGCTACCTCGTACCTAGTACCCAGCTAGCACCGAGTAATGCAGAACGATACTCCGATTCTCGAATAAGAAGTTTCGTTCCAAAACAGGCAATTTTTCCTGAGGAGTGACTAATTGGAA